TTCGATTAATTCTTAAGTTTTGTAATGAAAAGATTAGAACAAAAACAATAAGAACAAAGATACATATTCTTTTGAAAGATTTCAATATGAATATCGAATTCATCAATTAACAAATCTTTATGGAAAGATTAAACTAACCTGATTCACTGTCATTGTCATTTATATGTTTCTTTTTTTCTCAACTGAAATTCTTTTTTTTGTAAACGAACATGTGCATCGAATTATTTCTCTTTACAAACTTCAACTGAATAAACATCACAAAAAAGAAACGATTTCTTTTTCTTTCACATCAAACAAAGTTATTACATTTTCACCTTTGCATCTTTCATACTGAAGAGAAATCGATCTAATCAAGATTAGAACGAATGTGTTTGTGCATTTTCGTTCTGTTTAATGTTTTCTCTCATTTAAAATTTTCGTTTTTCGTAACTTTTCATACAAGACAAGAAAAACAAGCAATACGAAATCATCAGACTTTCATCAGAAGTTGAATACATCGTATATTTATTGTGCAAGAATGACGATAAATGAAATAATCTTTTTTCATTTCATTCACACAAACAAATATGAAATACGAATGGGAAGAGATTATGACTCAATCATATCGTTGGTAGAATTTGTTTTTCACTCAATTTTGTTGTGGAGAACACGAAATACCACATGACGTCTACCTACACAAGCTCTCCCATACCTCACTGGGAACAGATTTGATGAAACTACCACCTTAAATATACTATACTATACTATATATAAATGTATCTGTTCATCCCCCTACCACACAACTACATATCATTCCAATAAACTCAGAGTCTATACAAAATGACGACCAAATTATACTTGACTCTTTTCGTTGTGATGACACTTTGTCAAATAAGTTTAACTAGACCCATGGGTAAGTTTCCAAAATCAATTTCAATAAGCACTCGAAATATCATTCCTCATTTATTTCTAGCAATCAGTAATACCAATCATATCTCGTCAATGCATCCTACTGGAACAGAATACAAAAATGCTCAATTCCAATTTTCAGTTGTATTACCTCATGGTTGGCATTCGAGAGGATTGGTGAAAATGTTCGAAAAGCATAAGAGGGATATACATCCATTTATAATCCGAGACCACACGTCAGTTGGAGAGCAATACAAAGAAGTAGCACCAGTTTTTTTCTTTTCCAAGTACGACATCGACAGATTCGACGGCAAATCAAACCCAAATATTCAAGCTGCAATTTACAGTGTACAACCGGCATCGGAAGCTTACGCTAACTGTGGCTTTTTACATTTTGTTCAAAGAGATATCGAAGCATCTCAGAGAAATAAAGCAATCCTCGCAAATGATACTATCGAATTTGCGGATGACTGTACGATTTCTGAGCTGGATAGAATCCTTTACGCTAGTCAAACATCTCACGTGAAAACAAATCAAACCTTATTGATGGTAAAACAGAAGAGATTTGCAAGACTTATAGGCAAAACTCATATTCTTTACATGGTATTGAACTATTCCAATGAACATAGTGAGAAACAACTATTGGCCATCATGAAGAGTATAAGATCTCTTGTGAACGCGTGAACATCTTCTTCTATGTTAAATAAGAAAGAGTGTGCATAAATATTTTTTCCTCAAAATAAAAATTTCATTTTTATTTATTGAACAAACAGAATTCTTATGAATAGTTTATTGCTCAATTTGTTTCGTGGCTAATTTTAAACCATTGTTCTTCTGAACAGTCGAACTAAGTTTTACTAGTGTTGCATCCGTTCACTTTTGTATCGTTTAGCATATTTTCGATAGCGTCGTTCATTTGTTGATCGGTAAATACATACGTATGTATTCAGACGAAATACTAAAATCTCATTCGTGTAAGCGTTCTGCACTATCGTGTTTTTCCTAAACTAATGAAAGAATAATCATTTGTGGTACATTCTCATATCCAAGAATATTTCGATCCGAATGAGAAAATAAAGTAATATTAACTTGAACGAAATAAGTTGATTAATCGTTTCATCCGATCAACATCATGATAAGCTATAGTGATGCTAATGAAACATAGATTAACTTCGAAATATGAAAGCATTTGGGTAATTGTAACTTTTCCCTTTCGGTTTGATGTGCACAGGAGTCTAACTTTGTCCATTTGGATGAAAACGAGCCCACTGGATAATCGGTGATCGTTATTGTCTTTAACGATGACGTCTGGTTGAACTTCAGCAATGATGCCTTTTAGTTGTTCGTAACTGAATTGAACACCATCGATTAGCGCTTTTCATGTTGAATACATAAATGTTGACAGTTGTCCAAATAGTGTTTTACTGAATTCAAATAATTTTTTACTGATGAAATCACTTCAGAAGGCATCATTGTACTTTATTTCGTCTAAAGAAAGATTTCTCAATAAGTATAAGAGTTTTTCTGTAAAACCGTATCGAGATAAGTTTTCTTGTCAAGAAAATTCGATAATAAATACGTATTTTTATAGCCCATTTCTAGCAAAAGATTGGCAATGCCAATACAATTATTCATTAAACCGAATGCACTTTTTGGCATAGGTAGTATTGTTAAACCCTTTGACATTCTTTTCAATCTTATCCGTTTCAACGATTAACGTTAAATGACACCTTTGGATAACTTCTTTCTTTATTCCTCTGGGTAGCTTAGCATAGTTTCTTGAAAAGAACATAAAAATTGAAAAATGCTTGATACATATTTATTTATAGAAGAAGTTGTAGAGGAGTGAATATGGCCGTTTTATTCAGTCGTTTCTATCTTTGCAAACCTGATTGCTTTTCATTTCATAAGACGTCTTAATTGGGTATGCTTCCAGGACAATTCCATGTCCTATTTTTGTCTGGACAGTAGTACTCCATTCGACCATCTTGTCGAATTAGATTCTGTTGCCATCTCCAATCAACCTCCATGCTTATTCCATTCAAATACATCCAGTGTGCAACTAAGCATTCCACAGCGCATATTTCTTTATCACTAGCCTGCCACTTATTATGTTGATGTGTAGCAAATCCTTGAGGCATTACTGCGGGATCTTTTGCCATAGTTAGCATACTTCTGATTCCTGTGTACATATTCATGTATATCCACATCGCACTTGCTCGACCATATGCAATCTGGTCGGTTGTTCCCATGCGTTGAAGACCGTGGTGAGTAACACAATAGTAGAACCATTCTTTGGCAGGATTTGGAATGATCACTTTGCCATGTGAAACTTCGTACAGAGGTGGAATAGTTCCCCACAGCATATGATCCGGACGCATGCGAAGAATATAATCGTACTGAATGCCGTGTTGTATCATGTACGCTGTTGCTTGCTGGCCAACCATATAAACAGATTTTATTTGAGAGATTACACAGTTGAGGCGCGCATCGCCACACACTCGCTTAACATAGATAGCAGCGTCAGTCCATGTGTCTTCCACGCTATGGACACTCACAATAGAAACACTTTTTAGGTAAGTCCCGTAGCATTTACGAAGATTTTCTTCTATGGATTTGTTTGTCGCGGGTTCAGACTGAAATACTTCTTCTAAGTAGGTAACAATATGAACATCCACTCCCTGCGATCCTGACCACTGAGACAAAATCTTTTGAACATGACTAGTGCATGTCTGCAGATACGTGCGTAAGAAACCACTAATGAGTACTGCCAATCGACCTTTGTCTTCTGTAGCGGAGTGCAATACATAGAGTATGCGTTGGTCAGAACGAATCTGTAACAAACCACTGTCAAACAGTTCTAGAAAAGGACTCGATGATTTAGCTATCGTTAATTCTAGTCCTTTACAATTAGGTAGAAAGTTCGAGGTCCACGCTGTCCCTTGTCTAGATGGACTAGGATGTGACTAGGTGAGACTGAGTACCCCATCCTTCTGCAGTTCTGAATGCCAGCGCACGGGCCAGTATGAATTTGTATCAGAGATAAATGTTGTATGCTTATTTTCAGTGTTTATTAAGGCTAATACACCGCTGTCCAAAATTTGAAAGCGATATTTGTCCAAGGGAGATGTTAGTGTGACATTCTCTAACGCTTCTCCCATTTGCAACATTGAAGTTTTCTTCTTGTTTTTCTCATGCATAGCCAGTTTTGAGATATTTGTATTTGAATACTGTAAGTGTTTGAAGACGGTTTCCAAAAATACATATGAGCGAATCAACTGCGACCAGTATAAGAGGAACACTGCTAGGAATGATACGAAGACGAAAAGTATGATGCCAAATGCTATTGATTTTTTCATTATCGATCGGCAAAAACGAAATCTAGCTGAAATTTGAAGTTGGGAAATCTAATGCCAATGTTTGTTATTAAACTGTTAGGAAAATGAGAATTGAAACACGGTTATACTGACTAATTAAGAAAAACAAAACGCTCGTTGAGAATAATGACAACTTACTATAAAGAAAAATTCCAACTGGAAAAATTTATATTTGAAAAAGTACATTAATTATTTTTTACTTCAATTAATTTAAAGTACATGCAACCTCTCGTTCTCTCTCTCTTTATCACACGAGAAGACGACAAAATACGGCGAAGACAGATGGCTACAAAGAACGATAAAAAATGCATGGATCCCCTTTGACTCTATAATTTGGTTGACGAGAGATGTTGGAAATAAAGTAAATTATTTCAGAAAAGTCACTCTGTTCTCTATTTACCCTACGCGATACAAACAAAGCAATGTGCTTTTCTTGACATGTTAGTCTTTTTATGTAAGAATAATTTCAACATGCATATGCGGACGTGAATACGATAGCGGAGCACAGTAGAAGAAAGAATCTTTTTTATATATTTGAAGGTTCATAATAGACTGATCAAATAAATTGTTATTTAAAAGAACAAAACGTTCGTGTTCAATTGAATATATGAATTGACTATCGAGAAAAATTCCGAATTTCAGTAAATAGGTATCGGTACATGAAGACCTAAAGATGACAAATGTTTTCAAATTAAACCATTAAAAAAATGAATCAAAACTTACCAAACGCTTCAACAGATATAGGCGGGTTGTTTCTTGCGCAAGTATGATCAACAACAGGTGTCGCTGTGTTCAACGAGTTATACTCTACTTGGTAGACTGAAAAACAAAAAATAAAGATGAATACGATAACACTCGCAGATCTATTTACCAATATTAACATCGTCAGACATCACCTTTCGTGTGTATATTGCAAAAAGTTGCTTAGTTCGAGCTGGAATTATATCATTCGTTCGAAACGTTTTCCTCGAAGGTAGAACATTGATGGAGCCATGAAAATCGCTAGCAAAACGAATTGCCCGATTTGATCGATTTTCACAAATAAAACCAAAGCATCTATATAGAACGAAAACCATACTAAACAAGAGCCAGAATATATATGTCTTTACCCATTGTCGCCGAATGTCAGAATCGATACACCATCTCCAAACATTTTTCGATTATTAGATTGAAGGGCAACTGCATGGAATGCATTTGCAACCAATTCATAGGATGCTGGTTGTTCTTTAAGAACAAACGGTTGATCGGCATGTACAACCAAATTAAATTTTGAATATATCGAGTAGTTAACTACGGACATTGATCCAGCGAGTATTACGTATTGACCAGAAGGTACTGCTATCGATAGGGTTACATAGTAATCAAGACTATGCTTGTATTGTTTACAAGCACCATCGGAACAAAGTACAATCAAGAACAGATCAATAGCCGGATCATTTGACCGATTATCGGTTATGGTGTTAACAGGATTGAACAATTCAATATTAAGTTCAGTTTCGTATGGACAATGCAGGTTGTACGCTGATGTTACTTTTGAAGAAAAGTCACTGAATTGTCCTCTCTTACGAATCTTATATCTACTTGCATTGATTTTACAAATGGTAATCTCACTGAAGAACAAAGACATGGCTTCCCAAGCTATTGATAACAGAAAAGCACGATATATCGGAGATCTCAATTGCTAGAGAGATACATACGCATCCAGAACACACCATCATTGTCCGCCGATCTAAAAAGTCGTTCTTTCGTACCCCACGGGTTACGCAATCGAACAAATCTTCGAGAAACAACTTGTCGTACATCAAGGATACTGTACGCATGATCTGGTTCTAGACCTTATAGAACTGAGTCCAAGTTAGACAGCTTACGGTCATTCATACGCACCGATTTGATTAAACAGTTCTTCGTTAGCCAGTCTACTCGAACATATACATGTCATAATATACCCTATGTGAGTTATTATTTCTTTGAAAAATCCAATCCTTTCAGATTAGTTTACCTTTCGTCCGTGATTGAACGATATTTGTCCATAAACTATCAATATTTGCCTTCTTTTTCGACTCAACGCAGTGCAATGAAAATACCTGAATAGGAACATGAAGTAGCTCAAAATCCGATACTAATCTGAATTCCATTTACTTCACACGGTTCACCGGTTAATATCTGCAAACCTTCTACGCATCGTCCTACAGACAACAAAAGTCTTTTCTTCCGACGAAACTATTAGCTTCCTTACCAGATTCAAGCGCTTTGTAACTTCCATACATTTTCGCCAATGCTTTCTCGATCAATGAAGCGAACAACTGCTTTTTCAGACTTCGCGTAAACGCAAGTGTATCGAATTCTGAGACAGGCAACAGATCATCAATCGTAATAGTTCGCCAAATTCCTCGGTTACACAAACGAATTTTGTAAAGTCCTAGAAAAAGACATCGACAGTCACATTTTCTTGCAAGTCAACTGCATTACCTGCCGGATTATATTGTTTTGTAATCATAATTTTATATAATATTTCTGGTATATCAGCGATTAGTGCTAATGCAGAGATCAACCAACAGTCACCAAGACGACCCTGAATGATGTCTTTCGAATGCGGATCATTAAATATAGATAATGGATACTGTTGACTTTCCTTAGACCAGCGAATTTGTTCAGGACGTAGCCTTAAAAGGAAAAATTTATTATGAAAAAGTTTCGAGCAACATTAATCTACCATCGTGTTACATTGGATCCATATTCAAAATCATTGAACGATGTTTCTTCTTTACTTTGTGTAATACTCGAAAGTGCAGGAAGAAATTCAGGATCAAAATACTTCCTGTCGGTTATGAAAAGATTGGCAACACTTGAAAATGAATCGTTCGCATATTTATTCGACAGATGAAGATCACCTAGTTTCATATAATATCATCAAATGGTCTCCAACATCAATTTCGAATGCTTATCTTACGAGGAAATACATTGCGATCTACATGCAACAAAAATGGTATATCAGGAGTGATATCATGTGTTTTTGTTAGACGCTTCATATTTATATTCGAATATAGGCAACTGAAGATGCCCGTAGATTTCTATTTTATCACCGCAAAAAAACACAGATTAGGGGAAAGAAAAAGGATAAAAGCGCGTGTACAGGTGTAAGGAAAGAGATGATTAATACATGATGAATTAAATACCTTTGCACTGATACTATTGTTAGTTTTTGCAATGTCATTATTCATACGGACATCAACTTCGCTTTGTTCTGCCTGTTGAATTGGGAGATAAAGAAAAAAGGATTTGTGAACGAAAGTCACAATCATTGTAATACTATTTCAAGTTAAGATTCTCTTTCTTTTTCACAAAAGCTATTGCAGTATGTTAATTTGTTTGTTTACGGAGAGAAATAATAGTGTTAATTTACAGAAAAGAAAGAGAAATTGACGGAACATCGTTTGTATTGTTTTGTCGTTTTAGTTTGAGAATTTTGTACGACGACGTAACAGCAACGATAGAGTGCGACATCCGTTTGAAAGAAAGATTTGCTGAATCTGTAGTATTGGGAAAGCATGAGGTCACACTGAATCGTCGAATTTCAGCTGGAATTCAAATGAGCAACAATGTTCGATATGCATTTGCGATTGTTCATACATCCTGCTATGGTTTGCTTCACCAGGTAAAGAATTCAACACGTTTCTATATCTAATCCTCATCTGCTGTTATTTTTCAGTCATACTAAATTTTCGGAGTAATATACTCAAGTATTTGTCCAGTTAATCCGAAAATATCTCCTTATTTGTGGCATTGTCAATATTACTAATGTATTCTTAAACCAACTTCGAGTTTTTCTATCGATAAAATATCAAGATGTATACAGTGATATCACTGTAGAAGATGCAGTGAGAATCCTCTTGGGTAATGTTATATCGATCATCGTCGCTCACCTCCGTTTGGCACGTTTTCAGGTTTATCCGGACATTCGATGTCTGGAAAGAAGTGCAATATGCATCTTTGACGCATTCAAAATTTTGTTCACCAGTACTATACCGGTTTGCTTACATCATCTCTGGAGTATCTGTGTACTCGTGTTGACAATTCTGTTTGACTCGAACAGTCTCTTTTGACACGAAGATATAATGTACCTAAGTAATGCTTTTTCTCTCAATCCAGAAATGAAGATTTTATTCAAAAAGATGCTGTTTGTGAATAATATTTCTGACCTTGATTTAAAAATCTGAGATACACCGAAATGGGAAATGTTTGATGGAAACGTTTTTCCATCTCTTTATTCAAGCGATCGAACATCGACCAATAATTTCCATGAGATAAGCATTGACTAATCAACACTTGCAATTCTTCTCCATTCATATACTCCGTTAATTCAAGCATTGGATCTAATTTATTCTCCTTAAGAAATTCCTGAACATCTCGATCAGACCATGATTCCATCGGCAGAGTTTTATATGTATTTAAATCAGGACTGCTGCTTTCTAATGGAATTGTTGATACTACGCTTACTCTAAACATAGAAAGAATTCGTGTTGGATATCAAATGTGATTACACACTCTTGCCCTATGGTTACTACTCACAACGTTTCTGGATCAGTTTGATGATCTCGCTGTATTCCATGAATTAATATATCCATTGCTTGAGAAAAAGAATCCGGCTGAACAAAATCAATGCACATTTTTTCTGTTGATATGAACTTCAGCCAATTATCACGTTCTACTTCGCCTACGATTAATAGAATCATTTCTTTTCTCCTATCTTGTGCATATTCAGCTTCAATTCGACAGTTGCCACTTGTTTTGTACGCTTCAGATATACATATAAGCACGCATTTTGACTGATCTATTGCTTGTGCCATCATTTCGCATGACACCCGAATCGTTGGATTTTTATCAAACCAAACTTTCAACTGATAATCTTCAGTCAATCGTCGATAAATTTCATAAACTAAATCATAATCATTTCGATTATAACTGATGACCATGTCATAGTCATTCGTTTCGGTATTCGTTTGTATGAACTCATCTTGCTTCTCTAATTTCCATAATAAACCGTCAGTTGGCCTTGTAATTAGATTTCGAATCTGAGTCATGAATTTTTCGTTAGTTTTTAGCAAGTTCGCTGCATCTTTGTTGAATGACATGGTCAAAAGACATTCAAACCCTAATATTTCGAGTTGTTCAAGTTGGAAAGGATTGTGAGTTAGTTTATCCAACAAATCTAAACCATCACTTGCAAGAAATTCATGTTTGAATTGATCCCGTTGTAAATATGCTGAAGAGAAACAAACAAAGTCTATGAAGCATACATAAACTACTCATATTGTACCTTTTAGCGCGACGATCATATCGAGAATATGTATTCCATAGCGAGAATAATTCGCTTCGTCAACACTGGAATCAAGAATTTTTTGAATATTCTTCATCAATGTTGTGATCATCTCGATCGGTTTATGTGTATTGCTGTTCAGATCATGTTCGTTCGCTATTAAGCCTACTGCGACACACAGAGCGAGTTTAATTCCATCGTTCGCGTGAATATGTTGCAGAGATGTGAAGAGAATATGTTTGATATGTGGATCCTTTTTGATCATGAATAGACAATCATTGTCTGTTCGAATGAACATGATCAGTAGTTTGAGAATAATCCATATAGCGAATGTCGGAGTGATGTCCACTGTGTTTTCTAATGTGTTTGATTGATATTCCAAGATGATCATGGCGAAATTGTCTTGTTCTAAACGTCCGATAAGATCTGAATTGCTTACCAAAGGTAAAATTAACTTTAAAATCGTAAAATATTCGTTTTTGTGTCGAAAGTTTTTGAATTGTAGTTCGTACTGTTGAATTTCCGAGGTTTTCTGCATTTCGATCATGTTCGTAACTAAATACTTAATCACAACTAACCGCTCACGTTCAATCAGATCTTCTCCATCACCTTGCTCGGGTAATAATTGTTTAAATAGCGATTCGTATGTCGGTAACCAGAATTGACAAAATTTATCTCGTTGTTCTTCGTGATAATAAGTTCGATCAGTTGCCATATGAAAAAATCGAAATAATAAACTATTGTTCGTATCATCCATAGAAGTTTTATCCAATTGTCTTAGAGCTTCTTCATAATATTCCATAACTTCATCGGAAGTATAGTAATCGAAGACTTCATTGTAGAGTTCAACATTGTCAGTTCGATCATCAGCTTCAGGTAGTTTTTCAATCAATGAAATTAATACTGACATGGAGAGAAGTATTCAAAAAGAAAAATTTTTGTACAAGAGAAACATTCAAAGTTTGAGAGCTAAAGGAAAGGATAAGGCATTTATTGCACGATGTTTACTGATGCATTACAACCTTCTCTATAATAGACAACGAATGTATTATTTACAAATATACTACGAACAGATTTGGATATATTTTAGAGCATAAATTACAGAGGTATCGTTTTAAAATTTAGTAGAAATTCTGTCTTTGCACCCGAACGAGATGTTCATGTAGTTGTACCTTACTCAATGATAATCTACGGTCGTACACTAGCGACCTCTCTCCTTTCGTCATTTCGTGACGAAGTTATTACTCGAGAATATTTTATCGGAAATAAGATATATTACAAATGTTCGATGTATTAGAGAATTCTTTTCACAACATTTCCAACGAGCCTTTCGATTTGTCGATATCAAACACGTATATCGAATACATATCATATCATTTGTAGGTCAAACGAGCAAGTCTTTTCGTTTAAATAGGTACATTATGTCAGCCGATAATACTTCTCAACAAATAAACAAAACCATTCGTAAGGACGTGGACAAAATAGTCGATAAATGCGACATCGAAGATATTTGTGCTCAATGCGATGCAGCATCGAATAAGACTGTTAGCTATTGTCGATGTTGGAAATCAAAAAAAGTAACACGCGTTTGATAGAAGAAAATATTCGCAATAAAAATTGTCTTTTAGTTTCCATTTTGTGATGGGTCGCATAATGCTTGGAATAAAGAAACAGGCGACAATGTAGGCCCGTTGGTGATTACGAAAAAACAAGCGTAGAAGTGCAGTTGATGCAGACCGTTGTGATACAAGAACTTCGAAATTTCTTTTTGTAGCTTTTAGTTTCATGCAATCACGGGTGCTCGTGAAAATCTAAATCTTTATTCAGCGTAATTTCTAGATGTGATTACAGAAAATTTCAAGTGAATTGTTAGATATTAAGAAACGTGGCAAAGACTAAAGTGTATTTTTGAGGACTTGCTTTAGAAAATAAATAAGTGACAGCCAAATGTGAGTTGTCGGTTCGTTTCAAATGAACCCGGATTTGATCGTCACCGTGTACTGGTAAATATTCAACAAGTTCATATGAATACTCGGCGTCGGATATTGTATCAACGAACATCGATTGTATCTCATCGATCCCTACGGCTACTGTATCATAATCGAAGACGATTCGACAATCTTTATCGTAAAATTCCAATATTTCTTCAAGTCTATGCTTATTAAGAGCGGAGAGATATTTTTCGTATTGACATTTTCTTGCCGATGAGACCATATTGTGTATTTACACGTGTGACACGATTGACTAATATGGATTGCAATTAGTCAGCCGTACTATCGAACAGCTATTCAAACAATTGTTCGACGTTAACAATAACAAAGTGCATTGTTGAAATAATATCCTCACCCGTTAGTCTCGTACTGCTAAGCTTCTGTCCAAAATAGAGTTGTGGAATAGTATCGTTCTGTAGACTATGAAAAAGGAATGCGCTGATATTTGACAAATAAAGGTGTGAAGTAGTCGGTTTAGTTGAGCCGCGATGATTACAGTCTTTTCTTAAAAGATCAATGGATCATTCGACATCAATGTGGAAGTGAGCAATATAACGTAGGCGTTTCTTGATATGTGTGCAAAATAGTCAGGGTGAATTTTTTCAATCATGTCCGATGTCACACTTTTCTCTTTATATAAACAAGTTTTTCCGTGCATATTCTTGTGTGAAAGGCGACTACTTGTTCTTTTGTTCGATAAGTAGTCTATTAAACATCACGCGTTTATTACTTCCCACTTACCAAAAATGAGTGATCCTTGGAAGAAGTAAATGGAAGTGGTTGCTTTATCGTACGTTTCGCACGTCACAAATGATTCACTGACTACCGGAGCGATAACTAATAGAATGAGCGTCTTTGTGTATGTATATATTCATGGGCAAAAATAAAATCTGATATCATTTCGACGATAGATGAGGCACGTGTACGTTTAGTATTCGTTTTTATACTGTGCAAATAGAGGTGTTGGATTGGTGCAGATGACAGCGAATGAGCTTACCTTTTAATTACTAAGTCCACGGGTAATTTCGTTATTTGTTGCAATAGAACTATAAATCGTGGTTCTTGAGTTTCACTATAGATTGTAGTGCAAAAATTCTCGTATACATAGAAAGTAGCGACTCATAGAGACGAGTTACTTCGAAAGTTCCACTCAGAGTGCGCATGCAATCTGGAAAAAATTCTTTCCAACAGAACAGTTAAATTTAATGTTTATTTTAGAATTTTTCGTAACTACTGTACTGTAAAAAGAACTATTCGAATCAGAATTTAAATCTGCATCGAAAAGTGAAAATTTTCTTCACTGGGCAAGCTCTGGAAAAATTTTTATCTAAGTTTCTCCACTTACGTAGTGAAAGAATAAAGATGAAGGTGAAATTTTCTCCAAAGCTTTCCCGGTGAATAAAAATTTCACCATTTGATGCAGAATTAAATTCTGATTTCGAATAGACTAGCTTTTATTCACCGGCCATAGTTTTTTAAAAAGATTTCAGCTAAATATTGATTTTTTGTGCTATACTTTCACATCAATTCTATTATTTACCAATTGATTTCTTTCGTAGATTATATACCACATTGATTTCAAGTATATGCTTCATATTTGTTATTTGGATGTCAGATTACATTGGAAACGGAAAGATCGATCTTTTCGGAGGACTACAAGTCAGCAATTTGATCGATATTAATCCCAAGTTTACTTGTAACATATGCAATCATCTATTGTTATATCCACACCAACTGCTGTGTTGCGGAATTGTATTATGCAGGTGGTGCTTCAAAAAAGGTTTATCTAATAGGTAAAAATCTACTTCTGACTTACTGTTTTTCACATTGATATATTCTTTTGTGTAGCGAGCCGTTTGTTTGTCAATTCTGTACGACGAAAGAACGAAAGAAAAGAGTAAGTAGAAAATTTATTTATTTATGACATGACTATATTCGATTACTAGGGATTACCGGATCGTGGCGTGGAAAGAGAATTGAAGACAGTCATAGTCGCATGCCATTCGTGTTCATGGAGTGGGTGTTATCAAAATTATTTGGTAATTTAGTTGTCAGTCTGAAAATTCGTATAAGAAGAATTTTCTTTTAGGATCATTTACAACAACAGCATGCTACATTTGAATGCATTGATTGTCATGAACGATTCATCGCTAAAAATTCTTTGCAAGAACATCGACACGAAATTTGTACACATCGATGTCTGATATGTGCATTACCCAATTGTCGAGAATTGGTAGGAATTTGTCAAATTAACAAATGTTATGTAAGTATTGATGTTGTAGGTCAAATGGAATGAGATGAAAGCGCACTATCTCAGTAACAAGCACCAAAAATTGTTCCTTATGTTCGCTGTCGAGCACATTAATCAAGAATCCAAAAGCGAAGATACTTTGGGAATGATACAGAATGAATTTAATGAAATTCACAGATCTGCTGAAACTATTTTATCCGTTACGGACATTTTATCCACCGATTACAAACGCTTGGTGTCCGACTGGGACGAAATGCGAACTGCTACTGAAGCACGAGATGTGAAATTGAACGAAGTAAGACATCAAAGCAATGCAAATGATGAACGTATTAAAAATTTAATCACACTCCAAACTGTGTCAGAGACTGAATTAGCAAATATCAAACGCATGTGTCAAGATAAACAAATGCTTATGATAGACAAAGATTCGATTATAATACTTCAGTTCGTTTATCCAGGTGCAGTACCTTTCTCGCTTGAATCAAATAAATTCAGAACGTCTGAATATGGTTATGTTTTCACGCTTCGTGTGTGTACAACAAGACAATTTCAAGACGAGTACCTGTCCGTGTTTGTTACTCTGCACAGTGGAGACTTTGATAATGTGATATCGTTTCCGTTTTCCTATGGCATTCGCCTTCGTCTGGTAGATCTAACAAATCAAAAACAGCATATTGAACATATTTTGAAATCTGATGTCAACTCGCCTGTAGTTAGTCGACCACAAGATGAAAAGAATGACGAATATGGGATCGTCAAGTTTTGTTCAATGGACTATTTAAGAGATCCGCAAAGTGTTTACGTTAAAGATGGTCGATTGTTTATTGAAGTGTTTTTCGATTTTTTGAAAAATGACGAGCCATCATCAACTAAGATGATAATAAACTAGACTTTCATTTTGTATTGAAATAAATATCTGAAAAATATCCTTCTCAATAACTTATGTAAAGTATGGATGTGTAGACTGCAAACGCGCAAGTCAACATTTTAGACCCCGGACATCTAAACTTTTTCTTTCATCAGCTATTCATATCGTACCGAGTGATAGACCAATGTATGTGATATACTGCTGCGCTATCGGCAATTGTCAACGAATAGAAGCCCGCTGCGAATTTTGAGTTTATTACATTGCATACTTTTATTTTAAGAGCTTGACCAATGATATCTTCATCAGTATAATATGTGAAACTTGCTCGTCTTTTATGAGTCCGTCTAAAGTATTTAATACTCATAGCTGCACTCGTGTTAAGAACTGAAACAAGACCGTTCAATCGATTGGTTACTTGTAAGAAATAAAGGAATAATATGATTTGTAAACGAGTACTGGTTTCAATTAGATTGTTATTGACGTCAACTTATAATTGAACTTGATTTTCCGATAGAAATGCAAGAGAAATCAGCTGACTATTATTAAAATCAAATTGAGTTTGACGAAGTGTTTCTTGAGCGAACAAACAAATAGCAGCGAGACATTCGAACTTTACAGAAAGAATTTGCTAGAAACTGTAGAGAGACATATGGAGCAAGTACAAAGGAAAATTTGATTTTCTTTAATAACTTATGTGTACTGCATAGTGACTTGAGTGATAAAATCAGACGAGCGTATCTGAAATGACTTTTTTAAGAAAACATGCTGTAGACGTTAATGGATACTTAGGAAGAAATAGCTTGTATTACCGTAGATCGATGAATATATGAGTTTTATTTCTCATTTTGAGCTGTTAAAATGTTGGAACATTTTAAATTTCAGACTGTTTCTGTTGATCACAAAAATAAAAAGCGATCAAACTTCATCAGTGTGTTTAGTATTGTTTCTTTTGTAGTGATGTGATTAAGACCTTCTTTAATATTATGTTTGGGAGCTAAAGAGTATTTTTCCGTTGTTGAGTTCCATCGCAAAATGTATCTGAGCAGTTTTTGAATGAATTACAAAAGCATTGGTATACTTGATCAAATAGTAACACTGTTACATTCTTGTATTCTGGTACTCAGTTTAAAACAAAAATGGATACCTGAATGTGCATTCGCATGTTCGATGAATGTTGTAAACCGTGAGTCATTCGTGAAAAAGATCTCGGATCACAGTCATAAACTGTTTTTATAACTTTGACGTCAATGACAGTTGAAGTTTATCATGATCGCTCATCGTCATGTTGAGCAACATATTTAAATATCAGCGTTAAAAGCAAGCTAACAGAGCTTATCTCCTCTTTTTACTGCTATTTATTTTTAAACTTAGATATCTATCATGAATGATTTTCATAATCATCCACATACATTGATTTGAAAAAAATATATATCTAAAACGTAATTCGACTACATGGTCCCTTTCCATCAGTAGAATCATCATGTGATGACGAATGCAAACAATTACGCAGATTGCTTTAGTTTTCGACAATGGCGTAATAAAAAGCAATAAAACTCGCGTCTTATCTCATGTTGTTAAAAATCAATTTCGAAAGCAATAAATCTTGTTGCATAATACGCATGTGATCAACAAAATGTTTCCAACTAAGAACCTCGATCTGTATTGAATATGTTCGACGTCATACTCTGCATGCATCTTAGTACTCAAGGATGATTGTAAAAGAGACATTATTAAATTGTATTAATCATCCGAAAAAATTCACTGTATATATACGCGAGATACATAGCCTTCTATAATCACTTATTTTCCAAGCGTAAGCAATGCTTTCATTGTTTCAAATTCTATTGTTGGGCCTGATTGTCAATTTGACTTTCTGTGCAGTAGGTTGATTTTGTACTATTCTCTTCTAGTCAATTGCCTCTCTGTATTAATAGACTCCGACCATCCATTGTAGCCGAAAAACGCCCGCTTTCACGTGTCCATCATGGACTTGTCAACCAAGAGCTTATCTCGACAGAGAAAAGAAGTATGAAGCAAATTGCTACAAATATGAACCGGGCCCAAATGGAAGAGTAAAATGGTATTACATTACATTGCCAAAAGGAGACAAAGCTTATGTGAGCAATAAGTACTGTTATGGTGTAGTCTCTAACAAATGCAAAGAGTAATACAACAATGTTTTTTTTACGAACTATTCTTTTTGATGTTTATTCCTGAAAGTCAATAAAAATGTTCATTATAAGATCATATTTCTTGCTGGATGAAAAACAAAGTTTGCTTGTCACGATGAACACGATTGATGTCAATATTTATCATGGGAGTTGTGTCAAATCTCTTCCTATTCAGCCTCTTTTCAATAATTCAGATTAGAACGATGTTGTCAGTTTTCTATGTCATGTTCTTCTCATCTATTTTGTATGGTTTTCAATCGATCCTCTATGATAAAGATCCTTATGGATACGATTGTATACACTATTTCTCAATGGACTTGACTTTTACTGATATTGTCAAGTATTGCATTCGTCCAGCGAATGAAAGTAATTTGTTTGATATCGCGTACGAAGATATATCTGAGCCAACAATGACATTTGATGAATTGAGTCGACTAAACGTCACCTCGTCTGATCTTCTTCGTTGGTCGTCATCAATTGATTTAGTCGAACGATACCAAGCTTATCTGGACCATTCGACTGTATCCAATCGTTCAAATGAAATGTTTATGAATTGCACAAGACCATGGTTTGGATCTCAATGTCAATATTCATTCGATATGACGATGAATTTTGATGATGTCATATCTCTTCCACCAACATGTTATATTCTTCTACAATGCAACCGTGGTGATTCGACAATCTGTCTTGACTGGCGTGAAATTTGCAACGGACAAATCGATTGTCTTAATGATGGAATTGATGAAATTCAATGTATTGAATTAGAAATGAATGAATGTGGCGAAAATGAATATCGATGTTATAATGGTTTGTGCATTCCAGAAATCTTTCTCGGAATTGAATCAATCGAAGCTGAATGTCTTGATAGTTCCGATTATTTTACTGATTTAGAATATGGATTGAATTTATTTCACTTTGAAGAATCGCAATGTCGACCAGATCAAGGACAATTTTCTTGTGGCAATGGACAATGTGTTGAAGAGCTTCATGAATGTGCAAATCAACGACATTTAGCATTGATTCAATCAATTAGTGATAAAGGAAATCTTTCCATGAACTGTTGGCAAATAATTGCTTGTCTTAGTAAGATTCTGGATGTAGTTGACAATATTCCATGCGAGGAAATCTTAGAAACGACTGAACAATTCGAACGTTGTCATTTTCCAATGGAATTTCCCACGAAACCGGTGCTCTACGGTCATATACGATTTCTTTATCATTCGAAAAATATTCAGGATATCAACATAAGTTTCGCTCTTCAACCTGACTATATCTGTTTTGATCACAAATTATGTGATTTTCTTCAGTCGAACTATTCGATTAGAAACCTTACATGTCGATCGAGTGAACAGATGGGTTTGGGTTCACATCTTCAATTTACAACGTGGAAATCGATGATTGACGCCGTCAAACCATACTTTACCGGTTGTACGACACGACATTACGAAAACGCTCTAGTTGGATTTCCATCAACGTTCTATCGATGCAAGAATTCATCGAAATCAATTTCCAAATATCGACTTATGGATGGAATAACTGACTGTCATTTGAATGATGACGAACAAATCAATGGATCGTGCTGTTTAGACAATCAGACTTTACGATTTCAATGTCCGCAAGACAGACAATGTCGCCCATCGTTGTATCCACGTGCGAAGTGTCTATGCGATCAAGAAATTCATTTGAGTACGATCGATTTTTATCAAATCTGTGATCGTATCGATGATTTGCCTTTATTACTAATTGATGGACGGAATCATTCAGATGAAACTGACTGTGAACATTGGGTATGTAAAAACATGTATACACAATGTGATGACTTTCCAAATTGTGCCAATGGTGAAGATGAAATGAATTGTTTATCCATATATCGAAGCACAACTTTAGATAATGAAAACGATACAGAATTATTAGCAATCAATTCCACTGAAGTAGGAATATGTGGTCGTGGCTTGTATGTTCCTCATCGATTAGGAATGAATAACTACAGTTACGTATGTTTTTGCCCACCAAATTATTATGGTGATCGATGTCAGTATCAAAATCAACGTGTTAGTCTAACTCTTTCTATAGCTACCGTTGATCGTCCCTTAATCTATGCAATTGTCATCACGTTAATCGATGATGATCATGATCAAGAAGAAATCCATTCATACCATCAATTAACTTATACAGCCAAAAGTCATTGTGGAAAACCATTGAATATCTATCTGTTATATTCAACTAGAGGAAAGAATAGTTCGAAAAACTTTACTATTCGTATTGATGCATTTGATAAAAACTCAATGACATATCTATTGACATGGTATGTAAAGATTCCGTTTGTATTCCTTCCGGTAAATCGCATTGCCGCCTTTTTAACATTACCGACTACTCGACCTATGCAGTCGATTCTTTGTACACTTCAATGTTCTTACGGAGTATGTATGAAATATCATAACGAAGAGCGACTCTTCTGTCGATGTCAACCGGGTTGGTCTGGTGCACGTTGTGATATTCCAATAGATTGTAGCATGTGTGCAGCAGGTTCAATTTGTGTTGGCTCTGTTCAAAATCGTTCGATATGTATTTGTCCGTATGGAAAGTTCGGCTCATTTTGTCGATTAAAATTAACGTGTCCACATGACTATTGCGAAAATCAGGGTCGTTGTTTCGTCATCGATGAACGCATGATTAATGAGAGTTATGTATGTTTTTGTTCAGAATTCTATTATGGAGATCGATGTGAATTTGAGAAATCTCAAATTGAAATATCATTTCAAAATATTCAATTCACTTCATATTTTCATATTTATTTATATTCAGAACCAGGTTTTCCTGAACTAAGATCAATTCTGCTGAGAAAACCAACTATGTTTCAAATCAGTGTTACATTATATTCCGAAGATGAGATTGGATTGATTTTTATTAAAATGAATAATCAATATTATCTAGCTATTCCTCAGAATTCTTCTCCAATTACGATTACTCCAACGCATCAATGTTTCAGTTGGTATGAAGTTTTGAATGCAAAATATCGTTCTTTGCCACGAATTCATCGAATGAAGTATTACCATCTTCCATGTCAAGAGAACCGCAATCTTCGATGCTTTATCGATGAATATTACATGTGCTTATGTACTGACGAGCATTACAGTAACTGTTTTCCTTTAAATCATCAATCGATTTTTGAATGCGAAGATAATGTGTATTGCGAAAATGGTGGTCAGTGTTTGCAAGATCAAGCGATATGTTTTGCGAGTATTTTATGTGTATGTAGAGATTGTTTCTTTGGTGATCGCTGTCAATTCTATGCGAAAGGTATGGGATTAATGTTGGACGATCTATTACGTTATGAAATTCAACCGAATACGGGTTTTACCCAGCAATCATTGATTGTTCAATTAAGTGCAGCTGTGATACTGATTGGGTTTATTGTAGGTTTATTGAATAGTAGTTGTGGTTATTTGGTTTTCCGTCAACAAATATCGCGCCGTGTTGGCTCAGGTATTTATCTTCAATTATCATCGATTATTTCAGGTTTAGCTGTTACTTTGTTAGTGGTGAAATTTTTCTTTATCGTTTGCACTTATATCGATCTATCAATTCATCGCAATGTTCTTCGCATAGGATGTCTATTAATTGAACCTTGCCTTCGTTTGCTTCTCTATACGAACCATTGGTTAAATACGTGTGTGGCGATTGAACGAGCTGTTTTAGTTTTGCAAGGTGTGAATTTCGATAGGAGACGAAGTCGCACCATTGCACGACGAGTTTGTCAGTTGTTACCGTTGATTCTTTTAGCTTCGATGTCTCATGAACTTAAATATCGAGATTTATTTGAAGATTACGAAGAACAACGTTTTTGGTGTGTACTTCGTTATTCGCCGACTGTAGAAAAATACACGAAAGTTATCCAATTTATACATTTCGCAGCTCCTTTTACCATCAATTTGATTTCTGCTCTTCTTATCATCATAAATATTACTCGCCAACGATCAGTAATTCGACATCAACGACGCTATGAACAACAATTACTCGATCAATTCAATGAACATAAACAACTAGTAATCAGTCCTATTGTGATGGTCGTTCTCTTGTTTCCGCGTTTCATTATTTCGTTATTATCAGAGTGCGTGAAGGTATCTCGAAAGCCTTGGTTGTATCTTTTTGGATATTTTTTCTCTTTCATTCCGTCATCGCTTGTTTTCTTTATATTTGTACTGCCATCGAGCTTGTATCGAACTCAATTTCAAGAATCGATTCATACTTGGCAACAGCGACTTTTCAGGACCACTGGAGCATCAGATTGAAGAATCTTTGTCTTGAGACTCGAAATAGGATGATGTATCACCTGTACTTATCACGAAGAGCAGCGCACACGTGGAACAAGAAGAACAAGGGACTGTCGTTTTTTCTTTCTTCTGATAATGGTCACCCGATTAAAGTATTTAAATTTATTTTTCGTTTTTCTCTTCTGTATGTAGAATATACACGCTACGAGAAATATCACCAAACTTTTTGCATTGTTCTCATAGTGTAAGATTCTTTTACATACACTTTTCTAGTCTATAGAAATATCAGCTGCGGATTTTAACACAATATTCTATCATTTTATCAAAACGATTCTAGTGCACGCTTGCCTTAAAAGTATTGTATTCAGGATGTCGACGTCACGAAAATCATCAGAATCAAATCAGCAAGTTGATGTTGATGCCATGAGCCAGAAACAACAGCAACAAGCTGATCAATATGCCAATGATGAGATTGAGCAACAACTAACTGGTCAAACCACTACGAATACCAAACTTCACCCGCAACAACCTCAACACAGTCATGAAGTCAATCTGAATGCTATGAGTCAAAAGCAGCAACAACAAGCTGAGCAATATGCTGTCGATGAAAGTCAATAGTAATAGATTCATCAACATCAAGCTGGAGACGAATATATACATTCGAACGTTTCTGTAGGGTTTAGACATATAATTGAATAAAATCATTATCTAAAATATGATTCTTTTTGAAAGAATAAAGATTAAAGAACATAGTATAATCTTGACTTGGCCTACCGCCATCAATAAATATGTGATGAGTTTTTTTAATAAGACGAACCAATTTATTATTTAGGGTACTTTCAAACAAAATTAATTTAAATGAACAGAAAAGAATAATCTTCCACAAAAAATCCCGTCTTACGATCTAACGGACCGCTATATAATGATGTCCAGACTAGAATTCATCTGCATTTGATACGAAACGCTGATTATTTAACTACTAGCATAAACTCAACGATGGCATCGAAACTGTTCTACTTCTTTTGCGTTGAGCACTTTTACATGGAAATTCCGTACACGACTGATGCATTACATATATATCCTCCATAGACTTTATATCATCTCATCTATGGTTCTTGTTTATTCTATGTATTCTTAATTACAATGATTTTTCTAGAAGCAGAAGTAATCTAATTGAGGGTGTTGTTGGAGAACATTTTCACCGGTTATGACAGCAAAAATATTATGTGCTTACACCCGCTCACACACAATAACCTATTGGTGATAATTTCCGATTTACTTCATCTTTCAATAAAACCAATCCAAAGTTGTTTCTCTTTTTCTTTAATCGAGATGACTAATTCTATTCTATACTTCAGAACATCTTCGCATGCAGATAGTTCTCCATCACTTTGTAGCTCTAAAGTCAAATCTACCAACTTGTTTTCTTCACTTGTATTTAAAATGGTGGAGCAACTAGTGTTGAATCTCTTAGGGTGCTAGAAATAATGTTGAAGTCTCGTACAGTCGTCATTCAACAAACGTACAGGACATCGACCACTCGAACTAAAATGCGTATGATGAGAATTTTGCGAAAAGTAAGATATCGCATTTGTTGCGTGTTTAAAATGACAGACATATCAATATTCATGTTAGTTGCTGCTGATACGTTTGCCAGAATTATGTCTGAAATTAGTTTACCAGTGTTAATAAAAGAACGTTTTCACAGAGGTATTGAATTTAAATAGAACTTACGAGTAACACACCATTTGCTTAGCATCTTAGTTTGTAAAGTACCTTGTTAAAACAGGATATTACACTTAAAACGTTTTATTGAGAAAACCACGGAGAAAGAGGATTTTTAACCGCTAATTTTCAGACTCTTTCAACATAAAGCGTTAACACAGCTTAAAAGAGAAAATTTCAAGGGTAAAACTGTTTATAACTGTAAAATCAGAAAAAAGCCCTGATACAAAGATAAAACGCAAATTTGACCGTTTATTGGCTGCTTGGGAATGACATGTTCTGTCACTGTAGTTTATTACTGTTTAATCATCACGCAGTTTATCTCTTTATTGTTGTCAACCAGTACATAATTGTGAGTGTTTTCTTCACATATTTTGTTTCAAAGAATGAAATCCCGAGTTTTCTTGCCATATGCATTCTTTGCCAATGACGATTTGTCTCATAAATAGCAAATCAGAAGCTATTCGATGAAATATGAATTTCAAGCATCCATACTGCATTGAGAAAATTGACTGTAGGAATTTGCTTATGGTAATCCAAAAGTAGTAACGCAGGTACATCGTTCCATTAAGCAGAGACCAACAGAATTTTCTTTTCCCATCACTAGATAGAACGTGTTTCACTATATCTTTCTATGGCATTTAATAAGTTGGTGAAAATTTGAGAAACGGTTTTGATGGATTCTTTCTTATATTTATATGGAAGCACGAGCCAAGGAATGGCAGGAAATCTTCTTAACGGAATGATGTACTTCCCTCACGACTTTCAGTTTACCTTAAGTAAAAGTGGATCCGCTTCTCCTCCCATGAATTCATTAGTTTTCGGTTTTTCAGTCTCAAATGATATTAGTGCGATAAATTGAGTGTGAACGAAATACTTTTAACTATTTTTCAGCAAGGATTTTTTAGAAGATTTTTGTTTTTAGAAATGGCTGCCGCTCAAATTTCGAATGGAAATTTTTCTGAATCATGTTCTGTCACCAAAACTTTGAAACCACTCGGTACTGCCCCACTTGACGAGGATACAATCGCACATTATGTATTACCATTATTTTCTTGCATTTTAAAACGTGATGTCAAAGAAACTTACCTTGCAAATCATTCGTTAGGCCGTCCACTAGACGCAACCATTAACGATCTAGCTGAAGGAATGAATGCTTGGTATACCCATTGGGACGAAGCATGGGATTCATGGTGGAAAGAAATAGACGCCTGGCGCGCTGCAACAGCGAATCTTCTGAATGCATCCCGTGCTGATTGTATCGTACCGAAGACGAGTGCTGGTCAAGGCTTACTTTCTGTACTAAATAGTTTCGGCACACCACCATGCGTGCCAACAACTACAGGAGAATTCGACTCACTCGACCATATTCTAAAACAGTATGCAATTACTAATCATGCCACAGTTACATGAGTAGCACCGCGTGAAGATGGCTGTTTCTACGTAAACGATCTCATTGCTAAGCTCGATGATGTTGACCTTGTGGTTGTCTCTCATGTATTCTTTGCTACTGGTCAAATATTGGCCGACTTGCCACGGCTTATATCTGCTACACATCAAGCAAATGTCTATATTCTACTTGATGTCTATCATAGTTATGGTGTGCTACCACTCGATGTGACTGCACTTGATATTGATTTTGCTGTGGCTGGTAGCTATAAGTATTTACGCAGTGGGCTAAGCGCATGTTGGCTATATGTTTCACCTAAAATATTGATGACTGAACGTACTACACGTGATACTGGATGGTTTGCGAAGAAAGATCCATTTAGTTATCATCGCGCTATACCACCAATCCTCGCAGATGGTGGAAATCGTTGGTTGGAATCAACATTCAATCCTCTGAGTTTCTATCTGGCGGGTGCAGGGTTAACCTTTGTGACCACAATTGGAGTATCTCGTCTTCGAGCTTAGTCCTTAAAGCAAAAGCGTTTTCTCGCTGCAGCTTTGCGTCGAAATGGTGTATTTTGTCGTGGAAAAGGAGAAGAGTACGGTGCTTTTTTGATAGTTTCTCATAAAAATTCATCGGAGTTTGTCACACGACTTAAGACTGCTGGCGTGAATGTTGACGCACGCGATGAAGGAGTAAGACTTACTCCAGACATACTCAACACTGAAACACAACTTATACATGCGGTTGAAATTATAGCAGAACTGTTTTGATAAATTCGAACACTTCTCACACATTTTTGTGTGTAATTAGTCAGACAATGTAATATTCTTTTATATATACAGCAGAAATAAAAACGAAAGGAAGAAAACCGGTTTATGTATTTTCAGTTATTTTGACCGAAAATAAATTTCTTCTGACTGAATTATAAAAATAAATTCAAATAGTCAAGATATTTTTGCGCTAATTTCTGACCTAAGCGGACAAGATTTTGCAAAACGCGTTTGAATGCATAAAAAAATGAACAAATTTCATCTTGTATAGATGATAATCGAGATTTCTGATTATACAAAAGAACGCAAACTGAGGCTTATGCTTTTTACAAAAATATGATTTCATTATGAATATGGAATGTTCGTTAGTAGTAGATTGTTGTCTACGTTAAGATACAGTAATGAAAATTTTTATCTTTATTTTATGAAAAAAAGATGAAAACCATACTCTTTATTCTCAAAACTAGAAATTATGTGATGGAACGCTTTTAGTAATTCTGTATAAAATACACAAACGATTGGTAAAGTCACAAAATACTTAAGACAATCCAAAAGTAGTAAGGCAGGCGTATCATTCCTTTCAGCAGAGATATACAAAACTTTCTTTTCGCCGCTAAATAGAGCGTGTTTTGCTCTATTTTGCTATGATCTTTAATAAATTGGTAGAATTTGAAGATTCTCGATTCATATACCTCTTGAATTGATAAAGTCGATAATTTTTACATTATTATCTCTTGATTACCGTAGAAGTACTATGACATGCTCCAGATTTATTTCACGAACAGCTCCCCCTTTTTGCTTTCTACTCTTCTTTTCTACGTACAGCACCCCCGATTTTCTCCATGATGGCGGATTCATCGTATACTATGTGAAATTCGGACTCACCTTGCTATTTGATAAACGGCTCCCCCTTTTAACGTTCTACTCGTGTTCCTCGTGTACAAAACCCCCCGTTTTTTCATTCTCATAGTGCACCCATAACATACCTAGTAAGTAGCTGACCCTTGTTTTGCCATTCTCACTGATATTTTGAACAAAACTGGAATGTCGGACAAACCTACGTACCACAACGAGTGTTTTAGTTTTAAGTCTGCTGTGAATATTCGATAGTGCTCGTATCCATGCTCGATCGAAGAAATATAATTGGAGAACGTCGGTAGTTCTTCACCGAAGAATTTAGATTATTTCTTGTTAAAAGAAATGGATAGATCATTTGATATTTCGCTTCGACTTGAGACGCTTCTTTATTCTGTACGTACCGTGTTGTTTCAAATAAAAATGAAACCGAGTTATAGAACTTTCGAATACTAGTTTCATATTTCCTTTCTACCACCATTGATCACCGTTAATAACGACGATAGATATAGAAAATATTCATTTATTATATTTCATAGTAACACACCATTAATTAACCGTCTACAAAACTGTATCAGTATATTTTCTACCGATCCTATTCCAAATATGAGTAAGTAGAATCGAACATCTCTTTATCGGATAAAACAACGTCACTCTTAGGCATAGCTAGGCCAGAAGATTTGTTTATTTGTGGTAAATGTCATACGAATTTTACTGATTTAAACATTTTTCTCGCGCATCGATCGACTTGTGTCGATGAACAACCGACGATTTTATGTCCTATTAGTAGTTGTCCATTGACAGCACTTCTATCTGCCGACTTAGAAACACTTGTTGATGATATTACATCGGATTTGCCTTTGACATCTGTGGAACAAATGACTACTATCAATGAAACAATAGATACGAGTGTTTCGGCTTCAATGAGTCGTTCATCAAATGAAGATTCAAAATCGGAAGTGACCTTCGACTGTCCAGTGTGTGATAGACAATTTGAGTTACAAACTGCTTTAGAAAATCATATTTTCGAACATTCGATTTGGATTCGTAACGATGAAAATACCAACGTGTCATTTATGTATAACAACGTTATCAACGAACCACTTGGATGTAAGCAATGTTCACTTACATTTGCTTCAAATACTTCATTGCACATTCATGAAAAAATATGTAAGACTTTATTCAAATCTAATTTAAAATACTCATACACATTCATCTTCGTTGAGAAAGTACCTGAGTTGTGAATATGCCATAGTAGAGAGTCACACACATGTTCTTGTCTTGAACATATAAGCCGAAAATTATATTTTAGTTCATGGTCTCAATTTGGTATTTCGTTGTTTGAATGAAACTTGTTCTGAACTATTTGATAAACCTATTGATTACATTCATCATGCACAAATTCATAGTCAACGATGGCTTGCTAATGCTGATCATTCATCTCAGAAGGACGGCGATCGTCGTCTCAGACGTATACATCGATGTAAAATATGCAAGAAATTATTTCCAACGTCGGATCAATTAAAATATCATCTGCAATATGAAAAGCACCAATTCTTCTGCCAGTTATGTCCAGCTGAATTTGAAACAAGTAACTCTTATCATAATCATTTAGCTGAACATTCCGATTTAGCACTTCATCGTTGTACACGATGCAGCAAGTCGTTTTTTAAGCGAACTGAGCTATCCAGACATATGGTTGTCGAACATAACAGCGAGATATCTCAGCAAACAATTTGTTCAATTTGCAACTTGACATTTTCAACGCGTTTTCATTTGAATCGACATAATGCAACGAAACATTCGGATATCAAACCATTCAAATGTAAAGAAAATGGTTGTGAGCAAGCATTTGCTCGGTAAAAGCGAAGTTGACAGTTTTCGTTCCTTATAATCTATCATTTTAGCAAAGATAAATTAAAACAACATGAAGCCAAACACAGTGCAAAAGGTGGAATGTATATATGTGAAGATTGTAATAAAGTATTTGTTCGATATGAACATTTACGAGATCATTCTATTGCAAAACATTCACATCAGTATCCATTTAGGTATTGAAGGTCTTTTAGGCGATAAAACAAAACTTTTCCACTGTTTTTTTAGTTGTGAACACTGTGGGAAGAGTTTTATTCATCAAAGTCAATTGTATGAACATTATAAACAGAATCATTCGCATGGAAAGCAAACGACAAATGAACAGTTGACATTGAATCGATCACAATCTAGTAACGAGCAAACGTATGCATCTTTTCAACCCTAATAAATGTAAATATATTAGAGTCTATCGGTCCGAAGCGTTTTTCGATCATTTCAATTTAAAGAAAATTTTCTGCTGGTCAACAAAGGATCTATTCTAATAGAATAAATATTAAGGAACATAGAGCAAAATATATATGTAAGACACAAGAATGCTTTGTGATCTATGATTTTCATTGCTCATCGTCTAGTAACTATCCGATTGCATGACTTTATTTGTGTTTCTTGGTCCTAAGGAATCATCTCTCCTGTGTATATAAAAAAAGCAATATTTTATGCTAAAGGGATTCCAGCGGCACCTTTATTGGCTTGATAGATAGCAGATAGATTGTCATATTGTGTGCTGATTCTGTTGATTTGAGCAAGAAGTAGTTGACGATGGGCATCTGTTTCTTCTAGTTGCTCAACCATATCTTTTATGCTATAACTTCGCCAAAATGCATTGTTCCGATTGTAGAGTGAGTTATCGTTGTGTTCATTGCCGAAAACTTCTTTCAAAATACGAATATCATGTGGAATATTAAAATTATCACGACTATTCTCGTGGCTGAATAGATAATAGAAATTGTCGTAACCGCTCCATGTAATTGCCGATAGACATAGAGAGCAAGGTTCGTGTGTTGCAAGAAAAATACAATTTTTAGGTTGTGGAAGACTGGAACGATCAGTAGTTTCGTAAAGTTTCTTGATAGCATGCATTTCGCCGTGCCAAAGTGGATTTTCAATTTCGTTATTTGTTTCGGCAATAACAACTGATAGATCAGACTTTTTTAGAATAGCAGCACCAAAAATTTTGTTTCCTTGAACAACGCCAGCTTGGGTTTTAGGTAAAATATCTTGTTCAATAACTGTTAGTAAACGGCTTAATAATTGAGAATCATCCATTCGAATTCGCTGCACATAAGAACCGATTGATTTTTATCAAGAGAATCAACACTAGAAATATAACTCAATATACTACTGAGAGTATTGACAGATGCGATATATATATACCGCACTCTCTTCGTATTAATAATTATCTCGACATATAGAATCGTCCTTCACCCTTTGCTTACATACCTGGCTTGTATGTATTCAGCACGTGTTATGGTAAACGCTCTATATTTACAAAATAGTAGGACGAAAATATGGAGTATGCGCAAGTGATTATTGTTGGCGGGGGTATTTCGGGCCTTGCAGCAGCAAAGACTTTAGGACATGCAGTGAAATATGTTCTAATCGAAGCACAAGATTATCTAGGTGGTCGAGTACTTACCGTCGATGCGGGTATAGTTGAAAGAAAACTAACACGATGATCTTTTTACTTATTGTTTTTATGTTTCATATAGCACCGGACTTGGCTGTTGACATGGTATTTAGGATGTTATTCGAATGTTTTCTTGCAGGTGAACATGTCAGTGATGTTTTTAGGGTGCTCAATATGTACTTGGAGATAAGTCGGCACTATACAAGATCTGTGATGAATTGAAGATGCTTCTTGATGATGACGATGCTGATGATGATGGTGTGTAGTATATTTTGATATCAATAGGTTTATTGCTTTATTATATGTAGAGGCCGTAGTTGTGACTACTGACGGAAAAACTATCAATTCTGAGTTGATGGATAAAGCAACTGACTTCTGGGAACGTTCAATCGACGATGCGGAAGATAAATCTGACGGGCAACAATCAGGGCTTGCTGTTTCTTTTGCAGATTTTGTTCCGAAAGTATTTCAGAGGCGATTATTATCATGTTCATTATTTCCTCGTGAGTTATTCGGGCCGATTACAGATTATTTCATGAAATCAGAAATGACTGATGCCAATTGCATTTCATTATCCGATTTGAACTTGATCGGTTAGTAAATGACATAAGACATTTTTATTCGCCTTTGATCGTTGTCTTTGTTTTCATAGAATATAGTAATTATGAAGATCCGCCAGGTGAATATGAAAACGATTTAAAATATACTGGTTATCGTCCGTTGGTCAATTATCTGAAATCATTTATACCAAATGATCAACGAATACGTTTGAATTGTGAAGTCGTGCGAGTTAAGTTTCTTTCCACAGAACGTAAATTATCCGTCGAAATTCATGATTCACAGAAACAACAAAAGAAAACCATGATCTGTGATCATATCATTTGGACAACTTCATTAGGTTATTTGAAAGAACATTTTCATCGAATCTTTGCTGATGAACACGATCTACTTCGACAGAAACAAAATGCGATTACTAACATTGGTTTCGGAGTCTTGAATAAGGTATATTCAATTTTTAATCATCCATATTCTACACAACAATTCGAATTTTTCAGGTAATACTCATTTACAAGAAAAAGTTCTGGCGACAAAGTGCGAATAGCATTATACTGCTACACACTCAAGAAAATCATCTCTTTGAAATGTCGGATACTTTACGACAATTGTTATCTAATGGGTCAATCGATCCGAGTGTCGTCCAAGAGGTTGCTCATGGATTGTCCTATTGTGATGTTTTACCGTGCACTGACATTCCAGTGTTGGTCTGCTGGTTCGGTGGTCCAGCAGCCATAACGATTGAAAATTTCACCGAGCAATTCATTGGGCAAATCTGTCATGAAACCATATGTAGCTATTTAAAAATCGATCAGGACAGATACCCACCGGTTCGAGTACTAAAGTATGACAATCGCTTATGATATTCTCTCATTAACTTGTCTTTCCGTAGGAGTGGATGGCATAATAATAAATATACTCGAGGATCGTACTCGTATCATTCGGTTCGTTCGAGTAAGCAAGATGGGAAACAACTACGGATTCCGTATGCACCGGACGGAGTAAGTATATTGGTTGATTCATATAACTAGCTGAGTAATAAAATATTCAACGGTTTTTGTTAGATTCAAAGAATTCTGTTTGCTGGCGAAGCAACGCATGAGCAATACTATGCATCAGTAAATGCGGCATTTGAAACTGGCACTCAAGCAGCGAAGAAAATCTTATCAATTATCAATTAAATTTCATCAATCATCTTTCTCTTAATACTCTCGAACAATTCCTTTTTTTAATCTTTTTAACATTGATTCAGACGTAAAATAAAACATCAAACAAAGCTTTTCCTTGTAACATATATAAATATTATTTGCCTCAGTGCAACTTCCTCTTATTAAAACGAAATACGTCTGTAGGAGGCTTACTTACTTACGTGTATAGAGCATCGAGCAAAAGACTAACGTGTCATTTTTGTTCTCAAGACAATCCATATTTATTTTCTCATAGTTAATTCTATACAGGATAATGACAAAAATTGCTATTAAATAATTCTCCACTTTTCTGTTCTTAAACGCAGATCACTACCTGCTGTTGATCGACTGAGAAACCAATTTGAAAGGTAGGGCCAGCTCGTCGATATCGTCAACACGTCCAATAGATATCGAAAACCAAATAGCGTAGTTGACGCCGGAAGCGTTCCGATGTACAAGTGTAAATATAAAATGAATTCTAAAAAGAAGGTATCAATATAGACTGGTCTATCAATTGTAAAATAATGCACATTCACAGCACAAAAATAGTTAATACAAATTAAGGCCGATATTACAGTTTGCATTTAACAGTTGACAGATGAATTATCTGGAATATTTGAATTGGTGAGAACTGTCAACCGAGTATTATAAGCGAATATAGTTATAACTTTCAGCAGTGTTTGAATCAGGACTATTGTCGTCAATTGTCGATTAAGCCGACGACGAAGGAGTCGAACTGTTCGATAAGCAATTTGTCGTGCGTTTCGGTAGATTAGCAATGCAAAAATGATTGTGATGAAAAGAGGGTGAAGGTGCGAATAATACAGATATCTGTATGACGCACTAACGATTGATAAAAACTTGTTTAAATTACTAAGATAATAAGTATGTACCACAGTTTTTCAACACAATATAATATACTGATCAACAAATCAAACTGACCATTCGCAAAAAATACTGAGCATTTAAATACAACCCGAACTTATTCGTTCAGATATGCGTTCCAACTCTGACCACCCCACTGCTTCCAAGTAGAACTCGATGTGCTCTACCGATTTCAATGACAAGATTGCAAGAAATCGTATCCTTTTTCCTTCAAAAACCCAAAAACTGTAAAAAAAGACAGTGGAAAAACATCAAGATTTTGGAAAGCTTCCAGCCGATTCCCTTCTGGGCAATTTACAGTGGTTCGAATATCGGCTTCGGATAGAGTTCGACGAGCTCTATCGATTCCAATCATAAATACCTTTCACTAATACCCACATCCTCACACGCTGGTTTCTTTCTTCTACTAACAAGTTATATGAATAGACGGACGACACAATGCATAAGAGTCTTTTTTCTTTCTTTCTGAACAGTTGTGTTCGGTAATGATCAATTACAACGTCGCATGAACATACGTGTGTTTTTCTTTCAGTCATGGCTCACTAATCATTCGTAAGTGCACATACTCACCAATACACGTACTTATTTTTGTCTTTGTATGTTCTTCGAACGACAAGATGAGTTTAACATATATCCGTTTATTTATATCGATTGTTATTTTAATACACGAAATCGATGCTCGACATCGCTCCTACTATGGGACTAAAGCTCCATATAAAGTACCTGTATCATCATCACATGTTCCTAAGGAGTTTGAATTGGTATGCAGCCAAATGATTGTTCGACATGGTTGTCGAACTTTGAAAACTGTCGATTTCGATCGTTTAACAATGATGCTGTGGAACCAAGCGAAAAACGAAAATGCACTGACAGACTATGGTCGACAATTTGGCGAAGATATTCAAGATTTTATGACCATTACTGATAGAATAGGGTTTGTAAACAAGTTTGAAATTTCCCTTCTTTCATATAAATCAAAATAGGCGTGAACAACTCTCAAAACTCGGTAAACGCGAACAGAAAAATCTCGCCCATCGTTTGAGCAAACGTTTTGAACACATTTTACGCAATTCTTCGAGAAAGATTCGACTTGTTAGTAGTGGTTTGCCTCGAACGCAAACAAGTCTACACGCATTTGCTACAGGAATGCCATTGGATGCTGCATCTCTATTCATTTATGAAAATCCAAATCCCAATTTACTTCTCTTTAATCCGAGTTCTACAAAACGCCATCAACGATTCCATAGCACACTGGAATCGATTCGAATTCAACCATTGTCTAAGCGAATGGCGTATAAATTTCTCAGGCGTCTATATAAACCGTCGTTCATTCGTCGGCTCGCTCATGGTCATTATAACATTGTCGATCACGACCTGAAACAATCGATCGAGAACGAAATCGATGCTGCAAGTGCTCATCATGCTGTTCTATTAAATACTGCGAGTTTACGTGAAGACGGTGTTCGACCTTTGCTCGAAAAGTATTTCTCTCCCGATGAACAACAATGGTTTACTTATCTTTACGATGCAAAAGTTAGAAATCATTAAAACTTTTCTCGAAATTTTCTATTTTCTTTTTTTTCTATAGAAATATTATCAATCGGGTCCGAGCTTTTACAATCAAACCATATCGTTCGATAATGCTCAAGTTTTACTTGATGACTTTGTACTCCATGCCGAAGAATGTTCACGAACAACTGCGAAACATTTTCTTCGTGCCCGATTTGGACATGCCGAAACCATTATTCCATTTGCAGCTCTTCTCCAAATTCCAATCTTAAGCGACAAGCAAACATTCATCAACGATACGTTCACCTATGAAAATAATGCATGGCGCGGAGAAATTCTTTCTCCACTGTCAGCTAACATTCAATGGGAAATCTATCGATATGAAAATATTCTCGTTCGAATGTTGTTAAACGAATATCCAGTTCCATTTAAACGGCAATGTCGACCGTACAGTGAAAGACATCATTTATTCTATTCATTCGATGAACTCAAACGATGTTATCGTAGACAAAAATCCTGAATCTTCATTAACTTCTTGTTTTCTTTTTAAAATACATATCTCGACTTATACATAAATCTCTGATTTTGCATAGTCAGTACATATTTGAAGTTTTCTCACCATGCTGTGAGTCGTCTTATTCTGCTTGATATTGATGTTATCAATATATTGTCTATGTCATAATTTACGAAATCCATTCGCATGAATGCGGAAGTTGTAAACGACGAACGGAAAGAATTGGACGTTGCATGCCTGATTATGAATGCATATAAGGGCTATTGCGATACAAGACGTTAAATAACAACTGGTAAACATCTACGAAGTATTATATTCTTATTTTTGTCATGAATATTTATCGAAATTCTTTACTGCAATTGATAAACGAGGCAACAGAGCATAATTCAACTGTGCATAAAATAGAGAGGTGAAATCAGCAGCTGACGAAAACTTCTGTCGTTGATAATGAAAAGATATTCTATGAGAAACAAATGTTTTATTTGATTCTCTTAATTACTTTTTTCTTGTAAACAATTACATCAAAAAACTAATTTAATTGTTCTTCGAAGCAAAACTAATAGCATTGAATTTTGTTTTGTATCACGTTGTAAAAATAACGTTGGCCAACATCTCTATACACTCGTTTTCATTAGAAAAGATCAATTGCGATGGTAAGAATGGTTGTTGTTATGGTCGCAACATACTAGTGGCAACTCTGATGAAGGTAAAATACACCGTTTCTAGCCAGTTGAAAATCTAACGAATTCGTAAGAGAATTTGACACGAATCTACATGCGCTTTAGTGTATAAGTCTGCATGTTAGAAGAAACTGTATTGACATTAATCAAAGTAAAATATAAAAGTACGTACGATCAGTCAAAACTTATTCGACTTGAAATAATATGTTTAGCAGAAACTACAGCTCCTCCAAAAAATTGTGATTGAAATTTTGAAAAAAGTTATTACTTTTAGCGGAAATTGCGACTTCTTCAAATTTTTGTATGTAAAATGTTGATATCTTGCTTCGTATATACACATTTGTTTGACAACTGTCATCATCATTACGATCGTAAATAATGTGTATGTGCAGAACAATCAAGTTTTGAGCAAACTTCGTAAGTAGCCAATGGATTCTTCTACACAATCAGTGTCCACGGCGGCACCCAAGTATGTATTCTCCATTTTGTGTGTACCCTTATTTCGAATATTTATTTTACAGACCCAAATCGTCATGGAATATAATGCGAATCGCCATTTTCACTGTCTTGCTGTTTGTATGCGTCATTATTTCAATTGTGACTTATTGTCTTATTACCCGTCAGAATAGTTCTTCATCAGACGATGTTACAACTAAAATTAGTACGAGTATTACTTCACAAAGAGTATCAACCACTAGCAAAGGTAGCGCTACAGAGATTTCTGTAGTAACAGCAACACGTAAGTACCGATCGACGGAGTATAATGCTCGAACGAATGTTTTCTCCGTTGTAAATTCAACTTGCACTAATCTGACTTTGACTAATCAGTATGTTTAGATTTTCATTCATCTACTTGATGTTTATGATTTAGATCCACTATGTCAAGCGTTACCATTCAGTAACTATCAGTCTTACACGACTGGTAATATGCCTTGGTCGATTAGCGTTGCTGATTTGAACAATGATGACAACCCAGATATTGTTGTAGTTAACGCAAATGATCCAAGCGTCACAATCTATTTGAATTATGGGAATGGAACAGTCAGAAGTATTTCGTTCATCGTTGTTGGAACATATTCTGTATTCGTTACTGCTGCTGATCTAAATAAAGACAATACAACAGATTTGATCGTGGCTCAAGCTTCAGACAATAGCTTGGGGATGTTGCTCGGTTTTGGTAATGGAACTTTTAATACACGTGTCAATTTTCCTGTCGGTGCTTATCCATATGGTATAAGTGCTGCTGATCTCAACAATGACAGTCATCTTGATCTTGTTGCTGTTAACGATCACGACAATACTGTCAGCATCTTATTGGGATTCAGTAATGGGACTTTTCAAAGCTACGATCTTTTGCCTACGGGTCTTTATGTAACAGCAGTCGTTACTGCTGATTTCAATAACGATCAACTTTTAGATTTCGCAGTTACGGACTACTCAAGTAATACTGTAAGTGTATATCTTGGCCATGGCAATGGACGTTTTCAACAACGTCAAGCATATTCAACAGGAACGAGTCCGTGGGGAATGGCCATAGCAGATTTTAACAATGACAACTGCATGGATATTGTTACTGCTAATTATGACAATAGCACGGTGAGTGTACTGCTTGGTAATGGTAATGGTACATTTCGATCACAAATAGCATATTTATCTGGACCATATCCAATGTCAGTGGCGGTTGGAGATTTAAATAAAGATACAAAAATTGATATTGTCACTGGTAGTAGTACTAGCAATTTTCTAAGCGTCTTCTTAAACAATGGAGACGGCACATTTGCAAAACAAAAGAGCATAACAACTGGTGCACAATTATCAGCAGTGGCGATTGCAGATTTGAACAATGATAATCGCCCGGATATCGTCACTACTAGTGTATCGACAAAAACTCTAAATATATTTTTAAACTCATGCTAAATCTTCGTTTTGCTTTAATCGAATTTCAAATAAAAGGGTGTCGACAAATAAGTTATCAAATCAGTCTTTTTGTTACAGTTACATCTTCCCATACATACTCCTCTTTGATAAACCACCACAACGTATTAAAAAATACCGTACACAATCTAATCGTCGTAGGACTAGCTAATAAATCAGGACGCTGTTTAAAACATACATCAAATTGAAAGTTTATTTTCAAATCATATCAGTAGTAATCACAGTTTAGTGGTGCATCAAATATCAGTGTAAACTAGCAGCATGCCATGAGGAAAAGCATGTTTATGAAAAGTAACATATCTAATACTTAGTTGTTGTTTCACGTGTAAGATATTGAGGACGTGACTGTATTACAGCCATATCTCATTTAGTATTTTCTAAAACAGAACGCAGCAAGAGTAATGGAACTAGGCGTCATCGAACCCCGACCCAGTCCAATGATTGCTGTCGTTATATAAATTGCAATATTCTTCGTTTTCATCGCATAACTACACTTCGATGGTCTGCATTCATTTTAGTAATTGCCATACATCATCTATGGAGTCCATTGCTTGAGAATGTATTCGATTGTTGAATTCACCGTGAACTCAAGTCATATTCATTTTTACAGACACGTTAAAATGTGACCGCACCTCGCTGATGAATATTTGACTATAAAAGCAACTTAGATCAGATTGCAACAACGACTCGATCTGAAAAACATCTTGCATCCAAACCAGACACGGTGAACAGTCTCTCTTCGCTACCATGAGTATTAATCGAATAAATATATTCACATTTAGCTGAAGCTCTACAAGAGTAGTGGTCATATGAATTTCCAAACGTCCCTGCAAAACCGTTTGAATTTTCAGCAAGTCCGTAGTTTGATAGTGTTGCTGGTACCAAGATGTTACCCTGAGTCGTTTGTTGTACTAATGAGAATGACAGTAAAAAGTTACTCAGTGTTGACGTCGTAAACTCGGAAATGAGTGAATTAACTTAAACTTGAAATAGCTCAGGAAGCGTGACAAATGCGCTAGCAGATTGAGTTAAGTAGAACTGAGCCAACCCATTCTCGATCGTTTCGGAACTTAATTCACAAAATGTACGCAGTGTGCCAAATATCATCTTGAGAGTGAGGGTACTTCTTTTTTGACAGAGATCAATGATCAACTACCTTCAAGCTCTAGTATGTATTTCATGCATTAAATGACTGGCTCACGTACAAAGTGTCGATAATGATTTAATCGTAAAACAAAACAATGCTTCCATTCAGAGCCATCTTTTGTAATATTAACAAATCAAACGACGCGGATTCAATCTTAACTACAGGCGAGAACATAGAAAAGAAACTAATAATTGCAATTATTTGTCTGCAATGATGATACTTCTCTTCTTTATCTAATTGATTTATATCTGTGGTCCCCAAAAAATCTATCGGCTAACATTTCTGTAGGAAGCGAACGGTCTCAACAGATCAGGCAAGAAAGAACTAAGGACTCCACACACACATGCAAGATTTTTATACTAATTCCATTTGCATTACCTTAACAGAAACCTTCAATATGTAGATGTTGAATCAAGACTTTCTGCAACTGAAAGATTAAAGAGTATGAATACTATGTGTTCTATAGACTATCACTCGAAATTCACACACCAATACGATCTATCGACAAAACGATATGCTTTGACTAAAATTGATGAGTGTCATCTCCCTAGAGCCATTGTGTTTGAACATGTTCTTCAAATGTCAAAACAACTTTTCGGTAGGCATCTATTGATTATACAAACGCAGTAGAGTAGAGTGACCAGCGACTATAAAGCCGAACTCATTCAGCAATCTTCATTCACATCTGATTATATGTTCACTGAATCTACTTCCATCAATTTATCTCTTAGAAGCACAGCTAACGATATGGTAATGCTACTTACGAAAGAAATTGACATAAGTGCAAATAAAACGCAGTCACAACTGTTGAAAAACACTTCTATTTGAAGCCTATCGGCATGAAACCCAAGCGTCACTCATTTATCACCTAGAACATTGACGAACTAGAAGGATTGTATACTTAGATGAAATTCGCTCGCAATCTCACGCCCTCTATTAAAACTATGGTTTTTTTTCTCAGTAGCTTATGTTGGCTTGTTGTAGTGCTTATATTAGGTTTGATTTCAAGTTGCTGCGTAGCATGCTGAAGTACTTCACCTTAGTTTTTTTCTGTTCTTCTCTACTTTGAAGTTAAAAAAAAGACACTGGCTTGGCTTTCGCGGAAAGATTCTATCGTCGATACTCACAGAACGAAAGAAGAAAAAAAAGCCAACGGTGCACACTGCGAACAATAATAGGAGAATGCTGTTGTCGCATCATATTTCTCCTTTTCTCATTGCACGGACGTTCTACTACGGAATACGATACTTTTTAAAGTATGGCCCACAATACAGAACTAGTTCTTGGTTTGATTGATAAACATACTGGTCAAGACTGTCGCTGTCTAATGTTACATGGAGCTTTGGCAGAAATACTCACCTCATGCAAAAATGACAGCATCGAAACAAATGTATTCAGCGATGAAAATGAATGTGCGGAATATTTACAAAGAAACAGCAAGAAACGAATAGTTTTAATCGCAGTCGACCAGTCGTATGAAGATTTTCTGCAGGACATCATTCGAAATTATCCAGATGTGTTTGTTAAACCACCATCAGAATGTGCACGAATCTCCCTCTATATGCTGTGCTGTGCCAGTAGCGGTAAGAGAAAAAGCCGACTTGAAGATGATCAACTGCATACAAAAATCTTTGAAACTGAGGCCGCTCTTTTGGCTCAACTAATGATCGATATTGGAGATCATTTCGGCTGCCTTGGCCAAAATCAATTCAATAAAAAAACCTGTAAATCGGTTACCGAAGCAGTAAAATATTTTTCCCAGGCAAATACATTCTTCATACGATCAACTGGTTATCAAAGATCAATGGCAGCCGATGGTCGCAAGGCGATCATTGACAAGCAGATAACAAAGGCGGGTCAACTACTCGAAAAGGTAAGAAATGACACCATTAATCTATCTATTGCTTATGTAGACACACCTATTGCAAATGATACATCATTAATTGACTGTAATCCCGATGATGTATGCGACTATCACACACTTCTGAGTCAGAATAATACTCCGGCGAGCAGGCATGAAATCTTTCCACCGACGTACGTCCACTCAACTGCATCGGGTCACGCAGAAGGAACAGACGACAATTCCAATGATTATATTTACATTGTTGGAGATTCGCTTCCTGAAGAAACTTCTAAACACCTTCTCACAGTCTTGAGATCAATTTTGACCACAAGTCAAATAGTTGTCCAGAATAGACAACACTATCCGCAGTTGTTAAATGTACTCGATAGGCCAACGGTTGTTCTCTCCCTTACAACTGATGATGACAAGTCGCTGTTGGAAAAACTATGTTCACGCAGTCGACCTCCGGCAATTTATGTGCTAGGATCACAACCAAGTACTCAAAATGAAAAGGAAACGTTTTTCAGAAAATACTTTGCCATTTGCTACATGTCTACTAATCCAGAAGAGTTGGCTGTTCGAATAGCAATTGATATGGCACTGCAAAATCGAATCTTGGGCGATCGACATGCTCAAAAGAAGGATAAGAGAAATGCAAAGAGAAACTATAATCAATGCATTGGAATCTTAAATGAACTGAATAGTTTTGCTGAAAGCCGAGTTGCTGGCCACAATGGCTAAAAGGAAAGGTGTACATTGATATCTTTTATGCTACTATAGTTTACTATATATATCCTCAGTTTTTTAATTAATGAAAAGAATTTAACTATGTTTTTTTGTTCATGTATATATATATATATAAACTTTATATACTCGAACGCAACACGTTGAGAATAATGTTGAAATGTTCACTTCACGCTACGTATTTCAGATTTTTTTTCTCTGCTCCATATATGAATAATCGACTTGCTGTTCTACTTGACCCACCTAGTCGATATCCACCTGTTCAAAGTGAACTTGGACATCGCGTTCAATATTTTGCTAATAGAGATATGTCCGTCCAACACATATTAACTCAAATGCCAAACTATCAGCGAATTGATTTTTTTCTACCTTCTCACGAACGAACATTGGTTGGAAATCAAATAGCTTTACTCCAAAATGTTTATTTTCACATCTACTACCCGACCAATGATGACATTCCAAATAACCACAATAACCCATGCATGTGGATCAAAACCTTCGAAGAACGCGAACTGTGGATGAGAATTAGTTTTACAATCTATCATCATGATTGGATGTCTCATGCCGCGAATAATTTCGGTGATGCAACTCTTAATGTTTTAAGAAATACATATAATATACTTTTGCAAGAAGTACAAGCAGCACAATTGAGCGTGGAAGCTTCGGGATAGATGCCATATATCTGATTGATAAGCTGGTGAACAACGTCTGTGGAGATGGAAACTTCGGGAGCACTATGATTCGCGGCTGATGACTGTACTCGTTTACTCAACTTCTCAAAAACAACTTCCTTCTGTCTGTGATAAACAATCCATCTTGATCAACTGGTCTCTGTTAGCTAAATTGATTTATTCATTTTATTGATAGTTTAACAAATTAGATTATTATTTTTTTATTCTGCTATAATGAATTTGAATAAATTTATGAAGAAAATATTCTCCGAGTCTTACCATCTATTGCATGTGGTGTCGTTCCAATCGGGTGATTTCTTTCACATTGTTAATCGAACGTTTCAATAGTTCGAGATATGTATGATTTGACGGAAGAACTTTTTCGAAAATTTGAAGCGCTCTCTCTAGACATTGAAGTGCTTTGGAATACTGAGTCATCATTTTGCACACTTCGCCCATGTTCCAGTAACTGGCAGCTAAATCAAGATGTTCGAAAGGAAGGCAATTTTTGAAAATATCGTTCGACTTTTCCATGAACGCCAGTGCCTTGAAATATTCACCCATGTTGCAATATAGTTGGCCAATGTTATTGTACAAAGTGGCTAATGAGGGATGACTAGGAGGGAGGTATTGTTCATATATTTTCTGTGCCTTTCCAAAGGATTCAAGTGCTTTCAGGTGATCACCTGCAATGCTATGCAATTGCCCAATGTTGTTGCATACTGTAGCCAATAGTGAATAGTCTGGTAAGGCAGTTATTTGCAAAACCTGATATGCTTTCTGACAAAATTCGAATGCTTTTGGATGATTCATCATTGCGGCATGTACCTGAGCAAGATTGTTGTAACATGACGCAAACGCAGGATCATTCAAAGGAAGATTATCTTCCAGAATACCACAAGCTTTTGCGCAAAATTCGAGTGCTTTCAAAAAGTCAAACATGCTGATATACACTGTGCCGATGTTACTGTATGAAGTGGATAATGAACGATAATTTAGTGGAATGGCTTTTTCTTTAATTTGGATCGATTTTGTATAAAATTCGATTGCTTTTAAATAATTACCGACCTTACTATGAATCGCAGCAATATTATTGTAAGAGAGAGCAAATTCAGGATGATTCGGCGGAAGAGATAATTTCCAAATTTTTAGCGCCTTATCATAAAATTCAAGTGCCTTCGTGTAGATACCTGTTTTGCTAGCTATTTGACCAATGTTGTGGTAACATGAAGCCAACATGGGGTGGTTTGACGGCAGAGTCATTTCCCAGATTCGACGGGCCTCTTCAGAAAATTTGAGCGCTTTTGAATACTGACCAATATCGTCATATACAGAACTGATGTTATTGTATGACACAGCCAAATCAGGGTCACTCGCCGACAGGAATTTTCTTTTTAAGCTGATTGCTTTTTGATAGAATTCGAGTGCATTCGTGTGGTTAGACATTCTTCTATAGGCCAGTCCGATATTATTGTAAACGTTAGCCAATGCACGATCGTCTTTTTTCAAAGCGTTCAGCAGGATCTTTAAAGTTTTCTCATAGAATGAGATAGCTTCTCTGTACTGTCCTTGGTGAATTCGTATCTCTCCGAGTTGGTAGTAGCAAGATGTTTTGCCATTCTCAGTCGTGGTCTTCTTGAGTAATTCGGTGAAAAGCATTTCAGCTTGAGTGAAATGGCCTACTCTAATCATCAGTTTACCCATGCGATGCCATCCTTTGCCGTCGATTTCCTTTTGCATTCGATCCATGAGTCCGGCAAGTTGTGGATCGTTGTCATCGGTCAATGTCGCTTGTACTTCCCACACAAGATTGTTTCTCATTGAGGGTTTTATTTCGACCACGCGAAAGACACTATGCATTGAGAAGAGAATTTCTTCTTCTGTTCTCATAGCACTGTATGCGTCGATCGATGCAAATGGAGTAGTCGACTCCGAATTAACTGTCATAATAAAAATCACGCTCACTATTCCATTATCTTGGTCCAATATACTTTCAGCAAAAGCCCAAGCAACATCGTGATCTCTACTAGTGGATAAGAAACTGTTAAATGCGAGAAGACCACCCTTAATATCAAGCAGATGTTGAAAATCTTGTTGACTAAGTCCTTGGCCACGATAAACCGTCAGTCGATTATCAAGTGTATTCGACTGTTCTTTATGAAGCGTTTCCAGTTGTTGATGAAGTTTTCGTATAAGAAAACCCATTTTGATCATTGCTTCCGTATTGAATGTTCGCAGAGCACAATTGAGCATACCGTAGATAAAAGTACCACTAGTATACCACCAAATCGACGATTGGTTATGATACTCATGTTGAAAACGATTCAACTGAGATTCAGAAACACCCTGTTGCTGACAATAGTTGATAAGATCTTTCAAAGAGTCTGTAACATTGTCATCGTTGAATTCTAATAGAATTTCTTTGAATATCATTGAGTACATGTAGGTTGGTTCCAATTGATCGAGATTGTGCTCACCTAATAATGGTGTCGTTTTCTGAGACTGCTTTGCAATGAAGCTTATGGGTATCATGGCATAATCACATTGACGTGCCGATGCTCGAAGCGAGTCGCATAGGAGCTTGATTTCAGTAAAGGATCCGACAACTTTCGCCCATTCGTTGCATGATGTTTCAATTTCATCAAAGATATAAATACGATACAGATGAGGAACATCATGAATAAGAGGTACTAATTGTTTGCTCAACATTTCCGACACTATAAGGAACACTATTCGATCGTCGATATCCGTAAGAAAGTCAACACATTCATCCGACTGCGTAAACACATTGATTTCATTAACAACATTGCGCAGTTGTGCGAGTACGTCCTTCGAATTTTGATGGAATCGATCATCCAACCAGAGAAGTAAATAGTTTTGGATGCTAGATCCTTGAAATCGGGTAGTGGATGACATGTTGTCGACACTGCACAGCCAATTCTGTTTAAAATGAAGTGAAAACGTGCTTCTCGAAGAAAATGTCAATAGAAGCACCACCGAATATAACTTTAATGACTGTGATGTTTTTCATTCTACATTTCTCTTAGAGTAAATTTTCATTGTAAATAATCGAAAGAAGTTCAAGCAGCAAATCTACATGAGTGGCAAAAAGAAAGAAGATTAGTTATGCAAGGCACGTCTGTGCTAAACGCTAGTGTCATTGATGCTGTTGGACTGTTCTTTCGATTGCGAAACTCGAATCGAAGGAGCATTCACATACACAAAGCGTTGAACCACTGGTTTGCGTTTCTTTGCTCGTTTTTCTCGCCGAATATGTTCTAGTTCTTCGCGTGTCGGATCAATACCAAAGCAATATTTCAATATATCCATAATAATAACAAATGCAGCCACAGTTATCATCGCAATAATCGCTATATATGATACAGACTTCGATACAGTCTTATAGATGACTATTTTCGTCGCAGTTATTTCACAATGACGGCCAGAGAAACTACTACTGAGACATTCGCATGAATAATTCAGTAACAACGGTCGACAAACACCTTTGTTCTGACAGGTTACATTAATACAATAGTTTATTTTCGTCTCACATCGCCTGCCCTGCCATCCTGGCGCGCATATACAAGTGGATGCACCGGTACAGGTGCCTAAAGTAAAAGAATAATTCATTTTTGACATTCAAAAGGAAATTGAAGTCGTCTAATACCATTATTGAAGCAAGTGCCATTTTTACATAGTCAATGATCGAATTGACATTGTGTTCCATTAAAACCACGTGGGCATAAACAGCTATACCAGGGGACGTCATTTATGTTATCGCAAGTACCATCATTCAGACACGGGTTCAGAATTGCACAGGAAGTGCTTGGCAATTTGCAGTCGACGCCAATGTTCGATGAATTTGGGCATGTAGGGGTGAAAAATAATGGTGTAACTAAATCACAGAACATACTATATGAAAATACTAGTAATCTTCAGGCTCTTTTTAAACTTATAGCGAGATATCTCGTTCTCATACTCAAGATATTATATGATACCCTCTCTTTATAGATCTTTCTGATAGAAGGAGACAAACAAACCTTGTTGAACGTCAGTTGCCAGTGAATAAGTAGTTGTGTAATCTAAGTTGGATGATTTTTCTATTACGTAAGCTATACTTCACCAATGATTTGAAACTTACCGCAAGACTTTGTCATGAATACAAATTTCTGAATTCGATGATTATTTTGATCACTAACAAATATATTTCCATGATTATCAAAACTAAAAGTACTTGGACCTGATAGTTGATTAGCCAGTGAACCTCGTCCATCACATCCAATTATACATCGGTAACCACTTGATCCTGATCTAATTATACGACCATTACCAGATTCCAAGATGAATATATAGTTTTCAGCATCAAGTAAAATTCCCGTAGGAAAATAAAGTCTGATATTATTCTCTGTTGATCCTTGTCCGGCAATTGTCGTGGCATTAGACTGTTCTAATTGAAACCATTGAACACGATGATTATAGCAATCTGCTACATATAAATCAAAATTCACGTCAACAAAGATTCCTTGAGGATAATCTAGCTGATTCGATGCAGTGCCATTAACACCTGTACCAGCTGCAATACTGATCGTCATTTTATTGTCATTCAACCATCTTTTAACTACCGTATGATTTTTCATCTGTGAACAATATAAAGTATCGTTGGTGTCGACAAAAAGGCCAAAACAAAGTGCGGTAGTGTTCAGCACAACAACAGAAGAATTTGTCCCTGATATCCATTTGTTGACTGCACGATATAAGTGGTTGTATGCAATATAAATGTCACCAGTATCGGTCACAAAGATAGACCATGAATTATAAACACTATTGGGAATGACTTGTGTGGGATCGATGCTATCGTTATGCCAAATTAGAATTTGTTTGGTGTTTTGATTAACGGCATAGACCCGGTTGTTGACATCGACAAAAACGGCGAGAGGATTTTGCCCAGATATTGTCTGATTAGCAAAGGTGATGCCCAATGTATTCCACAATGCTGTTGAACAAAAAATTGGTCGATTACACGAAAATGCTATAATACAAGTAATAGTAGAACATGTTCGATGCTGTTTAAAATATGAATATTTGAGAAACAGTTAGATGAGGCTTTAATCTGAAGCCTTTATCTATATTTCATCGCATTGAGCGAACAAAATAAATTTTTACATAGACTTACTTGGTTTTTGTCCGTCGACAACCGATGAAATAAACATTCCTATAATAACTGCATTAACCTTCCACCACATCTTACCGATAAAGTGAATCTAAATAAACGATCAAGTCTATAGAATAGTTAGATATTCTTACTGCTGTAGTTGGTGCACGAGAAGTATAAAGAAAAGGATCGTGTTTGGCCTACTTCAATCATGGAAAAGAGAAATATGAGAAGTGAGTAAAAACGGCTAGATTATAAAAATAACCAACTGAACGTGATTTCAAGCACAGTAAGATGATATCAGCCGAAAAAGAACAGGATATCAATTTATAAATTCAATAAGAATTGACGTCAATAGTTATTCTATCTCCAGTCATGCTTATTTTATAAAAGCAAAACTTGACAGCTTTTGCTAGAATATGAAACATATTTTAATAGTTTGTTTATTTCCATCTGCAACCGGAACTCTGTGAATATTTATCGGGTAGACAGTGGTAAAGCTGTGCTCGTATAAAATGCTATACAAATGTAGTTAATTATTAGAAATCAAACTTTATTCCCTCTACTGAAAGGAGGGTATACAAAGAATTTGAGCTAAAGTTCGTTCGTTTGTCCGTACGTTTGTCCGTACGTTCGTCCGTTCACGTACTTTACACTAACGAAAAAGCAATCTACATCTCTGACTAAGAAGGGTTGACCGAAGGGTAATCGGGGTCGAGGAACTCGAATCCGAGGTTAGTTTCTCGAAATTCTAATTAGCTAATTAGCTAATTAGCTAATTAAGCAATGAAAATTTTCTTTGTTGTCGAGTAAGGGTTGACCGAAGGGTAATCGAGGTCGAGGAACTCAAATCCGGGGTTAGTTTCTCGAAATTCTAATTAGCTCATTAGCTAATTAGCTAATTAAGCAATGAAAATTTTCTTTGTTGNAAAGTGATCATTCCAAATCCTGCCAAAGAGACAAAATCTTTTGAACATGACTAGTGCATGTCTGCAGATACGTGCGTAAGAAACCACTAATGAGTACTGCCAATCGACCTTTGTCTTCTGTAGCGGAGTGCAATACACAGAGTATGCGTTGATCAGAACGAATGTGCAACAATCCACTGTCAAGCAGCTCTAGAAAAGGACTCGACGATTTAGCCATTGCTGATTCTAGTCCTTTACAATTAGGTAGAAAGTTCGAGGTCCACGCCGTCCCTTGTCTTGATGGACTAGGATGTGACCAGGTAAGACTGAGTACTCCATCCTTCTGCATTTCTGAATGCCATCGCACGGGCCAGTATGAATTTGTATCAGAGATAAATGTTGTATGCTTATTTTCAGTGTTTATTAAGGCTAATACACCGCTGTCCAAAATTTGAAAGCGATATTTGTCTAAGGGAGACGCTAATGTGACATTCTCTAACGCTTCTCCCACTTGTAACATTGAAGTTTTCTTCTTGTTTTTCTCCTGCACAGTCATTTTTGAGGTATTTCTATTAAAAGATTGTAAATGTTTGAAGACGGTTTCCAAGAACACATATGAGCGAGTCAGCCGCGACCAGTATAAGAGGAACACTGCTAGAAATGATACGAAGACGAAAAGCGTGATGCCAAATGCTATTGGTTTTTTCATTATCGATCGGCAAAAATAAATCTAGCTGAAATTTGAAGTTGGGAAATCTAATGCCAATGTTTGTTAGTGAACTGTTAGGAAAATAATAGTTGAAACACGGCTATATTGATTAATTAAGGAAAAACCGCCTGTTGAGAATAACGACAATTTACTATAAAGAAAAACTCAAATTGGAAACATTTGTAATTTAAAAAAGTACATTGATTCATTTTACTTCAATTACTTTAAGTATATGCATTCGCTCGTTCTCTCTCACTCTCTCTCTCTATGACATGAGAAAACGGCGAAGACAGATTGCTACAAAGAATGATCAAAAATACATGGATCTCCTTTTTTGACTATATAGTTTAGTTGACGAGAGGTGTTGAAAATAAAGGAAATAATTTCAGAAAAATCTCTTTGTTCTTTATTTACCCTACGCAATACAAACAAAGCAATGTGCTTTTCTTGACGTGTTAGTCTTTTTATGAAAGAATAATTTCAACATGCACATGCGGGCGTGAATACAATAGCGGAGCACAGCAGAACAAAGAATTTTTAAAATAGATTTGAAGGTTCATAATAGACTGATCGAATTAATTGTTATTTAAAAGAAAAAAACGTTCGTGTTCAATTGAATATATGAATTGACTATCGAGAAATGTTCCGAATTTCAGTAAATAGGCTTCGGTACGTGAAGACCTATAGATGACAAATGTTTTCAAATTAAATCATTAAAAAAATGAATCAAAACTTACCAAACGCTTGGACAGATATAGGCGGGGTGTTTCTTGCGCAAGTGTGATCAACACCAGGTGTCGCTGTGTTCAACGAGCTATACTCTACTTGGTAGACTGAAAATCAAAAATAAAGAACAATACGATAACATTTACAAATCTATTTACCGATATTAACATCGTCAGACATCACCTTTCGTGTGTATATTGCGAAAAGTTGCCTGGTTCGAGCTGGAATAATATCATTCGTCCGAAGCGTTTTTCTTGAAGGTAGAACATTGATAGAACCATGAAAATCGCTAGCAAAACGAATGGCTCGATTTGATCGATTTTCACAAATGAAGCCAAAGCATCTATATAGAACGAAGACCATACTAAACAAGAACCAGAATATATGTGTCTTTACCCATTGTCGTCGAATGTCAGAATCGATACGCCATCTCCAAATACTTTTCGATTATTAGATTGAAGGGCAACTGCATGGAATGCATTTGCAACCAATTCATAGGATGCTGGTTGTTCTTTAAGAACAAACGGTTGATCGGCATGTACAACCAAATTAAATTTTGAATATATCGAGTAGTTAACTACGGACATTGATCCAGCGAGTATTACGTATTGACCAGAAGGTACTGTTATCGATAGGGTCACATAGTAATCAAGACTGTGCTTATATTGTTTGCAAGTACCATCGGAACAAAGTACAATCAAGAACAGATCGATAGCCGGATCATTTGACTGATTATCGGTTATGGTGTTAACGGGGTTGAACAATTCAATATTAAGTTCAGTTTCGTACGAACAATGCAGGTTGTACGCTGATGTTACTTTCGAAGAAAAGTCACTGAATTGCCCTCTCTTACGAATCTTATATCCACTTGCATTGATTTTACAAATGGTAATCTCACTGAAGAGTAAAGACATAGCTTCCCAGGCTATTGGTAACAGAAAAGCACGATATATCGGAGATCTCAATTGCTAGAGAGATACATACGCATCCAGAACACACCATCATTGTCTGTCGATCTAAAACGTCGTTCTTTCATTCCCCACGGGTTACGCAATCGAACAAATCTTCGAGAAGCAACTTGTCGTACATCAAGGATACTGTACGCATGATCTGGCTCTAGACCTAATAGAACTGAATCCAAGCTAGACAGCTTATGATCATTCATACGCACCGATTTGATTAAACATTTCTTCGTTAGACAGTCTGCTCGAAGATATACATGTCATAATATAACCTACATGAGTCGTTGTTTTTTTGAAAAAATCCGATCCTTTCAGATTAGTTTACCTTTCGCCTGTGATTGAACGATATTTGTCCATAAAATATCAAGATTTGCCTTCTTTTTCGACTCAACAGAGTGCAATGAAAATACCTGAAGAGAAAAATCAAACAGCTAAATATGCGATACTAATTTGAATTCCATTTACTTCACACGGTTCACCGGTTAATATCTGCAAACCTTCTACACATCGTCCTATAGGGAACAAAAGTCTTTTCTTCCGATGAAACTATTAGCTTCCCTACCAGATTCAAGCGCTTTGTAACTTCCATACATTTTCGCCAATGCTTTCTCGATCAATGAAGCGAACAACTGTTTTTTCAGACTTCGTGTAAACGCAAGTGTATCAAATTCTGAGACAGGTAACAGATCATCGATCGTAACAGTTCGCCAAATTCCTCGGTTGCACAAACGAATTTTGTAAAGTCCTAGAAAAAGACATCGACAGTCACATTTTCTTGCAAGTCAACCGCATTACCGGCTGGATTATATTGTTTTGTAATCATAATTTTATATAATATTTCTGGTATATCAGCGATTAGTGCCAATGCAGATATCAACCAACAGTCACCAAGACGACCCTGAATAATGTCTTTCGAATGCGGGTCATTGAATATAGATAATGGATACTGTTGACTTTCCTTAGACCATCGAATTTGCTCAGGACGTAGCCTTAAAGGGAAAAATCTATTATGAAAAAGTTTCGAGCAACATTAATCTACCATCGTGTTACATTGGATCCATATTCAAAATCATTGAACGATGTTTCTTCTTTTCTTTGTGTAATACTCGAAAGTGCAGGAAGAAATTCAGGATCAAAATACTTCCTGTCGGCTATGAAAAGATTGGCAACGCTTGAAAATGAGTCTTTCGCATATTTATTCGACAGATGAAGATCACCTAGTTTCATATAACATCATCAAATTGTCTCCAACATCAATTTCGAATGCTTATCTTACGAGGAAATACATTGTGATCTACATGCAACAAAAATGGTGTGCCAGGAGTGATATGATGTGTTTTTGTTAGACGCTTCATACTTATATTCGAATATAGGCAACTGAAGATGCCCGTAGATTTCTATTTTATCACCACAAAAACGCAGATTAGAAGAAAGAAAAGGATAAAAGCGCGTGTACAGGTGTAAGGAAAGAGATGATTATGCATGATGAATCGAATACCTTTGCACTAATACTATTGTTATTTTTTGCAATGTCATTATTCATACGGACATCAACTTTACTCTGTTCTGCCTATTGAATTGAGAGATAAAGAAAAAACGAGTTGTGTGTAATACTATTTCAAGTTAAGATTCTCTTTCTTCTTCACAAAGGCTATTGCAGTATGTTAATTTGTTGTTTACGGATAGAAATAATAGCGTTAATTCACAGAAAAGAAAGAGAAATTGACGGAACATCATTTGCATTGTTTTGCTGTTTTAGTTTGATAATTTGGTAGGAAGACGTAACAGCAACGATACAATCTGGCATCCGTTTGAAAAAAAGATTTGCTGAATCTATAGTATTAGCAAAGCATGATATCACACTGAATCATCGAATTTCAGCTTGAATTTAAACGAACAAAGATGTTCGATATGCATTTGCGATTATTCATACATCCTGCTCATTTGCTTTACCAGATAAAGAATTCAATACGTTCCTATAGCAATCCTCATCTGCTGTTATTTTTCAGCCATACTTAGTTTTCGGAGTAATATACTCAAGTATGTATCCAATTAATCCGAAAATGTCGAAATATCTCCTTATTTGTGGCATTGTCAATATTACTAATGTTATATCGATCATCGTCGCGTGGTACGTTTTCAGGTTTATCTGAATGTTCGACGTCTGGAAAGAAGTGCAATATGCATCTTTGATGCATTTGCTTACATTACCGTGAACTTCAAAGTCTTCTCTCAGCCCAGAAATGAAGATTCAATGGAAAGATATTTTATTCAAAAAGATTCTGTTAGTGAATAGTATTTCTGACCTTGATTTAGAAATCGGAGATACACCGAAACTGGAAATGTTTGATGAAAACGTTTTTCCATCTCTTTATTCAAGCGATCGAACATCGACCAATAATTTCCATGAGATAAGCATTGACTAATCAAGACTTGCAATTCTTCTCCGTTCATATACTCCGTTAGTTCGAGCATTGGATCTAATTTATTCTTCTTAAGAAACTCCTGAACATCTCGATCAGACCATGACTCCATCGGCAGACTCTTATATGTATTTAAACCAGGACTGCTGCTATCTAATGGAACTGCTGTTGCTACACTTATTCTAAAACATAGAAAAAGAATTCGTGTTGGATATGGAATGTGATTGCACACTCTTAAGCTCTATGGTTACTACTCACAACGTTTCCGGGTCAGTTTGGTGATTTCGTTGTATTTCATCAATTAACATATCCATTGCTCGAGAAAAAGAATCCGACTGAACAAAATCAATGCACATTTTTTCTGTTGATATGAACTTCAGCCAATTATCAAGTTCTACTTCGCCTACGATTAATAGAATCATTTCTTTTCTCCTGTCTTGTGCATATTCAGCTTGAATTCGACAGTTGCCACTTGTTTTGTACGCTTCAGATATACATATAAGCACGCATTTTGTCTGATCTATTGCTTGTGCCATCATTTCGCATGACACCCGAATCGTTGGATTTTCATCAAACCAAACTTTCAACTGATAATCTTCAGTCAATTGTCGATAAATTTCATAAACTAAATCATAATCGTTTTGATTATAACTGATGATCACGTCATAGTCATTCGTTTCGGTATTCGTTTGTCTGAACTCCTCTTCCTTCTCTAATTTCCATAATAAACCGTCGGTTGTCTTTGTGATTGAATTTCGAATCTGAGTCATGAAGTTTTCGTTCGCTTTTAGCAAGTTCGCTGCATCTTTGTTGAATGACATGGTCAAAAGACATTCAAACCCTAATATTTCGAGTTGTTCAAGTTGAAAAGGTTTGTGAATTAGTTTATCCAACAAATTCAATCCATCACTTGCAAGAAATTCATTTTTGAATTGATCTTGTTGTAAATATGCTGAAGAGAAACAAACAAAGTCTTTGAAGCATACATAAATTGCTCAAATTGTACCTTTTAACGCCACGATCAGATCGACAATATGTATTCCATAACGAGAATAATTCGCTTCGTCGACACTGCTAGCAAGAATTGTTTGAATAGTCTTCATCAATGTTGTGATCATCTCGATCGGTTTATGTGTGTCACTGTTCAGATCATGTTCGTTCACTATTAAGCCTACTGCGACACACAGAGCGAGTTTAATTGCATCGTTCGCGTGAATATGTTGCAGAGATGTAAAGAGAATATGTTTGATATTTGGATCCTTTTTAATCATGAACAGACAATCGTTGTCTGTTCGAATGAACATGATCAGTAGTTTGAGAATAATCCAAATAGCGAATGTTGGAGTGATGTCCACTGTGTTTTCTAATGTGTTTGATTGATATTCCAAGATGATCGTGGCGAAATTATCTTGTTCTAGACGTCCGATAAGATCTGAATTGCTTACCAAAGGCAAAATTAACTTTAAAATCGTAAAATATTCGTTTTTGTGTCGAAAGTTTTTGAATTGTAGTTCGCACTGTTGAATTTCCGAGGTTTTCTGCATTTCGATCATGTTCGTAACTAAGTACTTAATCACAACTAACCGCTCACGTTCAATCAGATCTTCTCCATCACTTTGGTTGGGTAATAACTGTTCAAAGAGGAATTCGTATGTCGGTAACCAAAATTGACAAAATTTATCTTGTTGTTCTTCGTGATAATAAGTTCGATCAGTTGCCATATGAAAAAGTCGAAATAATAAACTATTGTTCGTATCATCCATAGAAGTTTTATCCAATTGTCTTAGAGCTTTGTCATAATGTTCCATAACCTCATCGGAAGTATAGTAATCGAAGATTTCGTTGTAGAGTTCAACATTGTCAGTTGGACCATCAGCTTCAGGTAGTTTTTCAATCAATGAAATTAATGCTGACATGGAAAGAAGTATTTAAAATGACAAATTTTTGTACGAGAGAAGCATTCAAAGTTTGAGAGCTGAAGGAAAGGATAAGGTATTTATCGCACGATGTTTACTGGTGCATTACGACCTTCTGTATAATAGAAAACGAGTGTATTATTTACAAATGTACTACGAGCAGATTCGGATATACTTTAGAGCATAAATTACGGGTGTCTTCGTTTTAAAATTTAGTAGAAATTCTGTCTCTGAACTCGAACGAGATGTTCACGTAGTTGTACCTTACTCAATGATAACCTACGGCCGTACACTAGCGGCCTCTGTCAAATAGCCATTCGTTACGAAGTTATTACTCGAGAATAGTTTATCCCAAATAAGATATATTACAAATGTTCAATGTATTAGAGAATTCATTTCACGACATTTCCAACGAGCCTTTCGATTTGTCGATATCAAACACGTATATCGAGCACGTATCCTATCATTCGTAGGTCAAACAAGCAAGTCTTTTTGTTTCAACAGGTACATTATGTCAGCCGACAATACTTCTCAACAAATAAACAAAACCATTCGTAAGGACGTGGAGAAAATAGTCGATAAATGCGATATCGAAGATATTTGCGCTCAATGCGATGCAGCATCGAATAAGACTGTTAGCTACTGCCGATGTTGGAAATCGAAAAAAGTAACACGCGTTTGATATAGAAGAAAATATTCGCAATATAAATTTTCTTTTAGTTTCCATTTTGCGACGGGTCGCATAATGCTTGGAATAAAGAAACAGGCGACAATGTCGGCCCGTTGGTGATTACGAAAAAACAAGCGTAGAAGTGCAACTGATGCAGAGTGTTGTGATACAAGAACTTTGAGATTTCTTTTTGTAGCTTTTAGTTTCATCCAATCACGGGTGCTCGTGAAAATCTGAATCTTTATTCAGCGTAATTTCTAGATGTAATCACATAAAATTTCAAGTGAATTGTTAGATATTAAGGAAAGTGGCGAAAACTAAAATGCATTTTTGAGGACTTGTTTTGGAAAATAAATAAGTGAAAGCCATATGCGAATTGTCGGTTCGTTTCAAATGAACCCGAATTTGATCGTCACCGTGTACTGGTAAATATTCAACAAGTTCATAGGAATATTCGGCGTCGGATATTGTATCAACAAACATCGATTGTATCTCATCGATCCCTACGGCTACTGTATCATAATCGAAGACGATTTGACAATCTTTATCGTGAAATTCCAATATTTCTTCAAGTCTATGGTTATTAAGGGCGGAGAGATATTTTTCGTATTGATATTTTCTCGCCGATGAAGCCATATTGTGCATTTGCACGTGTGACACGATTGACTAACATGGATTGCAAATTAGTCAGCCGTAATATCGAATAGCTATTCAAACAATCATTCGATGTTAACAATAGCAAAGTGTATTGTTGAAATAATATCCTCACCGTTAATCTCATCCCGGTAAACTTCTATTGAGAGTAGAGTTGTAGACTATGAAAGAGGAAAGAGCTTATATTTGACAAATAAAGGTTTGGAGTAGTTGAGTCACGATGATTACAGTATTCTCTCAAAAAGGTCACTGCGTCATTCAACATCAATGTGGAAGTGAGCAATATAACGTAGGCGTTTCTTGATATGTGTGCAAGATAGTCAGGGTGAATTCTTTCAGTCATGTCCGATGTCACATTTTTCTCGTTATAGTCTGATCAGTTCCATGACAGACTAAACGAATTTTTCCGTGCATATTCTTGTGTGATAGAATAGCGAGAAAATCGAAAGACGACTGCTTGTTCTTTTTTTTCGATAAGTGGTCGATTAGAGGTCACATGTTTATTATTTTCTCACCAAAAATGAGTGATCTTTGGGAAAAGTAAACGGAAGTCGTTTGCTTTATCATACGTTTCGCACATGACAAATGATTCACTGAATACTGGGGAGATAACTAATTGAATGAGCGTCTTGGTGTATATATATTCATAGGCAAAATAAAATCTGAAATCGTTTCGACGATAGATGAGGTACGTGTACGTTTAGTATTCGCTTTTGTACTATGCAAATAGAGATGTTGGATTGGTACAGACGACAACGAATGAGCTTATATTTTAATGACAAAATCTACGGGTAATTTTGTTATTTGTTGCAATGGAACTATACATCATGGTTCTTGAGTTTCAATATAGATTGTAGTGCAAAAAATTCTCAGTTTACATAGAAAGTAGTGACTCATAGAAACGAGTTCCCTTAAAGGGTACTGTCAGATTGCAAAAGGCAATTTGGAAAAAATTCCTTCCAATAGAACAGTTAAATTTAATGTTTAGTCTAGAATGTTCCATAACTACTGTACTGTAAAAAAAACTATTCGAGAATATTGTAGCTTTTGGAATTTTTCGATTTCTTTCTTTCGTAGATTATATGCCACATTGATTTCAAGTATATGATTCATATTTGTTATTTGGATGTCAGATTACGTTGGAAACAGAAAGATCGATCTTTTTGGAGGACTACAAGCCAGCAATTTGATCGATATTAATCCTAAGTTTACTTGTAACATATGCAAACATTTATTGTTATATCCACACCAACTGCTATGTTGCGGAACTGTATTATGCAGGTGGTGCTTGAAAAAAGGTTTATCTAATAGGTAAAAATCGACTTCTGACTTACTGTTTCTCACATTGAAATAACCTTTTGTGTAGCGAGCCGTTTGTTTGTCATTTCTGTACGACGAAAGAACAGAAGAAAAGAGTAAGTAGAAAATTTGTTTATTTGGGAGATGACTATATTCGATCACTAGGGACTACCGGATCGTGGCGTGGAAAGAGAATTGAAGACAACCATAGTCGCATGCCATTCATGTTCATGGAGTGGATGTTATCAAAATTATTTGGTAACTTAGTTGTCATAGTCTGAAAATTCGTATCAGAAGAATTTTCTTCTAGGATCATTTACAACAACAGCATGCTAATTTTGAATGCATCGATTGTCATGAACGATTCATCGCTGAAAATTCTTTGCAAGAACATCGACACGAAATTTGCGTACATCGATATCTGACATGTGCATTACCTAATTGCCGAGAATTGGTAAGAATTTGCCAAATTAACATATGTTATGTAAGTAGTGATGTTGTAGGTCAAATGGAATGAGATGAAAGCGCACCATCTCAGTAACAAGCACCAAAAATTGTTACTTATGTTCGCTAGAGAGCACATTAATCAAGAATTCAAAAGTGCAGATAATTTAGGAATGATACAGAATGAATTTAATGAAGTTTTCAGATCTGTTGAAACTATGTTATCTGTTGTGGACATTTTATCCACCGATTACAAGCGTTTGGTGTCCGACCGAGATGAAATGCGAACTGCTACCGAAGCACGAGATACGAAATTGAATGAAGTAAGACAGCAAAGCAATGCAAATGATGAACGTATTAAAAGTTTAATCACACTCCAAACTGAGTCAGAGATTGAATTAGCAAATATCAAACGCATGTGTCAAGATAAACAAATGCTTATGATAGACAACGATTCGATTATAATACTTGAGTTCATTTATCCAGGTGCAGTATCTTTCTCGCTTGAATCAAAAAAATTCGGAACTTCTCAATATGGTTATGTTTTCACGCTTCGTGTGTGTACAACAAGACAATCTCGTGGCGAGTACCTCTCCATGTTTGTTACTCTGCACCGTGGAGACTTTGACAACGTGATATCGTTCCCATTTTCCTGTGACATTCATCTTCGTCTGGTAGATCAATCAAATCGAAATAAGCATATTGAACATATTTTGAGACCTGATCTTAACTCACCTGTAGTTAGTCGACCACGAGATGAAAAGAATGACGAATATGGGATCGTCGAGTTTTGTTCAATGGACTATTTAAGAGATCCGCAGAGTGTTTACGTTAAAGATGGTCGATTTTTTACTCAAGTGTTTTTCGATTTTCTGAAAAATGACGAGCAATCATCAACTAAGATGATAATAAACTAGAATTTCGTTTTTATTGAAATAAATATCTGAAAAATATCCTTCTCAATAACTTATGTAAAGTATGGATGTGCAGACTGCAAACGCGCAAATCATCATTTTATACCCATACATCTAAACTTGTTATTTCATCAGCTATTCATATCGTACTGAGTGATATACTGCTCTATCGGCAATTGTCAACGGATAGAAGCCTGCTGGGAACTTTGAGTTTATTACACTGCATGCTTTTATTTTAAGAGCTTAGACCAATGGTATCTTCATCAGTATAATATGTGAAACTTGCTCGTCTTTTATGAGTCCGCGTAAAACATTCGATCGATTGGTTATTTGTAAAAAATGAAGAAATAAAATGATTTGTAAACGAGTACTGGTTTCGATCAGATTACTATTGACGTCAATTTATAATTGAACTTCATTTTCCGGTAGAAGTGCAACAGAGCTTATTTCCTCTCTGCACTGCCATTTATTTTCAACCTTGGATACCTATTATGAACGATGTTGATGATCACCTAAATGCATTGATTTAAAAAAATATCTAAAACGTAATTCAACTATGTGGCCTCTCTCCGTCATTAGAATCGTCATGTGATGAAGAATGCAAACAATTACTCAGATTGCTTTACTTTTCGAAAATAGCGTAATAAAAAATAATAAAACTCGCGTCTTATCTTATCTTGTTAAAAATCAATTTCGAAAGTAATAAATCTTGTTGCATAATACACATGTGATCAACAAAATGTTTCCGACTAAGAAGCTCGATCTGTATTGAATATGTTCGACGTCATATACTCTGCATGCATCTTAGTACTCAAGGAAGTTGTAAAAAAGCATCATAAAATTGTATTAATCATCCCAAAAGATTCGCCGTATATATACGCGAGATACATAGCCTTCTATAATCACTTATCTTCCAAGCGTAAGCAATGCTTTCATTGTTTCAAATTCTATTGTTAGGCCTGATTGTCAATTTGGCTTTCTGTGCAGTAGGTTGATTTTCTACTATTCTCTTCTAGTCCATTGTCTCTCTGTATTAATAGACTGCAACCATCCATTGTAGCCGAAAAACGCCCGCTTTCACGTGTCCATCGTGGACTTGTCCAGCAAGAGCTTATCTCGACAGAGAAAAGAAGTATGAAACACATTGCTATAAATATGAACCGGGCCCAAATGGAAGAGTAAAATGGTATTACATTACATTGCCCAAAGGAGACAAAGCTTATGTGAGCAATAAGTACTGTTATGGTGTGGTCACTGACAAATGCAAACAATAATACAACTGCATTTTTTTACGAACTACTCTTTTGACGTTTATTCTTGAAAATCAATAAAAATATTCATTATAAGATCATATTTCTTGCTGGAAGGAAAACAGAGTTTGCTTGTCACGATGAACACGATTGATGTCAATATTTATCATTGGAGTTGTGTCAAATCTCTTCCTATTCATTCTTTTTTCAATAATTCAGATTAGGGCGATGTTGTCAGTTTTCTATGTCATGTTATTCTCATCTATATTGCATGGTTTTCAATCGATTCTCTATGATAAAGATCCTTATGGATACGATTGTATACACTATTTCTCAATGGACTTGAGTTTTACTGATATTGTCAAGTATTGCATTCGTCCAGAGAATGAAAATGATTTGCTTGATATTGAGTACAAAGATATATCTGAGCCAACAATGACATTTGATGAATTGAGTCGATTAAATGTCACCTCGTCTGATCTTCTTCGTTGGTCGTCAGCCATTGATCTAGTCGAACGATACCAAGTTTATCTGGACCATTCAAGTGTATCCAATCGTTCGAATGAAATGTTTATGAATTGCACAAGACCATGGTTTGGATCTCAATGTCAATATTCATACGATATGACGATGAGTTTTGATGATATCATATTTCTTTCACCAACATGTTATATCCTTCTACAGTGCAACCGCGGTGATTCGACAATCTGTCTCGACTGGCGTGAGATTTGCAACGGACAAGTCGATTGTCTTAATGATGGAATTGATGAAATTCGATGTATTGAATTAGAAATGAATGAATGTGACGAAAATGAATATCGTTGTTATAATGGTTTGTGCATTCCAAAAATATTTCTTGGAGATGAATCAATCGAAGCTGAATGTCTTGATAGTTCTGATTATTTCACTGATTCAACATATCGATTGAATTTATTCCACTTTGAAGAATCGCAATGTCGACCAGATCAAGGACAGTTTTCTTGTGGCAATGGGCAATGTGTCGAAGAGCTTCATGAATGTGCAAATCAACGACATTTAGCATTAATTCAATCAATTAGTGATAAAGGAAATCTTTCCACGAACTGTTGGCAAATAATGGCTTGCCTTAGTAAGATTCTGGATGTAGTTGACAATATTCCATGTGATGAAATCTTAGAAACAACTGAAGAATTCGAACGTTGTCATTTTCCAATGGAGTTTCCAACGAAACCCGTTCTCTACGGTCATATAAGATTTCTTTATCATCCGAAAAATATTCAGGACATCAACATAAGTTTCGCTCTTCAACCTGACTATATCTGTTTTGATCACAAATTATGTGATTTTCTTCAGCCGGACTATCCGATTAGAAACCTCACATGTTTATCAAGTGAACAGATGGGTTTGGGTTCGCATCTTCAATTTACGACGTGGAAATCAATGATTGACGCCGTCAAACCATACTTTACCGGTTGTACGACACGACATTACGAAAACGCTCTAGTTGGATTTCCATCAACGTTCTATCGATGCAAGAATTCATCGAAATCAATTTCCAAATATCGACTTATGGATGGAATAACTGACTGTCATTTGAATGATGACGAGCAAATCAATGGATCGTGCTGTTTAGACAATCAGACTTTACGATTTCAATGTCCGCAAGACAGACAATGTCGCCCATCGTTATATCCACGTGCGAAGTGTCTATGCGATCAAGAAATTCATTTGAATACGATCGGTTTTTATCAGATCTGTGATCGTATCGATGATTTGCCTTTATTACTAATTGATGGACGGAATCATTCGGATGAAACTGATTGTGAACATTGGGTATGTGAAAACATGTATACACAATGTGATGACTTTCCAAATTGTGCCAATGGTGAAGATGAAATAAATTGTTTATCCATATATCGAAGCACAACTTTAGATAATGAAAACGATACAGAATTATTAGCAATCAATTCCACTGAAGTAGGAATATGTGCTCGTGGTCTATATGTTCCTCATCGATTAGGAATGAATAACTACAGTTACGTATGTTTTTGCCCACCAAATTATTATGGTGATCGATGTCAGTATCAAAATCAGCGTGTTAGTCTAACTCTTTCTATAGCTACCGTTGATCGTCCCTTAATCTATGCAATTGTTATCACGTTAATCGATGATGATCATGATCAAGAAGAAATCCATTCATACCATCAATTAACTTACACAGCCAAAAGTCATTGTGGAAAACCATTGAATATCTATCTGTTATATTCGACTAGAGGAAAGAATAGTTCGAAAAACTTTACTATTCGTATTGATGCATTTGATAAAAAGTCAATGACATATCTATTGACATGGTATGTAAAGATTCCGTTTGTATTCCTTCCGGTAAATCGCATTGCCGCCTTTTTAACACTACCAACTACTCGACCTTTGCAGCCGGTTCTTTGCCCACTTCAATGTTCCTACGGAATATGTATGAAATATCATAACGAAGAGCGGTTCTACTGTCGATGTCAGCCGGGTTGGTCTGGTGCACGCTGTGATATTCCAATAGATTGTAGCATGTGCGCAGCAGGTTCAATTTGTGTTGGCTCTGTTCAAAATCGACCGATATGTATTTGTCCACATGGAAAATTCGGCTCATTTTGTCGATTAAAATTAATGTGTCCACATGACCATTGCCAAAATCAAGGTCGTTGTGTCGTCATCGATGAACGCATGATTAATGAGAGTTATGTATGTTTTTGTTCAGAATCCTATTATGGAGATCGATGTGAATTCGAGAAATCTCGAATTGAAATATCATTTCAAAATATTCAGTTCTCTTCATATTTTCATATTTATTTGTATTCAGAACCAGATTTTCCTGAACTAAGATCAATTCTGCTGAGAAAACCAACAATGTTTCAAAGCAGTGTTACATTATATTCCGAAGATGAGATTGGATTGATTTTTACTAAAATGAATAGTCAATATTATCTAGCTATTCCTCAGAATTCTTCTCCAATTACGATTACTCCAACGCACCAATGTTTCAGTTGGTATGAAGTTTTGAATCCAAAATATCGTTCTTTGCCACGAATTCATCGAATGAAGTATTACCATCTTCCATGTCAAGAGAACCGTAATCTTCGATGCTTTATCGATGAATATTACATGTGCTTATGTACTGACGAGCATTACAGTAACTGTTTTCCTTTAAATCATCAATCGATTTTTGAATGCGAAGATAATGTGTATTGCGAAAATGGTGGTCAATGTTTGCAAGATCAAGCGATATGTTTTGCGAGTATTTTATGTGTATGTAGAGATTGTTTCTTTGGTGATCGCTGTCAATTCTATGCGAAAGGTATGGGATTGATGTTGGACGATCTATTACGTTATGAAGTTCAACCGAATACGAGTTTTACCCAGCAATTATTGACTGTTCAATTAAGTGCAGTTGTGATGTTGATTGTGTTTGTTATAGGTTTATTCAATAGTATTTGTGGTTATGTGGTTTTCCATCAACAAATATCGCGCCGTGTTGGCTCAGGTATTTATCTTCAATCATCATCGATTATTTCAGGTTTAGTTGTTACTTTCTTAATGGTGAAATTTTGCTTTATCGTTTACACTTATATCGATCTATCAATTCATCGCAATGTTCTTCGCATAGGATGTCTATTAATTGAACCTTGCCTTCGTTTGCTTCTCTATACGAACCATTGGTTAAATACGTGTGTGGCGATTGAACGAGCTGTTTTAGTTCTGCAAGGAGTGAATTTCGATAAGAGACGAAGTCGCACTATTGCACGACGAGTTTGTCAGTTGTTGCCGTTGATTATTTTAGCTTCGATGTCTCATGAACTTATATATCGAGATTTATTTGAAGATTACGAAGAACGACGTTTTTGGTGTGTACTTCGTTATTCGTTGACTGTAGAAAAATACACGAAAGTTATCCAATTCATACATTTCGCAGCGCCTTTTACCATCAATTTGATTTCTGCTCTTCTTATCATCATGAATATTACTCGTCAGCGATCAATAATTCGACATCATCGACGCTATGAACAACAATTACTCGAGCAATTCAATGAACATAAACAACTAGTAATCAGTCCTATTGCGATGGTCGTTCTATTGTTTCCGCGTTTCATTATTTCGTTATTATCAGAGTGCGTGAAGGTATCTCGAAAGCCTTGGTTGTATCTTTTTGGATATTTTTTCTCTTTCATTCCGTCATCGTTTGTTTTCTTTATATTTGTACTGCCATCGAGCTTGTACCGAACTCAATTTCAAGAATCGATTCATACTTGGCAACAGCGACTTTTCGGAACCACTGAAGCATCAGATTGAAGAATCTTTGTATAGAGACTCGAAATAGGGTGAAATATCACCTGTACTTATCGCGAAGAGCAGCGCACACGTGGAACAAGGGACTGTCGTTTTTTCTTTCTTCTGATAATGGTCACCCGATTAAAGTATTTAAATTTATTTTTCGTTTTTCTCTTCTGTATGTAGAATATACACGCTGCGAGAAATATCACCAAACTTTTTGCATTGTCCTCATAGTGTAAGATTCTTTTGCATATACTTTTCAAGTCTATAGAAATATCAGCTGCGGATTTTAACACAATATTCTATCATTTTATCAAAACGATTCTAGTGCACGCTTGTCTTAAAAGTATTGTATTCAGGATGTCGACGTCACGAAAATCATCAGAATCAAATCAGCAAGTTGATGTTGATGCCATGAGCCAGAAACAACAGCAACAAGCTGATCAATATGCTAATGATGAGATTGAGCAACAACAAACTGGTGAAATCCCTGCGAATACCAAACCGCAGCAACACCAACAACCTCAACACAGTCATGAAGTCAATCTGAATGCTATGAGTCAAAAGCAGCAACAACAAGCTGATCAATATGCTGTCGATGAAAGTCAATAGTAATATATTCATCAACATCAAGCTGGCGGGAGACGAATGTATACATTCGAACGTTTCTGTAGGGCTTAGACATATAATTGAATAAAATCATTATCTAAAATATGGTTCTTTTTGAAAGAATAAATATCAAACAAAGTGAATTAAAATGAACAGAAGAGAATAATCTTTCACAAAAAATCTCCCGTTTTACGATCTAACGAATCGCTATATAATGATATCGAAACCAGAATTCATTCGTATTTGATACGAAACGTTGATTATTTAAATATTGGCATAAAAGCAACGATGACATCGAAACTGTTCTACTTCTTTTGCTTGGAGCACTTTTACATGGAAATTCCGTACACGACTGATACATTACATATACATCCTCCATGAACTTTATATCGTCTCATCTGGCTCTTGTTTATTCTATGTATTCTTAATTACAATGATTTTTTCACGAGCAGAAAAAAGTGATATGCTACAGAACGGCTTTGTTCGTATGTTCATGTATTATTATTTTGCTTTTCGACCATTGATAACTGCATTGCAAATTATACAACTGATTACATTTACTTACATTTGACACATTGTACCGCATTCATGTCTACCGTAAGAACAGTTTCCTAAGAAAAATTTGATGGAATACCTTATTCCATAGTTGAGGGTGTTGGTGGAGATCATTTTCACCAGACATGACAGCAAATTCGTTATGTGCTTACACCCGTTCACTCTCAATAGCCTGTTGGTGATGATTTTCGATTTACTTCATCTTTCAATAAAACCGATCCAAAGCTGTTTCTCCCTTTTTTAACCGTGAAGACCATTTCTATTCTATACTTCAGAACATCTTCGCGTGCAGATAGTTCTCCGTCACTTTGTAGCTCTAAAGTCAAATCTACCAAGTTGTTTTCTTCGCTTGTACTTAAAATGGCGGAGCAACTAGTGGAATCTCTTAGGGTGCTAGGAATAATGTTGAAGTCTCGTAGTCATCGTTTAACAAACGTATAGGACATCGACCACTGGAACTAAAATGCGCATGATGAGAATCTTGTGAAAAGGAAGACATCGTATTTGTTGTGCGTTTAAAGTGACGGACATATCAATATTCATGTTATAGCTGCTGCTGTTATGTTTGCCAGAATCATGTCTGAACTTAGTTTACCATTGTTAATAGAAGAACGTTTTCACTGAAGTATTGAATTTAAATAGAACTTACGAGTATAACGCACCATTTGCTTAGCATCTTAGTTTGTAAAGTGCCTTGTTAAAACAGGATATTACTCTTAAAACGTTTTATTGAGAAAATCACGGAGAAAGAGGATTTTTAACCATTAATTTTCAGACTCTTTCAAGATAGAGCGTCAACACAGTTTCAAAGAGAAAATGTCAAGGGTAAAACTGTTTATAGCTGTAAACTCATAGAAAACGCCCTGAAAAAAAGATAAAACGAAATTTAGATCGTTTATTGGCTGTTTGGGAATGACGTGTTCTGTCACTGTAGTTTATTACTGTTTAATCATCACGCAGCAATGTTATTTTGAAAAACAAGCACCTTCTTCTGATTAATAATGATGTTTATACTTTGGCGCATTGCAAACGACATGCATTCTTTTATCTCATATTGATCATTAGCGAACGTGCAGATTTACGCAGTTTATCTTTTTATTGTGGCCAACCAATACATAATTGTGAGTATTTTCTACACATATTTTGTTTCAAAGAATGACATCCGGAGTTTTCTTGCCATATGCATTCTTTTTCAATGACGATTTGTCTCATAAATAGCAAATCAGAAGCCATTCGTTGAAATATGAATTTCAAGCATCCAGGCCGCATGGAGAAAATTGACTGTAGAAATTTGCTTATGGTAATCCAAAAGTAGTAAGGTAGGTACATCGTTCCATTAAGCAGAGACCAACAGAATTTTCTTTTCCCACCATTAGATAGTTATATTTATATGGAAGCACGAGGCAAGGAATGGTAAGAAATCTTCGTAACGGAATGATATACCTCCCTCACTACTTTTAGTTTGCTCTAAGTGTATCCGCTTCTCCTCCCATGAATTCATTAGTTTTCGGTTTTTCAGTCTCAAATGATATTAGTGCTATAAATTGAGTGTGAACGAAATACTTTTAACTATTTTTCAGTAAGGATTTTTTAGAAGATTCTTGTTTTTAAAAATGGCTGCCGCTGAAATTTCGAATGGAAACTTTTCTGAATCATGTTCTATCACCAAAACTTTGAAACCACTCGGTACTGCACCACTTGACGAGGATACAATCGCACATTATGTATTGCCATTATTTTCTTGCATTTTAAAACGTGATGTCAAAGAAACATACCTTGCAAATCATTCGTTAGGCCGTCCACTAGACGCAACCATTAACGATCTAGCTGAAGGAATGAATGCTTGGTATACCCATTTGGACGAAGCATGGGATCCATGGTGGAAAGAAATGGACGCCTGGCGCGCCGCAACAGCGAATCTTCTGAATGCATCCCGTGCTGATTGTATCGTACCGAAGACGAGTGCTGGTCAAGGCTTACGTTCTGTACTAAATAGTTTCGGCACGCCACCACGCGTGCTAACCACTACAGGAGAATTCGACTCACTCGACCATATTCTAAAACAGTATGCAACTACTAATCATGCCACAGTCACATGGGTAGCAGCGCGTGAAGATGGCTGTTTCTACGTAAACGATCTCATTGATAAGCTCAATGATGTTGACCTTGTGGTTGTCTCTCATGTGTTCTTTGCTACGGGTCAAATATTGGCCGACTTGCCACAGCTTATATCCGCTACACATCAAGTAAATGCCTATATTCTACTTGATGTTTATCATAGTTATGGTGTACTACCACTCGATGTGACTGCACTTGATATTGATTTTGCTGTGGCTGGTAGCTATAAGTATCTACGCGGTGGACCAGGCGCATGTTGGCTATATGTTTCACCTAAAATATTGATGACTGAACGTACTACACGTGATACTGGATGGTTTGCGAAGAAAGATCCATTTAGTTATCATCGTGCTATACCACCAATCCTCGCAGATGGTGGAAATCGTTGGTTGGAATCAACATTCAATCCTCTGAGTTTCTATCAGGCGCGTGCAGGGTTAACCTTTGTGACCACAATTGGAGTATCTCGTCTTCGAGCTTGGTCCTTAAAGCAAAAGCGTTTTATCGCTGAAGCTTTGCGTCGAAATGGTGTATTCTGTCGTGGAGAAGGAGAAGAGTACGGTGCTTTTTTGATAGTTTCTCATAAAAATTCATCGGACTTTGTCACACGACTTAAGACTGCTGGCGTGAATGTTGACGCACGCAATGAAGGAGTAAGACTTACTCCAGACATACTCAACACTGAAACACAACTTACACGTGCGGTTGAAATTATAGCAGAACTGTTTTGATAAATTCGAACACTTCTCACACATTTTTGTGTGTAATTAGCCAGACAATGTAATATTCTTTTATATATACAGCAGAAATAAAAACGAAAGGAAGAAAACCGGTTTATATATTTTCAGTTATTTTCACCGAAAATAAATTTCTTCCGACTGAATTATAAAAATAAATTCAATTAGTCAAGATATTTTTGCGCTAATTTCTGACCTAAGCGGACAAGATTTTGCAAAACGCGTTTGAATGCATAAAAAAATGAACAAATTTCATCTTGTATAGATGATAATCGAGATTCCTGGTTATACAAAAGAACGCAAACTGAGGCTTATGCTTTTTACAAAAATATGCTTTCATTATGAATATGTAATGTTCGTTAGTAGTAGATTGTTGTCTACGCTAAGATAGAGTAATGAACATTTTTATCTTTATTTTATGAAAAAAGATGAAAACCATACTCTTTATTCTCAAAACTAGAAATTATGTGATGGAACGCTTTTGGTAATTCTATATAAAATACGCAAACGACTGGTAAAGTCGCAAAATACTTAGGACAATCCAAAAGTAGTAAGGCGGGCATATCATTCAATTCAGCAGAGATATACAAAACTTTTTTTTCGCCGCAAAATAGAGCGTGTTTTGCTCTATTTTGCTATGATCTTTAATAGGTTGGTAGAACTTGGAAATTCTCGATGCATTTACCTCTTGAATTGATAAAGACGATAATTTTCACATTATTATCTCTTGATTACCGTAGAAGTACTATAACCTGCTCCAGATTTATATCACGAACAGCACCCCCTTTTTGCTTTCTACTTTTCTTTTCCACGTACAGCACCCCCGATTTTCATTATGATGGCGGATTCATCGTATACTATATGAAATTCGGACTCACCTTGCTATTTGATAAATAGCTCCCCCTTTTAACGTTCTACTCTTGTTCCTCGTGTGCAGAACCCCCGTTTTTTTATTCTCATAGTACACCCATCACATACTTGGTAAGTGGCTGACCCTTGTTTCCCATTCTCACTTATATTTTGAACAAACCTACATACCGCAATGAGTCTTTTAGTTTTAAGTCTACTGTGAATATTCGATACTGCTCGTATCCATGCTCGATCGCAGAAATGTCATTGGAGAACGACGGTAGTTCTTCATCGGAGAATTTCGACTATTTCTTATTAAAAGGAATGGATAGATCAGTTGATATTTCGCTTCAACTTGCGACACTTCTTCATTCTGCATATACCGTGTTGTTTCAAATAAAAATGAAACCATAGTCATAGAACTTCGAAATACTTGTTTCGTATTTCCTTTCTATCGCCATTGATCATCATTAAAATAACGACGATAGATATAGAGAATATTCATTTATTATATTTCATAGTACCACACCATCAATTAGCCATCTGCAAAATTGTTTCAGTATATTTTCTACCGATCTTATTCCAAATATGAGTAAGTAGAGTCGAACATCTCTTTATTGAATAAAACGACGTCACTCTTAGACATTGCTAGGCCAGAAGATCTGTTTATTTGTGGTAAATGCCATACGAACTTTACTGATTTAAACATTTTTCTCACGCATCGATCGACTTGTGTCGATGAACAACCAACGATTTTATGTCCTATAAGTAGTTGTCCATTGACAGCATTCCTGTCTGCCGACTTAGAAACGCTTGTTGATGATATTACATCGGATTTGCCTTTGACATCTGTGGAACAAATGATTGTAATCAATGAAACAATGGATACGAATGTTTCGGCTTCATTGAGTCGTTCATCAAATGAAGATTCAGTATCGGAAGCGACCTTCGACTGTCCAGTGTGTGATAGACAATTTGAGTTACAAAATGCTTTAGAAAATCATATTTTCGAACATTCGATTTGGATTCGTAACGATGAGAATACCAACGCGTCATTTATGTACAACATCATTATCAACGCACCACTTGAATGTAAACAATGTGCACTTACATTTGCTTCAAATACTTCATTACATATTCATGAAAAAATGTGTAAGACTTTATTCAAATCTAATTTAAAATACTCGTACACATTCATCCTCGTTCAGAAAGTAGCTCAGTTTTGAACATGCCATAGTAGAGAGTCACACACGTTCTTGTCTTGAACATATAAGCTGAAAATTATATTTTAGTTCATGGTCTCAATTTGGTATTTCGTTGTTTGAATGAAACTTGTTCCCAACTGTTTGATAAACCTATGGATTACATTCGTCATGCACGAATTCATAGTCAAAGATGGCTTGTTAATGTTGATCATTTATCTCAGAAGGACGGCGCTCGTCGTCGTCTCAGACGTATACATCGATGTAAAATATGCAAGAAATTATTTCCAACATCGGATCAATTAAAATACCATCTGTATTATGAAAAGCACCAGTTCTTCTGTCAGTTATGTCCAGCTGAATTCGAAACAAGTAACTCTTATCATAATCATTTAGCTGAACATTCCGATTTAGCTCTTCATCGTTGTACACGATGCAGCAAGTCGTTTTTTAAGCGAACTGAGTTATCCAGACATATGGTTGTCGAACATAACAACGAGATATCTCAGCAAAAAATTTGTTCAATTTGCAACTTAACTTTTTCAACGCGTTTTCATTTGAATCGACACAATGCAACGAAACATTCGGTTATCAAACCATTCAAATGTAAAGAAAATGGTTGTGAGCAAGCATTTGCTCGGTAAAAGCGAAGTCGAGAGTTTTCGTTCCTTATAATTTATCATTTTAGCAAAGATAAATTAAAACAACATGAAGCCAAACATAGTGCAAAAGGTGGAATGTATACATGTGAAGATTGTAATAAAGTATTTGTTCGATATGAACATTTACGAGATCATTCTATTGCAAAACATTCACATCAGTATCCATTTAGGTATTGAGGATCTTTTAAGCAAAAGAAAAAACCTTTTCCGCTTTTTGTTTTTAGTTGTGAACACTGTGGGAAGAGTTTTATTCATCAAAGTCAATTGTATGAACATTATAAACAGAATCATTCGCATGGAAAGCAAACGACAAATGAACAGTTGACACTGAATCGATGTCAGTCTAGTAACGAACAATCATATGCATCTTTGCAACCCTAATAAATGTAAATATGTTAGAGTCTATCGCTCTGAAGCGTTTTTCGGTCATATCAATTTAAAGAAAGTTCTCTGCTGGTCAGCAAATGATCTATTCTAATAGAATAAATATTAAAGAACATGGAGCAGAATAGATATGTAAGACATAAGAATGCTTTGTGATCTATGATTTTCATTGCTCATATCGTCTAGTGAGTATCCGATTGTATGACTTTATTTGTGTTTCTTGGTCCTAATAAATCGTGTATCCTGTATATAAAAAAGCAATATTTTATGCTAAAGGGATTCCAGCGTCACCTTTATTGGCTTGATAGATAGCAGATAGATTGGCATATTGTGTGCTGATTCTGTTGATTTGAGCAAGAAGTAGTTGACGATGGGCATCTGTTTCTTCTAGTTGCTCGACCACATCTTTTATGCTATAACTTCGCCAAAACGCGTTGTTCCGATTGTAGAGTGAGTTATCGTTGTGTCCATTGCCGAAAACTTCTTTCAAAATACGAATATCATGTGGAATATTAAAATTATCGCGACTATTCTCGTGACTGAATAGATAATAGAAATTGTCGTAACCGCTCCATGTAATTGCCGATAGACATAGAGAGCAAGGTTCGTGTGTTGCAAGGAAAATACAATTTTTAGGTGGTGGATGACTGGAGCGATCAGTAGTTTCGTAAAGTTTCTTGATAGCATGCATTTCCCCGTGCCAAAGTGGATTTTCAATTTCGTTATTTGTTTCGGCAATAACAACTGACAGATCAGACTTTTTTAGAATAGCAGCACCAAAAATTTTGTTCCCTTGAACAACGCCAGCTTGAGTTTTAGGTAAAATATCTTGTTCAATAACTGTTAGTAAACGGCCTAATAATTGAGAATCATCCATTCGAACTCGCTGCAGATAAGAACCGATTGAGTTTTGTCAAGAGAATCAACACTAGAGATATAACTCAATATACTACTGAGAGTATTGACAGATGTGATATATATATATTGCACTTTCTTCGTACTAATGGTTATCTCGATATATAGAATCGTGCTTCTCGCTTTCCTTACATACCTGGCTTGTATGTATTCAGCACGTGTTATGGTAAATGCTCTGTATTTACAAAATATTAGGACGAAAATATGGAGTATGCGCAAGTGATTATTGTTGGCGGGGGTGTTTCAGGTCTCGCAGCAGCAAAGACTTTAGGACATGCAGTGAAGTATGTTCTAATCGAAGCACAAGATTATCTAGGTGGCCGCGTACTTACCGTCGATGCAGGTACAGTCGAAAGAAAACTAACACGATGATCTTTTTACTCATTGTTTTTATGTTTCATATAGCAACGAACTTGGCTGTTGACATGGTATTTAGGATGTTATTCGAATGTTTTCATGCAGTTAAATGTGTCACTGATTTTTTAGGGTGCTCAATATGTAATTGGAGATAAGTCAGCACTGTACAAAATCTGTGATGAATTAAAGATGCTTCTTGATGATGATGATGCTGATGATGATGGTATGTGGCATATTTTGATCACAGTAGGTTTATTGTTTTATTACATGTAGAGGCAGTAGTTGTGACTACCGACGGAAAAGTCATCAGCTCTGAGTTGATGGAAAAAGCAGCTGACTTCTGGGAACGTTCAATCGACGATGCCGACGATAAACCTGATGGGCAACACTCAGCGCTTGCTGTTTCTTTTGCAGACTTTGTTCCGAAAGTATTTCAAAGGCGATTATTATCATGTTCATTATTTCCTCGTGAGTTATGCGGGCCGATTACAGATTATTTCATGAAATCAGAAATGACTGAAGCCAATTGCATTTCATTATCCGATTTGAACTTGATCGGTTAGTAAACGACATACGACATTTTTGTTCGCTTTTGATCGTTGTCTTTGTTTCTATAGAATATAGTAATTATGAAGATCCACCAGGTGAATATGAAAACGATTTAAAACATACCGGTTATCGTCCGTTGATCAATTATCTCAAATCATCTATACCAAATGATCAACGAATACGTTTAAATTGTGAAGTCGTGCGAGTTAAGTTTCTTTCCACAGAACGTAAACTATCCGTCGAAATTCATGATTCACAGAAACAACAAAAGAAAACCATGATCTGTGATCATATCATTTGGACGACTTCATTAGGTTATTTGAAAGAACATTTTCATCAAATCTTTGCTGATGAACACGATCTACTTCGACAGAAACAAAATGCGATTACTAACATTGGCTTCGGAGTATTGAATAAGGTACATTCAACTTTCAATCATCCGTATTCTACAGAACAATTCCAATTTTCAGGTAATACTCATTTACAAGAAAACGTTCTGGCGACAAAGTGCGAATAGCATTATATTGCTACACACTCACGAGAATCACCTCTTTGAAATGTCGAATACCTTACAACAATTGTTATTTGATGGGTCAATCGATCCGAGTGTCGTTCAAGAGGTTGCTCGTGGATTGTCCTATTGCGATGTTCTGCCGTGCACTGACATTCCAGTGTTGGTTTGCTGGTTCGGTGGTCCAGCAGCCATAACGATTGAAAATTTCACCGAGCAATTCATTGGGCAAATCTGTCATGAAACTATATGTAGCTATTTAAAAATCGATCAGGACAGATATCCGCCGGTTCGAGTACTGAAGTATGACAATCGCTTATGAAATTTTCTCATTAACTTTTCTTCCCGCAGGAGTGGATGGCATAATAATAAATATACTCGAGGAGCGTACTCGTATCATTCGGTTCGTTCGAATAAACAAGATGGGAAACAACTACGAATTCCATATGCACCGGACGGAGTAAGTTTATTGATTGATTCATATAACTAGCTGAGTAATAAAATGTTCAACGGTTTTTATTAGATTCAAAGAATTCTGTTTGCTGGCGAAGCAACGCATGAGCAATACTATGCATCAGTAAATGCAGCATTTGAAACTGGCACTCAAGCAGCGAAGAAAATCTTATCAATTATCAATTGAATTTCACCAACCATCTATTTCTCAATAATCTCGAACAATTCCCTTTTTTTAAATCTTTTTAACATTGATTCAGACGTAAAATAAACCATCAAACAAAGCTTTTCCTTGTAACATATATAAATATTATTTCCCTCAGTGCAACTTCTTCTTATTAAAACTAAATACGCCTGTAGGCTTACTTTCTTACGTATGCAGTGCGTTTGTGGGATAGAGCATCGAGCAACCTATTTATTTTCTCACAGTTACTTCTATAGAGGATAATGACAAAAATAGTTATTAAATAATTCTCCACTTTTCTATTCTTAGACGCAGATCACTATCTGCAATTGATCGACTGAGAACCCAATTTGAAGGGTGGCTGGGTGGGGTGAGTGTGCAAATAATACAGATATATTGAAAACATTATAATCATACACACACGTGGGATCAGTAGATTATTTATCGTTTGTGATATAATAGGTTCGAAGAAGATAGCTTGTGGAATGTAACTGAGTATTGAAAATACCAGTAACAATATTGATACTCGATAAGCCATTCTAATGTGGGAGCGTGGTTCAGGTTGTCTCATAGTTTTATGTCCGCCATACCATCTCTGGAACCTTACTTAGACTCACCCTCTATCAATATGTAGGTAAGTAATCCCTAAGATCTAGGGGTTATTTTCGTGAATTGGCAGATATCTTTATGACGCACTAACGATTGGTAAAAAGTTATTTAAATTACTAAGATAATAAGCATATACAACAGTTTTTCAACACAATATAATATATTGATCAACAAATCAATCTGATCAGACTGCTTTCAAGTAGAACTCAATGCGCTCTATCGATTCCAATCATAAATATCTTTCACTAATACCCACATCCTCACACCCTGGTCTCTTTCTTCTACTAACAAGTTATATGAATAGACGGACGACACAATATATAAGAGTGAATTTTTTCTTTCTGAACAATTGTGTTCGGTAACGATCAATTATAACGGCGCATGAACATATGTGCGTTTTTCTTTCAGTCATGGCTCACTAATCATTCGTAAGTGCACATACTCGCCAATACACGTATTTACTTTTGTCTTTGTATGTTCTTCGAGCGACCAGATGACTTTAACATATACCCGTTTATTTCTCTCGATTGCTATTTTAATACACGAAATCGATGCTCGACATCGCTCCTACTATGGGACTAAAGCTCCGTATAAAGTGCCGGTATCATCATCACATGTACCTAAGGAATTTGAATTGGTATGTAGCCAAATGATTGTTCGACATGGTTGTCGAACTTTGAAAACTGTCGATTTCGATCGTTTAACAATGATGTTGTGGAACCAAGCGAAAAACGAAAATGCACTGACAGACTATGGCCGACAATTTGGTGAAGATATTCAAGATTTTATGACCGTTACTGATAGAATAGGGTTTGTAAACAAGTTTGAAATTTCCCTTCTCTCATATGAATCAAAATAGGCGGGAGCAACTCTCGAAACTCGGTAAACGCGAACAGAAAAATCTTGCTCATCGTTTGAGCAAACGTTTTAAACACATTCTACGCAATTCTTCGAGAAAGATTCAACTTGTTAGTAGTGGTTTGCCTCGAACGCAAACAAGTCTACACGCATTTGTTACAGGAATGCCATTGGATGCTGCACCTCGATTCATTTACGAAAATCCAAATCCCAATTTACTTCTTTTTAATCCGAGTTCTACAAAACGCCATCAACGATTCCATAGCACATTGGAATCGATTCGAATTCAACCATTGTCTAAGCGAATGGCGTATAAATTTCTCAGACGTCTATATAAACCGTCATTTATTCGTCGGCTCGCTCATGGTCATTATAACATTGTCGATCACGACCTGAAACAATCGATCGAGAACGAAATCGATGCTGCAAGTGTTCATCATGCTGTTCTATTAAATACTGCGAGTTTACGTGAAGACGGTGTTCGACCTTTGCTCGAAAAGTATTTCTCTCCCGATGAACAACAGTGGTTTACTTATCTTTACGATGCAAAGGTTAGCAATCATTCAAAATATTCTCGAAACTTATATTTTCTTTTTTCTATAGAAGTATTATCAATCGGGTCCGAGCTTTTACAATCAAACCATATCGTTCGGTGACGCTCAAGTGTTACTTGATGACTTTCTACTCCATGCTGAAGAATGTTCACGAACAAGTGCGAAACATTTTCTTCGTGCTCGGTTTGGACACGCCGAAACCATCATTCCATTTGCAGCTCTTCTCCAAATTCCAATCTTAAGCGACAAGCAAACATTCATCAACGATACGTTCACCTATGAAAATAATGCATGGCGTGGAGAAATTCTCTCTCCACTGTCAGCTAACATTCAATGGGAAATCTATCGACATAAAAATATTCTCGTTCGAATGTTGTTAAATGAATATCCAGTTCCGTTTAAACGGCAATGTCGACCGTACAGTGAAAGACATAATTTATTCTATTCATTCGATGAACTCAAACGATGCTATCGTAGACAAAACTCTTGAATCTTCATTAACTTCGTGTTTCCTTTTAAAATACATATCTCCTCTTATATAGAAATCTCTGACCTTGCATGTCTGATTGTGAATGCATATAAGGACTGTTGCGATGTTAAGAAAAACAGTTGCGACACAAGACGTTAAATAGCAACTGGTAAACATCTACCAAGTATTATATTCTTATTTGTGTCATGAATCTTTGTCGAAATTCTTTCCTGCAGCTGATAAAAGAGGCAACAGAGTACAATTCAACTGTGCCAAAAATAGGGAAGTGAAATCTTCCGGTGACGAAAACTTCTATCGTTGATAATGAAAAGATATTCTATGAGAAAACATGTTTTATTTTATTCTTTCAATTACTTTTTGGCTTGTAAACAATTACGTCAAAAAACTAATTTAACTATTCTGCGAAGCAAAACTAATAGCACTGAGTTTTGTTTGTATGGCGCTATAAAAAATTAATTTGACCGATATCTCTATACATTCGTTTTCATCAGAAAAGATCAATTGCAATGGCAACAATGGTTATTGTTGTTGTGGTCGCAACATACCAGTGGCAACTCTGATGAAGGTAAAATACACCGTTTCTATTCGGCTGGAAATTAAACGAATCTACGTGCGCTTTAGTGTATAGTTATGTATATTATAAGTAAACGTATTGACATTAGCCGAAGCAAAATATAAAAGTACATACAATCAGTAAAAACTTATTCTACTAGAAATAATATGTTTAATAGAAACTACAGCTCCTCCACAAAATTGTGATTGAAATTTCGTAAAACGTTATTACTTTTAGCGGAAATTGCGACTTCTTCAGTTTTTTTTGTATATAAAATGTTGATATCTTGCTTCGTATACACACATATTTTTAACAACTGTCACCATCACTACGATCGTAAATAACGTGTATATGCAGATCAATCAAGTTTCGAGCGAATTTCCCAAGTTACCAATAGATTCTTCTACACTCTCAGTGTCCACGGCGGTACTCAAGTATATGTTCTCTATTTTGTGTGTACTCTTATTTCGAATATTGTTTTCACAGGCCGAAACCGTCATGGAATAAAATTCGACTCGCCATTTTTACTGTTCTGCTCTTTGCAGGCGTCGTTATTTCAACTGTGACGTATTGTCTTATTACCCGTCAGAATAATTCTTCATCAGAAGATGTTGAAACTGAAATTAGTACGAGTAGTACTTCAAAAAGAGTATCAACCACTGCCAAAGGTAGTACCACAGAGACTTCTGTAGTAACAGCAACATGTAAGTACCGATCGATTGAATATAATACTCGAACAAATGCTTTCTTCGTTGAAAATTCAACTTGCACTAACCTGACTTTAACCACTCAGTATGTTCAGATTTTCATTCATCCACTTGATATTTATAATTTAGCTGCACAATGTCAAGCGTTACCATTCAGCAACTACCAGTCTTACAGGACTGGTAATATGCCTTGGTCGATTATCATCGCTGATTTGAACAATGATGACAACCAAGATATTGCTGTAGTTAACGCAAATGATCCAAGCGTCGCAATCTATCTGAACTATGGGGATGGAACAGTCAGAAGTACTTCGTATATCCTTGTCGGAACATATTCTGTATTCGTTACTGCTGCTGATCTAAATAAAGACAATGCAACAGATTTGATCGTGGCTCAAGCTTCAGCTAATAGCTTGGGGATGTTGCTCGGTTTTGGTAATGGAACTTTTAATGCACGTGTCAATTTTCCTGTCGGTGCTTATCCATATGGCGTAAGTGCTGCTGATTTCAACAATGATAGTCATCTTGATCTTGTTGCTGTTAACGATCACGACGACACTGCCAGCATCTTATTGGGATTCAGTAATGGGACTTTTCAAAGCTACGATCTTTTGCCTACGGGTCTTGATGTAACAGCAGTCGTTACTGCTGACTTCAATAACGATCAATTTTTAGATTTTGCAGTTACAGATTATTCAAGTAATACTGTAAGTGTATATCTTGGCTATGGCAATGGAAGCTTTCAACAACGTCAACCATATTCAACAGGAAGAAGTCCGTGGGGAATGGCCATAGCAGATTTTAACAATGACAACTGCATGGATATTGTTACTGCTAATTATGACGATAGCACGATGAGTGTACTGCTTGGCAACGGTAATGGTACATTTCGATCACAAATAGTATATTTAACTGGACCATATCCAATGTCAGTGGCGGTTGGAGATTTAAATAAAGATACAAAAATTGATATTGTCACTGGTAGTAGTACTGGCAATTTCCTAAGCGTCTTCTTAAACAATGGAGACGGCACATTTGCAAAAGCAAAGAACTTAGCAACTGATGCACAACTATCAGCAGTGGCGATTGCAGATTTGAACGGTGATAATCGCCCGGATATCGTCACTACTAGTGTATCGACAAAAACTCTAAATATATTTTTAAACTCATGCTAAATCTTTGTTTTACTTTGATTAAGTTTCAAATAAAAGGTTTCGACAAATAAGTCATCAAATCAGTCTTTTGTTACAGTTACACCTTCACATACGCACTTCTCTTTGATAAAATGCCACAATGTTTGAAAAAATGCTGTACACATTCTAATCTTGAGAGCGTGACTGTGTTACAGTTATATATCTGTTTGTATTTTCTAAAACAGAACGCAGCAAGAGAAACGGAACTAAGCGTCAATCGAACCACGAGCCAGTCCAATGATGGCCGTCGTTACACAAATTGCACTATTCTTCGATTTCACCACTTAACTACACTAGGATAGTCTGCACTCATTTTAGTAATTGTCATACATCGTCGATGGAATCCATTTCTCAACCATCAATGACAAAATGTACGCACTGTGCCAAATATCATCTTGAGAGTGAGGGCATTTCTTTTTGACGGAGATTAATGATCAACTGCCTTCAAGCTCTAGTATGTATTTCATGCATTAAATGACTGGCTCATGTAGAAATTGTTAGGCCATGGCCTATGCAACTATAATGTAATATCTACGTTATTTTTATACAGCTGCGGTATGAGAAAAGCGTGTGCAAATTAAACTTTTTGCCGGGCGATTTCTTCTTCTTGAGAGAGTTGTTTTGAAACTTGATCTCCTAACATCGTTCGCTGTAGAAGGCGTCGATCATGCTTTGATCGTAAAACAAAACAACGCTTCCATTCAGGGCCATCCTTTGTAACATTAATACATCAAACTACGCGGATTCATTATAAGCGCAGGCGAGAGCATAGAAAAGAAACTATTGATTACAACTATTTGTCCGTAATGATGATACTTCTCTTCTTTATCTAATCGATTTATATATCTATTCCCCAAACAATCTATTGGCTAACATTTCTGTAGGAAGAGAACGGTCTCAACACATCAAGCAAGATTTTTATACTAATTTCATTTGAATTACCTTGACAGAAATCTCCAACATATAGATGTTGAATCAAGACTTTCTGTAACTGAAAGATTAAAGAGTATGAATATTATGTGTTCTATAGATTATCACTTGAAATTCACGTACAAATACGATCTGTTGACAAAACGATATACTTTGACTAAAATTGATGAATGTCATCTCCCTAGAGCCATTATGTTTGAACATATTCTTCAAATGCCAAAACAACTTTTCGGCATAGGCATCTATTGATTATACAAGCGCAGTAGAGTAGACTGACCAGAGACTATAAAGCCGAGCTCATTCAGCAATCTTCGCTCACATCTGATAATAGGTTCACTGAATCCATTTCCATCAATTTATCTCTTGGAAGCACAACCAACGCTATGGTAATGCTACTTACGAAAGAAATTGACATAAATGCAAATAAAACGCAACCACAACTGTCGAAAAACACTTCTATTCGAAGCTTATCAGCATGAAACCAAAGTGTTACTCATTTATCACTTAGAACACTGACGAACTAGAAGGATTGTATATTAAATAAAATCCGCCGGCAATCTCACGCCGTCTATTAAAACTATATGGATTTTTTCAGTAGGTTAGTTGGCTTGTTGTAGTGATATATTAGGTTTGATTTCATGTTGCTGCGCAGTATGCTGAAGTGCTTCACCTTAGTTTTTCTGTTCTTCTGTACTTTAAAATTAAAGTAAGTACACTGGCTTGTCTTTCGCGGAAAGATTATACTGTCGATACTCACAGAATGAAAGAAGAAAAAAGTCAACGGAACACGCAGCGAACAATAATAGAAGAATGTTGCCGTCTCGCATTACATTTCTCCTTTTCTCGTTGCGCAGACGTTTTATTACGGAATAGGATATTTTTTAAAGTATATGGCTCACAATACAGAACTAGTTCTTGGTTTGATTGATAAACATACCGATCAAGGCTGTCGTTATCCAATGTTGCATGGAGCTTTGCTAGAAATACCCGCCTTATGCAAAAGTGACAGCATCGAAACAAGCGCCTTCAACGATGAAAATGAATGTACGCAATATTTACAAAGAAATAGCAAGAAACGAATAGTTTTAATCGCAGTCGACCAGTCGTATGAAGGTTTTTTCCAGGAAATCATTCGAAATTATCCAGATGTGTTTGTTAGACCACCGTCAGAATGTGCACGAATCTCCCTCTATATGCTGTGCTGTGCCAATAGTGGTAAAAGAAAAAGCCGAGTTGAAGATGATCAACTGCATACAAAAATCTTTGAAACGGAGGCTGCTCTTTTGGTTCAACTAATGATCGATATTGGAGATCATTTCAGCTGCCTTGGCCAAAACCAGTTCAATAAGAGAACGTGTAAATCGGTCACTGAAGCAGTAAAATATTTTTCCCAAGCAAATACATTCTTCGTACGATCAACCGATTATCAAAGATCAATGGCAGCCGATGGTCGCAAGGCAATCATTGACAAGCAGATAACAAAAGCGAGTCAACTACTCGAAAAGGTAAGAAACGACTCCATTAATCGATCTATTGCTTATGCCGACACACCTATTGCAAATGACACGCCAGTAATTGGCTGTACTCCTGATGATGTCTGCGACTATTACACACTTCTGAGTCAGAATAATATTCCGGCGAGCAGGCATGAAATCTTTCCACCGACGTACATCCACTCAACTGGATCAGTTCGCGCAGAAGGAACAAACGACAATTCCAATGATAATATTTACATTGTTGGAGATTCATTTCCTGAAGAAATTTCTGAACACCTTCTCACAGTCTTGAGATCAATTTTAATCACAGGCCAAATAGTTGTCCAGAACAGACAACACTATCTGCAGTTGCCAGATGTGCCCGATACGCCGACGGTTGTTCTCTCCCTTACAACTGATGATGACAAGTCGCTGTTGGAAAAACTATGTTTACGTAGTCGACCTCCGGCAATTTATGTGCTAGGATCACAGCCAAGTACTCAAAATGAAAAGGAAATCTTTTTCAGAAAATACTTTGCCATTTGCTACATGTCTACTAATCCAGAAGAGTTGGCTGTTCGAATAGCAATTGATATGGCACTGCAAAATCGAATCTTGGGCGATCGACATGCTCGAAATAAGGATAAGAGAAATGCAGGAAGAAACTACAATCAATGCATTGGAATCTTAAACGAACTGAATAGTTTTGCTGAAAGCCGAGCTGCTGGCCGCAGTGGCTAAGAGGGAAGGTGTACAGTGATATCGTTTATGCTACTATATTTTACTATATATACCCTCAGTTTTTTTTAAATAATGAAAAGAATTTAACTATGCTTTTTTGTTCATGTATATATATATATAAACTTTATATACTCGAACGCGAGACGTTGAGAATCATGTCGAAATGTTCACTTCATGCTACGTATTTTAGATTTTTTTCTCTGCTCCATATATGAATAACCGACTTGTTGTTCTTCTTGATCCACCTAGTCGACAACTACCTGCTCAAAGTAATCTTGGACATCGCGTTCAACATTTTCTTAATAGAGATATATGCATTCAACACATACTAACTCAAATGCCAAACTATCAGCGAATTGATTTTTTTCTATCTTCTCACGAACGAACACTGGTTGGAGCTGAAATAGCTTTACTCCAAAACGTTTATTTTCACATCTACTACCCGACCAACGATGACATTCCAAATGACTACAATAATCCATGCATGTGGATCAAAACCTTCGAAGAACGCGAACTGTGGATGAGAATTAGTTTTACAATCTATCATCATGATTGGATGTCGCATGTCGAAAATAATTTCGGTGATGCAACTCTTAACGTTTTAAGAAATACATATAATATACTTTTGCAAGAAGTACAAGCAGCACAACTGAGCGTGGAAACTTCGGAATAGATGTCATATATCTGATTGATAAGCTGGTGAACAACGTTTGCGGTGATGGAAACTTCGGGAGCACTATGATTCGCGGCTGATGACTGTCCTCGTTTACTCAACATCTCAAGAACAACTTACTTCTGTCTGTGATAAAGAATTTTTCCTGATCAACTAATCTCTGTTAGCTAAATTGATTTATTCATTTTATCGATAGTTTAGCAAATTAGATTATTATTTTTTTGTTCCGTTATAACGAATTTGAATAAATTTATGAAGAAAATATTCTCCAAGTCTTACGATCAGATGATTTCTTTCACCTCGTTAATGGAAAGTTTCAATAGTTCGAGATATTTATGATTTGACGGGAGAACTTTTTCGAAAATTTGAAGCGCTCTCTCTAGACATTGAAGTGCTTTGGAATACTGAGCCACTATTTTGCACATTACGCCCATGTTCCAGTAACTGGCAGCTAAATCAGGATGTTCGAAAGGAAGACAATTTTTGAAAATATCGTTCGATTTTTCCAAGAACGCCAGTGCCTTGAAATATTCACCCATGTTGCAATGTAGCTGGCCAATGTTATTGTACAAAGTGGCTAATGAAGGATGACTAGGAGGGAGGTATTGATCATATATTTTCTGTGCTTTTCCAAACGATTCAAGTGCTTTCAGGTGATCACCGGCAATGCTATGCAATTGCCCAATGTTGTTGCATACTGTAGCCAATAGTAGGTAGTCTGGTAAGACAGTTATTTCCAAAACCTGATATGCTTTTTGATAAAATTCGAATGCTTTTGGATGATTCATCATTGCGAAATGTACCTGAGCAAGATTGTTGTAGCATGACGCAAATTCAGGATCATTCAAAGGAAGACTATCTTCCAGAATGTCACAAGCTTTTGCGCAAAATTCGAGTGCTTTCAAAAAGTCAAACATGCTGACATACACTGTACCAACGTTACTATATGAAGTGGCTAATGAACGATAATTTAGTGGAATGGCTTTTTCTTTAATTTCGATCGATTTTGTATAAAATTCGATTGCTTTTAAATAGTTACCCATCTTACTATGAATTGCAGCAATATTATTGTAAGAGAGAGCAAATTCAGGATGATTCGGCGGAAGAGATAATTTCCAAATTTTAAGCGCCTTCTCATAAAAGTCAAGTGCCTTCGTGTAGATACCTGCTTTGCTAGCTATCTGACCGATGTTGTGGTAACATGAAGCCAACATGGGGTGGTTTGACGGCAAAGCCATTTCCCAGATTCGACGTGCCTCTTCAGAAAATTCAAACGCTTTTGAATACTGACCAATATTGTCATATACACAACTGATGTTATTGTATGATACAGCCAAATCAGGGTCACTCGCCGACAGGATTTTTCTTTTTAAGCTGATTGCTTTTTGATAGAATTCGAGTGCGTTCGTGTGATCAGACATTCTGTTGTAGGCTAGTCCGATACTATTGTAAATGTTAGCCAAAGCACGATCGTCTTTTTTCAAAGCGTTCAGCAGGATCTCTAAAGTTTTCTCATTGAATGAGATAGCTTCTTTGTACTGTCCTTGATGGATTCGTATCTCTCCGAGTTGGTAGTAGCAAGATGCTTTGCCATTCTCAGTCTTGGTCTTCTTGAGTAACTCGGTGAAAAGTATTTCAGCTTGAGTGAAATGGCCTACTCTAATCATCAGTTTACCCATGCGGTGCCATCCTTTGCCGTCGATTTCTTTTTGCATTCGACCCATGAGTCCGGCAAGTTGCGGATCGTTGTCATCGGTCAATGTCACTTGTACTTCCCACACAAGATTGTTTTTCATTGAGGGTTTTATTTCAATCACGCGAAAGACACTATGCATTGAGAAGAGAATTTCTTCTTCTGTTCTCATAGCACTGTATGCGTCGATCGATGCAAATGGAGTAGTCGACTCCGAATTAACTGTCATAATAAAAAGCACGCTCACTATCCCATTGTCTTGGTCCAATATACTTTCAGCAAATGCCCAAGCAACATCGTGATCTTTACTAGTGGATAAGAAACTGTTAAATGCGAGAAGGCCACCCTTAATATCGAGCAGATGTTGAAAATCTTGTTGACTAAGTCCTTGGCCACGATAAACTGTCAGCCGATTCTCAAGTGCACTCGACTGTTCTTTATGAAGCGTTTCCAGTTGTTGATGAAGTTTTCGTATAAAAAAGCCCATTTTGATCATTGCTTCCGTATTGAATGTTCGCAGAGCACAATTGAGCATACCGTAGATAAAAGTACCGCTAGTATACCACCAAATCGACGATTGGTTATGATACTCATGTTGAAAACGATTCAACTGAGATTCAGAAACACCCTGTTGCCGACAATAGTTGATAAGATCTTTCAAAGAGTCTGTAACATTGTCATCATTGAATTCTAATAGAATTTCTTTGAATATCATTGAGTACATGTAGGTTGGTTCCAATTGATCGAGATTGTGCTCACCTGATAATGGTGTTGTTTTCAGAGACTGCTTTGCAATGAAACTTATGGGTATCATGGCATAATCACATTGACGTGCCGATGCTCGAAGCGAGTCGCATAGGAGCTTGATTTCAGTAAAGGATCCGACAACTTTCGCCCATTCATTGCATGATGTTTTATTTTCATCAAAGATATAAATACGATACAGATGAGGAACATCGTGAATAAGTGGTACTAGTTGTTTGCTCAACATTTCCGACACCATAAGGAACACTGTTCGATCGTCGATATCCGTAAGAAAGTCAACACATTCATCCGACTGCGTAAATATAGTGATTTCATTAACAACATTGCGCAGTTGTGCAAGTACGTCCTTCGAATTTTGATGAAATCGATCATCCAGCCAGAGAAGTAAGTAGTTTTGGATGCAAGATCCTTGAAATCGGGTAGTGGATGACATGTTGTCGACGCTGCACAGCCAATTTTGTTTAAGATGAAGTGAAAACGTGCTTCTCGAAGAAAATGTCAATAGAAGCACCACCAAACATATCTTTAATGACTGTGATATTTTTCATTCTACGTTTCTCATAGAGCAAATTTTCATTGTAAATAATCGAAAGAAATTCAAGCAGCAAATCTACATGAGTGGCAAAAAGAAAGAAGGTTAGTTATGCAAGGCACGTCTGTGCTAAACGCGAGTGTCATTGATCCTGTTTGACTGTTCTTTCGGTTGTGAAACTCGAATCGAAGGAGCATTCACATACACAAAGCGTTGAACCACTGGTTTGCGTTTCTTTGCTCGTTTTTCTCGCCGAATACGTTCTAGTTCTTCGCGTGTCGGATCAATACCAAAGCAATATTTCAATATATCCATAATAATAACAAATGCAGCTACAGTTATCATCGCAAGAATCGCTATATATGATACAGACTTCGATACAGTCTTATAGATGACTATTTTCGTCGCAGTTATCTCACAATGACGACCAGAGAAACTACTACTGAGACATTCGCATGAATAATTCAGTAACAACGGTCGACAAATACCATTGTTCTGACAGGTTACATTAATACAATAGTTTATTTTCGTCTCACATCGCCTGCCCTGCCATCCTGGCGCGCATATACAAGTGGATGCACCGGCACAGGTGCCTAAAGTAAAAGAATAATTCATTTTTGACATTCAAAAGGAAATAGAAGTCGTCTAATACCATTATTGAAGCAAGTGCCATTTTTACATAGTCGATGATCGAATTGACATCGTGTTCCATTAAAACCAGGTGGGCATAAACAGCTATACCAGGGAACGTCATTTATGTTATCGCAAGTGCCGTCATTTAGACACGGGTTCAGAATTGCACAGGAAGTGCCTGGTAATTTGCAGTCGATGCCAATGTTCGATGAATTTGGACATGTAGGGGTGAAAAATAGTGGTGTAACTAAATCACAGAACATTCTATATGGAAATATTAGTAATCTTCAGGTTCCTTTTAAACTTATAGCGAGATATCGTATGATACCCTCTCTCTCTTTTTTTATAGATCTTTCCGATAGAAGGAGACAAACAAACCTTGTTGAACGTCAGTTGTCAGTGGATAAGTAGTTGTGTAATCTAAATTGGATGATTTTTCTATTACGTAAGCTATACTCCACCAATGATTTGAAACTTACCGCAAGACTTTGTCATGAATACAAATTTCTGAATTCGATGATTATTTTGATCACTTACAAAAATATTTCCATAATTATCAAAACTAAAAGTACTTGGACGTGATAGTTGATTAGCCAGGGAACCTGGCCCATCACATCCTATTATACATCGGTAACCATTTGGTCCTGTTCTAATTATACGACCATTACCAGGTTCCAAGATGAATATATAGTTTTCAGCATCAAGTAAAATTCCTGTAGGAAAATAAAGTGTGATATTATTCTCCGTTGATCCTTGTCCGGCAATTGTCGTGGCAGTAGACTGTCCTAGTGGAAACCATTGAATACGATGATTATAGCAATCTGCTACGTATAAATCAAAATTCACGTCAACAAAGATTCCTTGAGGATAGTCTAGCTGATTCGGTGCACTGCCATTAACACCTGTACCAGCAACAATATTGATCGTCATCTTATCGTCATTCAACCATCTTTTAACTACCGTATGATTTTTCGTTTGTGAACAATATAAAGTATCGTTGGTGTCGACAAAAAGGCCAAAACAAAAAGCGGTAGTGTTCAGCACAACAACAGAAGCATTTGTCCCTGATATCCATTTGTCGACTGCACGATATAAGTGGTTGTATGCAATGTAAATGTCACCAGTACCGGTCACAAAGATAGACCATGAATTATAAACACTATTGGGAATGACTTGTGTGGGATCGATACTATCGTTATGCCAAATTAAAACTTGTTTGGTGTTTTGATTAACGACATAGACCCAATTGTTGGCATCGACAAAAACGGCGAGAGGATTTTGCCCGGATATTGTCTGATTAGCAAAGGTGATGCCCAATGTATTCCACGATGCTGTTGAACAAAAAATTGGTCGATTACACGAAAATGCTATAATATAAGTAATAGTAGAACATGTTCAATGCTGTTTAAAATATGAGTATTTGAGAAACAGTTAGATAAGACTTTAATCTGAAGTCTTTATCTAGATTTTATCGCATCGAGAGAACAAAATTAATTTTTACATAGACTTACTTGGTTTGTGTCCGTCGATAACCGATGAAATAAACATCCCTATAATAACTGCATTAACTGTGCACCACATCTTACAGATAAAGTGAATCTAAATAAACGATCAGTCTACAGAATAGCTAGATATTCTTACTACTGTAGTTGTTGCACGAGAAAGTATAAAGAAAAGGATCGTGTTTGGCCTACTTCAATCATGGAAAAGAGAAATATGAGAAGTGAGTGAAAACTGCTAGATTATCAAAATAACCAACTGAACGTGATTTCAAACACAGTAAGATGATATCAGCAGAAAAAGAACAGGATATCAATTTATAAATTCAATAAGAATTGGCGTCAATAGTTATTCTATCTCCAGTCATGCTTATTTTATAAAAACAAAACTTGATAGCTTTTGCTAGAATGTGAAACATATTTTAATAGTTTGTTTATTTCCATCGGCAACCGGGACTCTGTGAATATTTTCTTTTCGAAGAAAATTCAATGTGAAAATCGAATGTAATAATGACGGCCTTCATAGGAACGTTTACGATCAAACGCGAGTTAATGTATACCAGATATTGAAATCTTCCAATTCATCGATATAGTTCATGCATTTGTGCGATCGACGGAAACTGATTTAAATATGTATAACATTTGAAGCGGAACAAATTCAATTGAGGGTAAGTCAATAATATTCTTTGAATTAGACGTTCGCTCTCAACACAAATCCGAAGTTGGCGAAGACTTTCCACGAAAGCTTTCGTTGATCTTGAATAATTAAATTCTTGCTAATTTTCGATCGAGCATGTTTCTAAATAACGATATGCGTCCGTAAAGATCGATTCGTTGAGTTTTGTAGTGCAGCCTAGTAAACGCAAATGTTCCACTAGCAGATATTACCTAGGATTATCAAATGCATTCAGTTCATCGAATGATATCATTGCCCACCACTGGATGCAAAATCTACAAAGGTGCAAAGAATGGATAGTGTGAATTTAAGTACTGAAATTGATAAAGACGGGATTTTGCTTTATAGTCATGAATTAAAGAAGCTTAAAGCAGGTTTCAGATGTATTTTGTGAGTATTTTTCGCTTAGGTTGACTGTTGAGTGTCATATTCATACGAAGATTAGAATGTGCCATTGATGAACAAAGTTCGTCAGAAGAATGAACTATATTTCATTATGACGATATCTATGATAGCACAAAACGATTGATTTGTGTTTATTGTGAAAAGAGGCACAACTACCATGCAAAGTGTTCCACTCATAAACACATTAGCAAACAATTAGCTGAACAAGAAATAAATCTGAGGTGTTGTTGACTATCCTTCGAATTCTTAAACCTATCATCGAGTTAGATATTCATTTTAATAGTCAAAAAATCTTATCGACGATCCCATTCCGAGAATTGTCAGTCATCTACAGCACTATACTATGCGAGCAAAGTATGAAATCAACTAAAACTGGTGGATGTTTTCTTTTCTTTGTACTGTCAACGATTGACTTAGGAGGTATAATTGATATTTTTACATATGGTACCATTTTCTTTCGGTTGAATCAATAAAAAACAAAGATTGTCGTGTACTTTTCTGTTAACTTTCGATTTTCAAAGGATTAGATCAAAGGATCCAGTTGAATATAAGGTCGAGAAATGCTTTTCAGAAACATAAAATCGTGTTTCACAATGATTCGAGTAGAATCGATCTTTGTATGGCTGTGTTTGCTGGTTAGTGTACCCGTTTGGGGACAGAATGCAATCGGTTTACGAGCTTCTGCAGCACTTCGCGGCATTCAAGTTGGAACTGCAGTCGTAGTTGATTACATACGAGAAAAAGCTGATTTCAACGAGTACGCTAACAAAATTCAGAGAGATGCTACAATAATCGTCACAGAGAATGATTTCAAACCGAAGCGTATCTGGTTAGGTGACGGCAAATACAATTGGAATAATACTGATTTTCTTGTGGGTTCAACAGCTAATTCTACAGGCTGGGCTCAACAGAATCTGATGGCTGTACGAGGACATACTTTAATATGGCCCGATGATAGTTTCACCCCTAAATGGTTATTAGATCAGGAGTCCTCAATAACATCGGAGAAAGCCAGATTACTGTTGACTGATTACATTCACGCTGTAGTTAGCCGTTATCGCGGCAAAATACTTGTATGGGATGTTGTCAATGAAGCACTCAACTCTACGAATACTTCCAATCCGTTGAACTTACGCGACAGCTTTTGGCTAAGAAAACTGGGCCCAGATTACCTTAAAATAGCTTTTTCAACCGCTCGCGCAGCTGATCCGAATGCAAAACTTTACTATAATGACTTTGGCATCGAAAGCACAGGATTGAAAACGACGAGAACTATCGATCTCATCAAGTGGGTAAGATCACAAGGAGCAACCGTTCATGGTGTTGGTATGCAATGGCATATCGATTCGTCGAGATCAGTTACACCTGGCGATGGACATTATCAAAGTGCTCAACAGTTTATCAACAATCAACTATACATATCAGTAACAGAATTGGATATATCGATTCCAACTGATGGTGGATATTTGATAGATCGGTCAGATCTTTACAAACAAGCTGCTCTCTATCGAGCTGTTTTGAACTACGCCATTCATTTCTATCCCAAATGCGAAGCATTTCTCACATGGGGTTTCACAGATCGCTACAGTTGGCTTCCCGATTATCATAAATATAAGAAAGGCGCTGGTTTACCATTGGATTGGATGTATCGGCCCAAACCCGCCTATTTAGAAATGCAAGAACTGATGACTCGTGTTGTTATTGATGGAGTCTACCGGCTTTCGCCTCAATTACAACCAGATAAATGTCTCGGTGCTGGTATGAGTAATAATGTTCAACTTTATGGTGGCAGCTGTGATGATAACAATAAAAGATGGAATATAACTTGGCTCGGCGATGGAAGTTATCGGTTTTCACTACTGAGCAATCCAAATCTTGTTCTTGCTGGTCATAATGTATCAGCATCTCGTGGATATCTTCAAACAAATTATTGGACAAATTATATCAGTCAACGATGGGCGTTTTCTGCTAAAGGTAACAGTACATTTCGTATCGTACCTTATACTGCATGGTGGAAAGTCATGACTTTGGACGATACATCGGACGTCAGTGTTGTGAGTTATGCGAGCGGTAAATCTCAACATTGGATCTTAACTAAAGTTTAAGTACTTCATTCTCATCAATGATCATCATGTCTATTTACTCCAATGAAAATAAATAAGAAAGCAGACGAGTATCGGTGATCAATCCTAATACTGATAATTATAAGTGACGTGTTTAGTAACATCATTGTTTTATCATTCAGATGAACGCAATAACGCGTGCATCATCTCCTAGGCTAGAACGTGATTAATCTGACCATAGTCTCCGTTCGATATTCATCTATGTAAATTCTTTTCTAAATTAAATAGGTATGTTACATTTATTGTTTCTATGTAGCTAATATATATACAAAAAATGATAGCAAGTGTATCGGAAAATTTCGCGTCTAAATCTGTCAATTGAAGATAGATTCATTATTTAACTGGAGTTTCAGCAGGTGCGTCAGCATTAGCAATAATTATATCCCCATGTTCTAGAATAAACAGAAAATCGCTTTTTATCGTATTATTTACAGAAGTGTGAAGTACTACTATCAACAATAGATCGATTCTTACCGATTTTTTCGCTTCTATGCGCTTGATCTTTGTCATGTTCATGAGCGTTCGATTTGCGACGAACAGTATGCGTATCATGAGTGATCGACTTCCGACGTGTTGGACTATGATTCGCCGGTTTTGCATGTGTATCCTGAGTGATAGACTTTCGACGCGTTGGACTGTGATTCGCCGTTGCACCATGTGTATCATGTGTAATTGATTTTCGCCGTGTTGGATTATTATCAGCTGGAGCATCTTTATGTATCTGATTCGTAACAGAATTACGGCGTGTGGGACTATGATTCGCCGGTTTTGCATGCGTATCTTGAGTGATAGATTTTCGACGTGTTGGACTGTGGTTCGCAGTTGTACCATGTGTATCATGCGTAATGGATTTTCGACGGGTCGGACTATGGTGAACAGGTTTTGCTTGTGTATTAGAATGATCGGGAACATTGTGATGAGTTTGATTGGTGAATGAGGATTTACGGCGCGTCGGGCTGTGATGAACGGTCTTCCCATGTTTATGATCAGTATGTTCTTGAGATTTTGGGTGAGGATGATGGTCAGATACATTTGTAGTTTCGAGAGATTTTGTTATTTCCTGCACAGTCGTATTCGTATCTGCAGAGGACATATCTACAACATTATCTTGATCAGTATTGGGAAACATTGTAGGGTCTCTCTGGCTTTCCGTTGCTTCATGTGTTCGATCGTATTCATCGGAGTAATTCGATTCTTGATGTACTGCATCACTAGCTTCGTTTAACTGTGTTTCTTCAGAAGACATTGTTCAGATTTCAAATCAGTTTAGATCAAATGCTACACGCAGTTACGTATATATAGGGTATATAAGAGAGAAAGAACGCAATTATGACATGACAAGGACGCATAAGAATTTTTCTTATTGTTGTTTTACGTCGCAACGATGAATTGCGCGAGTTGATTTTGTTTTAAAGCTCGCACAAAGGAGAGGAAAAGAAACTTGAAGCACAATTTTTCTCTATTCCAGTTCGTTTGTGAATACAAAGTATCACGGCCTCTCACGTTCATGCAGAAAGAAACAGCATTTAGTTTATTTGAAAGCTTGCTTTTTCTACGTTGAATTTCAACATCGGGAACGAGTATTTTCTATAGTTGTTGACTGTTTTCATTGCCGATTGAAACAATTTCTTTAACAGCATTTTACGCAGAGAAAAAATATTATACGATTGTTAATCAGTTTTGTTTTGTCAAAGTAGAAAATAGGGTGTGAATGTGTGTTCTTTCTCCTTTTTTCTCGAAACGACAACTAATCGTTCTGCATACGTTCGCAATCAAGAGAAAAGAATTCACCTTGAAGTTCGATATACTTTGTTTTTGACGACAAAATACAATTATAGTACATTATTGTTCAAATATAAGTCAAATTCTGAGCTCTTGTGAATCATAAGTATTCATCTTCGTGAAAGTTACTATCTAATGTTGCTTACAGTTCGCAGCTTCGACATTTTGGGGATGACGAGTGGGAGTGTTTGATGATACGGTAGCATTAGCAATGGTGTTTGCTTCTTCTTTTTGATTGGATACTACTTGACGAGATACTGGGTTCACATTTGGGACGCGTGCTCTCGATGCCGCTCGTAGATAAGATCGAACACTGGTATTTGCAAAAGGCGTAGCATGATCCATTTTAATAAGATTGATTGGCATGTGTCGATCTTCGGCAATAGTAACTTTTGTTATCGACTGTAACTTTGTTTTCAGATCATTCAACGTTTTCTTCCATTTGTCGAGATCTGATTCGGAAAAATCATCTCGATTGTGAGCAGAAGCAAGAACTGTACCCAGTTCCGTGCACTCGTTTTTTATGCGGTCGTGACTATCGCGACACCATCGATGAAAATCACCACGAACCTTTTCGGCTGCTTGTTTAACTTTGTCTACCGATCTTTTTTCCCATGCATCAATTTTTTCCAATATGGATCGATCAAATGTTAATTGACTGGATTGCTCTTGAATGCAATTGTATTCCTGCATAGCATTTTCCAGCTCAGTACTAAGCTCTTGTCGATGTTCGCCGACGTGTCGTGCACAAAACATCTGCTGACATCCATCGCAAGTGAACAATCCTCCACTACTTTTCACGTCGTTGCATTTGGCACACTGTTTTTTGCTTGTCTCAACACTCGCGCTAGCCATAGATCGGTAAATCGTCTAAGAAAAGAAAATAGAAGATAGCAATCGCGTTGTTTTACACCACAATTTGAGACAAAACAACTAAACATTTGCGTACGATAAATAGTCGTCCATGTGGCGTTGAAAGTGAATCATCGAAAAAGTCTTTCTTTCTACCAGCAGGCGTCTGTTGAGAAAATTGCGTATATCTGCTCTTATGATGGAAAATAAACGATGGAAGAAGTATTTTTGTAGATTTCATATCGGATAGAAAAATCTCAAAGAAAGAATGAATCAACCCAAAGTCTGATTAATCCGGCAGTTGTTAACGGTAGATAAATTCTCAAGAAAAGAATGGAACTTGAAGAAAGTTGAATGATTAGTTTTCGGGCTATACGCCAACTATGATTATATTTTTGATAAATTAATTGTGAATCAAGAAGAATATCGAACGAACTCAATATATGCTCACTGTTTCTTCATTTATATAAAACGCTCCCGAACATCATAATTTGGTTCGATCGATCTGTTGCCGGCATGGATATATAATATTCAGTACGGTGTACCAAATGAGAAGAGAGATGGGTAGTAAAACGATGGGCACACAATACATATAATGATTATTGATTCAAAGGTTTTTTGTAAATCAAAGGATCGTCGCTATGGACACGATCCGTGTTCTTGATGCGAAAAGGAAATAATTGTTGAAAGTCTAGAAGAAGCAGAGAGACTTCCACGAGGGAATTAGATTGTCGTTATGAGAAAACTGCAGAGAAGGAAACTTAAACGATTATTCAATCAGGGAATTTCTTTACACAAGATTATGCCGTTTTCCATGTAATTTATGTAATTGAGTGAAATAATAAAATAAGATCAGACTGCGCGTAGTCGATGGAATTGCACAAGTAGTGAAAAAGACGAATTTGAACATTCGAGTAAGTGAATTATGAGTTGGTGTGAGAACGATATTTTCAGAGCAAAATGCCGTGTTGATGTCGACTGTCATTCTCTTCCTTATCATAGTATAATAAAAAGAATTTAGAATGATGTTTTTGTCATATTTTATTTTCTTTGACGAATGAATGAAAGCAAAATTTTATATTAAGGTCGACCTCCGAAGAAGAAAACAATAGGAATAGCTGGTCTTGAGATTATGAATGTTGAATAATAGAAATGCTAAATAAAAATGGATGAATATGGGAATTTGAATAGTGCGGTATTCAACATCGATTCTTGTCACATAAATTGCGAGAATTCTCTGTAACAAACCGGCAACAGTGACCTCTTATGAATCCTGAGGTCAGTTCATACACGATTTAGCTGACTTTGCAAACGAGTTCTCGTAGGAATAACTCGAAGTGCTATATACTATTCATCTATGTCATTCAATACTTTTGCTATTCGTTTCTTTTTGTCTGCAAATCTCAGTGAACTTCGCAGAAAGTCGATTAAATGGAATTGATGCATTAAGAGAACATACAGCGATAAAGCAATGACGAATATGTGACGTCATTGAGAAAACATTTCATCATACTCGAAGAGTATTGCACAACGATATAATATTTAACTTACTGTTGATAAAGTATCAGTCAACACCCTTACAACTACCTATGAGCGCTCCGGATTTACCGCCTGAAGTTTGGTCAAAAATTCTTCTACTTGCGAAACCGACTTACAAACAGCTGATGCAATTATCGACTGTTTCACAGAAGTTTCGTCGTTTGATCGTGAACAAATGGTTTCTCAAGAAGTGTTTCGCTAAATATCCGATGCTCACTAAAGATCTTCTGTTACACATCGATTTTACTAACGTTATTGAAACTGATCAGAATCCCTTAATAAATTCCATTGGTGACGTGTGTGGTTATCATGACTCTGTTGTGGAACATAAAAACGGCATAACGATTGAAACAGATGAACTATTTAATCGTATTTTAACGTTTCAAACCACCAAGCCAATTTGGTTAATAAATGCGTTCAACTTTCAGAAATTCTCACTCAAAACATTCTCTATATCATTATGGTTTTTTTATTCTACAGATGGGATAATTGTTTTTCATTTTCAAAAAGCATACTGTTGGTGGTGCATTCAAATAACCATGAACATTGAAAGGCAAATGAAAATTAGAGTAATCTTGCCTAGTAAGATATGGGATATCGATGGTGGCCAACGAGATGAACACGTTTGGCATCACGTGGCCATTACTCATGGCGAAACTTCACTTCACATTTATATAGACGGTCAGTTAATCAAAAAAATCGAACTACAATATTGGGAACCCATACGTGTTCATAATCTTCGAATAGGGAGTCATTTTTCCAGTGGCAGTGGCTTAGCAGATATCGCTGTGTGGGGAAGAAGATTGTTGCCAGAAATCAAGTCGATTTATCAACAGAAAACATCGATTAAGCAGGCGGACCTAATACAAGGATTGTTAAATGGATTGTGAGAGTTGCTGTATAAGTCATTAGTTTCACTCGAGCATTGAACTACCATCTTCACCCGCAAGATAGCTTCTCGTTCGTCTACTTTAGTTTCATTAGGCCCTTTTATGAGACCATATATTCTTTGCTTGCTTCTCATTTCTAATGTCAATGGGAGTGGGGAAATCGTTCCCACATGGCACTGCGTATCGGACGGCAATAGTGGGAAAGTTCGTTCTTCTCACGGGTAGTTATATAAATTAAAAAAATGTATCAAGATAAACAAGATAATAGAGAAATAATTGTTTCGACGTGTGAATGATGAGCAGCACTAACGTCTATCCAATTTTGATCATTGTTTTGTTTACAAGGTCTATAGCAGCTATTCATTGGAATGGAAATTGGGCATTCGCTTGTGATTTTTATAAAAACGATTTAACCGATGCACGAATTCCTGGTGAGCAGTGCGGTGGAAGATGTGCTGCAACATCTGGTTGTACTCATTTTACATGGACAACTTATAATGGTGGAACTTGTTGGATGAAACATGGTCATGCTAGAAAAGAAAATGCATTTTCAACTGGTGATCGAAGCATGGTTTGTGGTGTTGTGGAACAAAGATCAACAGATAGAGCAATGTATGGTGTTCATACAACACGGCATGGTGCGACTGAACATGGAGCGTGTGCACTTCCAGCATCAGATTATGCCGTTGTCAACCCAGTTGCACTTGGAAATATTGAATCATTGAAAAATCTCAAATTTCGACCGGAATTATGTGGTCATGTGCTGAATGTTGACTGTGGCCATGGATCATTAGATATTATCGTCACGAATTCAAATTTAGGAGGTGGCCTTGATTTGTATGGTTCAACTTGGGATAAACTGACAAATCATAAACCGCCTGGGATAACTTCATGCAAAGTGAGATTAACTGATCGAAATGCATTTAACTTTCACGGTCCGCGTTGTTACTTTAATCCTGGTAGTTCTTTTGACAATGTTTATTAGAGAAATATTGGCCTTCTAAATACAAACGGTCGAATTGTTGTTAAAGCAACAATCGACGGTCGATCTGGAGTGCATCATGGAGACAATTCTTATTATGCATTTACTCATGGTCCAATTTATGACTATAAGAAAGTTATATTTGCCTTCGAAGATGGAGGTACTCATTCAGTTTTTTTGAGAGATTGTGTAAAACAACGCAATCAACAAACCTGGCGTTAAAACAGAAACTGTGCTGGAAAATTTAATCGCTTTCTTTTGTACCAATTGTCTTCGATTTGTGTTTTTCTTCGGTAGATTATCAATAAATCTTCGAAATAAAACATTTACATATACAACTTTAGATTTCTTATGCAGGTTCTCACCGTCGGATGACTAAATTTGTAATTAAGACTGAAATTAATTGCAGTTGCATTATCTATACTATGTAGGACTTCGCGATCGATGGGATGAGGGTTTTTTTTCGTTTATCCCATGGATTGTAATATTAGTATTTCAAAGCAGCCGGATGGGATGGCATGACATCATCTATCTCTTTCCATCTGACTATGAGAAACACGAGCGTTTTCTCGTGTAAACAATACTGTTGTCAGCTAGTTATTGTTTCTCCCATCTTATCGCTGGATTGTTTTATCATCTCCCAGACACATATGATGTCATACATTCTTTAATAATATTTCTGAGTAGGTTTGAGTGAGGAGAGGGCTATAGTGCTCAACTAGTTTCCAATTATATAATGTCTGTCGTTCAACGTCGGAAGTTTTTATTTTCGAAATAAGAGAATCAGAAAGAATATGAAACGTACTCTACTCCGATTGAGTATATCAACCGAAAAATCTGCTACTCGTTGAATTCACAGGTCATCCTTATCTTATTTGGTTTTCAATTCAACATGGCCACAGCGATGTATTTTGCCTTTCCATTCAGATTGAATTCTTTTAACTGTTGAATAACTATAACCAAATGATTTTTCGATTGAACATGTAGCAAACTGTAACATTCACACAAGCATACTTTCAGGATTAGGGCGTGACCTTCACCGCAATGTGCCCGTATAAGAATGGAAACAGTAGGCTTCAAATAGATAGCAATCACACAGATGAGATTTATTTGTACGAAGCCAACAACGCCCACTTTCGATAATGGCTAGTTCTTTCTGGAAATAATTTCTTTTGGCTTAAAAACAAGGTCACAGGACGTCGGCTAGATTTTCATAGAGGCAAAGTATACACATAGGCAGTGGATGGCGATGTATCGCAAGAATGCATACAACGTCCGTGAGGCACTCTTTTGTTTGAAAAACATTATTTTCATAAGTGTGAATTGTTTTTTTTGTGTGATTATAATAGATAAACAGTTGTGCTTTGTTGCTATGGCGTAAATGCGAATGAGAAAAACCTATTCCAATAAGTTCGATACAACTCAATGGGAAAATGTCAACGCACTCTCCGGACAGTATTCGAAGTCATCGCTTGGCACAAAGCTTACATTTATCATTTTATATATTGCATAACGCACCCTCAGCCAGGAAAATAGAATATAACTATATTCAAAATTAAAGTTATAGTACGACACAATGTACGAAAACAAAATGAGTGAAAATACTTAGATTATTACTTCTAAAAAAAGGAAAACTTAATCAGTCGATATGCTTGTTTAAAATGCAACATGTACCAAAAAAATAATTTTCTTGTTATTTCATGTATAGTTGTATTCCTGGAAAGATACATATTCGATTTCAAATCGTTGAGGAAATTGATCTTCATCAATGTCGTCCCCAGCTCTACAATTAAAAACGTAGAGTGAAAGCAATTATTGTTTCAGACGATAACACGCGTTGGGATTGTATCCTTAGTCATTGTACTTACACATCTCCACCAACACCTAGATATATTTCCAGATGGAATTCCTGGTCAAATGGCCTGGAAACAGAATCAGAGGAAAAAACGATTTTCAAGAAACTAGTAATAATGATCGATATCTGACGACTTACCAAAACTTCCAATCTCTATTATGTTTCTCAAATGCTAAGATTAATTTATCATTCCTATCTGTATCGTTTAATCGAACGAACATTTCGATTCGATCGGGTGTCCATTCCACTAAACACAAATACAATGCAGAATATTACTTGATGAGCTGGGAAAACTGATGGCGATGCTCTCTTACGTGAATAGGTTTTGAAATGATCCATTCCGTCGGGAACTTTAGCTTCATCAATAAGAATGCTATTGCACAGCGGATTGTTCTTTTTGGTGCAAAGTGACGATCTAACGATCCCTGGAGTGCGTCCCAAGTGTGACATTACGTTTATTTCGCCGTTCTCTGGCCACATCGCATTGCCATAAGTACGCTTGACGGGAAGCTAAAACGAAACAGATCAGGCGATCGCATTTGACTACTTATTTTGTGTGTCGAATACAAACCAAAAGAAATGAAGACCATGTTCCCTTCGCAGGAGGTAATCTGGCACGGATCTGAAGTTATGCAGAAGAACAAGAAAATCTTTGTTGAACAGCTATAACGGTTCATACCTCAAGTCGGCCATACCGGAATGCTTTTCTACTCCTTAATCGAGCGGATGTAAATTTATAGCCTTTATATTGTTGTTGTTCTTTTCGTGCTTCGATGACCAAACGGCCATTCTCACATCTGGCGTTTTCGTCAACAATTCCTGTATGGTACTGCTTTTGATGAGTACCCCATCCATTTTCTCCAGTGCCTTCAAGAAACTCCCATTTGGTTAGATCGATTTTACTACTTTGAAAGTTATCGTAGAATATAAGCGCGCCATAACCTATTCGAGTGCTTTGCACTACTTCTGATTCTCCTACAGAATCGAAGAGAAGATCGAAACCACGAAGATCAACATGTTGACAATTGCCTACCCACTTCCATTTCCCGCATAACGTCCGAGAATATTTTCTCAATCGGTTGAAAACGTTGTTGGTTTAGAAGCTCACCCACGCTGAAGGCTAATTGTAAGTATTTCAGCTGATCGTTTGAATCAGTTTTCTTTGGGCGCTTCGTTGTAGTTTGATGTTCATTACCTGTGGAAAGAAAAAGAGAACAGAGCAAATATGATAAAACTGTATTACGAAAGATGAAAGAACTCACTTAACTCAAACGGAACCAGACTTTGAAGATCTTTCTGCGTAGCTTTTATGATGATCAACTTGTCGAACCTTTAAAAAGTAGCACACCATAGAACTCGAGTAATATAGAAGTCTACTGATCATGTTCGATCATACTTCATGATTCCATTACGATCGACTGTATTCGAGTTTATCGGGTAAAGTATACTTCGGTCGAAGTGACCAATCCCTTTTTGATATTCCGTTTCATGTATTCCCAAGGGACAAGGGTGGATATAGTGATTTCCATTTACTTCAATCGTTGTTAATGTAACACAGATGAAGTAGGGTCTATTGGCATTGAAATACTCTTCTGACATCTAGACACGAACGAACGGTGTATAACTAAATGCTAATAGGAAGCATGAGCAATCGTATTTACTTTGATAGCTGGGCAATCGTATATTTCTCCATTTAGTTCTTTGTGTACTCCACGAATGAAACGCACAGTTCTGCCTTTGGACTCAGATTCGGTATATGATTGTTGCGTCGGTGACGGTTGAGCAAAAATTTCAAGGCCTGGCGTTGTCGCAAAGTCTTGAGAGAAAGACAAAAGCTGAGTTAGATGAGACAGATCGATTTTAATATAGGAAAAAAGAGAAGAAAAACAACTAGACATACTGAAATCATTGATCGGATATGAACGCTTTTGAGATGATTCCATCTGATGTAGGTCGTTCATCAATTGTTCTGGATCCAGTTCTGGGACATGATCAAAGGTAACTGTCAACAAGACAAGGTTAATTCAGCTAAGTTTAGTACAATTTATAAATGGAAAGCAATCTTACTCAGTTCATTTAAGTTGCCTCCGCTTACGTCCATCGAAGCAGCTGAAGGCTCAGCTTCGAAGCGTTCTTTCTCGTAATCTATGAAGCAGAGAGAATCACTTTTTTTGACTGAAAATCATTTCAACAGCTTAGTAATATCGTACCGAAATCAAAATTCATCAGTGCTCGGATAAATTCGTTTGTAATACTATGCGATGAAAAAAACCTTTTACTGTGACTTTATATGTGCGATGTAGGAAGAAAAAAACCCCATTGACGATTCATTTCGATGGAGAAATAAAATATTTCGAATTTAATGGCCAATACCGGCAAGCAAACAAAAGTAAATAAATCAGCACATGTGTCTCTTACTCGTTGCGATAACTTGAAGGTGTGAATACAAACGCATACTCAAAAGATTTTTATCCTTGTTCTGTCTGGCCTTAAATATGTACACTGCAAGCGTTGCATTAAGATAAATTTAACATTTTATAATGAAATGAGTCATCTTCTTTTGTAACTGCTCCAGCGAGGTGTTGGATTGGTTGTTGAAGTAAGGAATCAAACGATGTACTTCCATAGAAATTTTATTTTCGTTGGGTACTATGTAGATTATGGAAAAGCAATACTTTTATCGCACATACGTTTTTGAAAATTTGTTTTTTGATCATTTATTTTGAACTTGATTACATAATGATCTTAGTATAACGTCTATTTTGTCTTTGCATGTTGAAATATTCGACTATGAAAAATACAGTAAGGAAATATAATTGAACGAATAAAACAATTTACTCCAATAATTAAAATTTTTCTCGTACGGTTTCTTCATTGTGATCGAGTTATATCTTAATAAAGAAGATATTGCCAACGGAATGTTTAAATAACATTTTAATACTATCGATATGATGTTATTGAAATATCTTTGAGTAGCGGATTGAGGATGTGGACGAAGAGCAAGAAAAGCTTTGACTCAGAGAATAGCACGATTTCTTCCTTTACTATCGCCATTCATCGATTAACATCATATTTCAATGAAAACAAGACAAGTGGAAAGCAAAGGTTCATGAAAAGAGCAATCTGAATCGGTCAGTTTGATGAATCATTTAGTGTATCTTCAGTATTAATATATCTATTTTTTTGCGCAAGTAATTCAGCCAACATATCTGCGTCACATACGAGAATTTTCATCGGCAATTAAAAACAACGATAGGCATCACTAAGAGGATGAAAGTAAATGTAGCACAGGGAGTAAGGAATCGGATGTGGTTGAGCTGTGTCTCGCCATTTTGAAAAGTTTATTTACAGTAGTGGAATATTTAGTCGAGCTACTCGAAGGGAAACAAAGATGCACTTGTAGAATCGGAAAAAAACAACAGCAACCAGCGAATTACTGCTCAACTGTTCTTTTCGTTGGACAATCAACACAAAAATTACTCGTATCACATTCTGCTATCGAACAAACTGTTTCATTTAGGTTTCGAGAGTTCGAATTAATCCACCGGCACTTGATGCCTTAAATTCTCATCTGCATCCTATAGTTACGACCAAAGTCGCGCAAACACGCATATACTTATTTTCTACCAAGATGAAATGTTTTATGTTATAATTCTCTTTTCTTTCTCCTTGTCTAAATGTTTATTGATTGTAGTAACTGTTTAACAAAATTTTTTCTTTTTCATCGGAAATCTTTGTTATTATGACTTCTGAAAATTTTCTGTACACTTTTTTCTTCTCGGTTGTTTGGCTTTTACCAAGTGAGATTTTTCAGAATGAATTACAGAACAGAATCATTGTTATTTTGCAAATACAACTATGTCGTCGAACTCCTCACTACCCACGAAAAAATTTTAAAAGAGATACCACTGGTCTCCGCGGTTTTTCATAACGGTTGCGGTTATATCGTTAAAGGTCGCGGTGTCGAAAAGAAACCGCGGTTAACAGCGGTGTGCTGCACCGCAACACAAATATATCGCGGTATGTTCAAAACAAACCGCAACGTGATCACCGTTCAATATCGCGGTTTTGAAAATGCGCGATGAAAAGTAGGTTAGCAGTGATACTTGAGAGGCGCCATCTTCCACAAGTTTGTATTCTGCGAGCTTCTCATTGTGAACCACGATCTTAAAATTTTTCCTAAGGATATCAGTGCCCAGAATACTTTAGTTCCCGTTTTTTATTTAGACTTTTCATCTATTTTTTCGTTATGGGAATGTATCGCAACAACTTCGGTACGTGAAATCACGGTACGATAAAAAAGAATCCAAACTCAAATCGATTCATCTTTTAGTTGATAAACGGCATGGTTTATCAGAAAAAGCTATCGAGAGAATATGAACGCATTTGTTTTTCTTTATCAAACTATAATAAGTTCAACATCCCTTCTATTATTATCTGTCTTGCATTTTCACATGAAGAGGTTCAAGCAAGAACTACTTTTGTACAAATAAGTTCGCCTATTTAGACGCTATTCATCGTTAGGGGTATATAAAAACTTGATAAACGTCAATTTGATCCCATACATGTATTCCGTTACAAATCGAGTTCTAAAATAGTTAAAAATATTGATCAGATTTCAGTAAAAGACAACTACGTATCATAATCTAATGATATAGTTGAAACTCAGACGTAGACCTTCACTGCAAAAAATCTGCGATGAGAATAAGCCCTTCAAAAGGATTTATTAAACTGATCAATTCTTTGAGATACGTTTTTTCCGTTTATTAGCATCATAAATCTTTTGATATACCGTTAAACGTTTATCAGATTCCAACGTATAAAATACTTTTTTGAGTAGATCACGAGAGCAGGTATATCCAAAGGTTTATGATGCTAATAAAGGGAAGACATATCTTAAAGAATTGGCCAGTTCGATAAATCGTTGCGGAGGGTTTATTATTCACCACCGATTTTTTTCAGTGTTTAACAAATCTTTTGTGATGAATACATATGAGATACGTGTAATAAATACTATATGGGTTGTTTTCTCAAAATATAGATTTACAGACATAATAAATTATGATCTTTCAACTCGTTAGGCCATTTAATAACTCGCAGTACCACGGTCAGTCAACTAAGCGATTCTAATAAATGAATGTTTTTCTTCTAAGTGTAATATTCATAAAGGTAGATTATTTATTTAAACGTCGCTGACCATAAGTATAGGCGATAAGTAGAAGTCTTCCAGTTAGATAGTGCATAGTTTATCGTCGATGTCAGTATCTCGAGAAGTTTGAAAAATTGTGAAGTTATTAGACGCCTCTAGTATTCGTGAGACTCATATAAATCCATCAGTAAATGAAACATATCGATCGAAATCAGAAAGTTTCTTGATACAGATAAGATAGACGATCTCATTCAATCTTAGTATGAATATCATCAGACGGTTCAATGGAATTAGTGGACTACAATCATAAGGTAAGCCATTCGAATCTAACTAAAGGAATCAGAACAAAAAATAGGAAGTGGTATCTAATCAGCTGACCATGGTGTGATATGATCGTATAGAGATAATAGATGATAATGAGATAGGTAGCAGATATGATATACCACCATGATGGCGAATTACGTTTTTTTTCGAAAAACCATTAATAAACGCGGTTTCGGCCGGTGCGAGAAAACCTAATAAAAGGTCTGACTTTTGTAGCTCAATTAAACCGCTGACACCAACGCCCTGGCGCACCGTGATATACCGTGGTTTCAATCGACAAATGTTTTCGTGGGTATAGCAGAACATACATGTAGTGAAACTCGCGATACTCTTATTTTCAAATACAGAATCCTTGTCCTAGACAGAACACTATTCGAGAATGCAGAGGAGTGTGTGGGTGAAAGAAAAATGATCATACCATCACCCTCACCCTCCAACTTACGATAAGATTTAATGCGTAGTATTAAACTTATCGTTGTAGATCATGTCCTGCAATACTAAATGCTGGCCAATTTTTACGTCTGTGCTCCTGTTAATTATGAGCCTACTTATTGCTCTAACCGAGGTAGCTAATATCCTGATTGATTTCTGGTATACAAATGTTTTCGGTGGGTTTTGGACATCAATAATCATTTTCCATTATGTAATAGTAATCCTAGTGCATAGTAATTAACTTATATATTGATGTAGCCATAATGCTAAATAACGAATTCATTTTCAGAATGTTCAAAGAATGGATGCTGTAATTGCTGTCATAGATACTCGACTTTTAGTTGTTTATTATCAGTGTTGAGTTTGGGTACACTGATAGGTTTCGACATTGCATTCATTCTCAATCCATACATCTGCATATTGACACCAACATGCAGCTCACGTCCTCCAATCACATCCTACAAATTTCTAAATACAATCTCTACCTTTGCAAATTACAGTACCTACGACAGTAAACGTTTGTTCCTTTACATCCAAGTTGGCTGTGCTGGGTTTGCATTCATTCTATCCTTTATAATGCTGCTAATGCAATGCCGCCCTTGTTGCAAAAAGAATAAACCAAAGTCACAGCTCAAAACAACAACTGCTACAGAACAGAATAAACCATTTACAGTCGTATCTCTACCACCCAGAAAGCCGGATAAGAATAAACAAGCGTATCCTGCCATTCCGTCAAATAATAACGTGCCGCATGCAGCTTCGAACGAAGCACAAGGTCTCTCGCAACCGCCACCTTGGTCCATCTCGAACCCGACTATCTTCCAGACGTCTTATACTCCACCATTTTAACTCATTGGATTTGAGCTGTTTTTTCTATTTTAATAAAGGCTATAAAAGCATTGTTTTGTCATCAATTTTTACACCATTTACTTTATTTAGATCAAATCATTTGTCAGAATTAATACTCCTGTTAACAAGACAAACGTCATATTATTATCGAAAATCTGGAATAGTACTCAGAGAAGAACAAGGGCACGAATACAATCGTAGAGCGAAGTAATTAATTAAGTCAAGTCAAATTTATTCCAAACTGAACATATCTATTTAGATCTTACGATGGGACTTGCTAACAGAAAACAAGTATTTCCTGAACCTAATTGTAAAAAAGATGAAGAGATTATAGCTATTGCTGCCCTAAGAGAACAAAGAGTTGCGACTAATAATGGAGTTGTATCACTTTTCTGGATTGGAAGCGTACCGTTATCTTACACTGAGAAAACTTTGGAAAATGAACTTAACGTCACTACTGCTTCAGTGACATTTTCTTCTATCAATGATGCACTTCAAACAATTGAAACGTCGACAAACGAAACAGTGTTCATTATTATAAATTCTGTTTTTGACAAAATTACCAATGACTTTATCAAAGAACTGAATAAACGACACCAAGTGGCGTATATTTACGTAATTGATTCAGATGGCAATCGCGCTAAACAGGAGTGTGATATGCTGAATAGTGCCGGTAAGATTATCCATTTTCTCAAATTTGGAAAAGAAATGGTGAACCATATTGGTAAAAATGTTCGCAATGCGATGAAAATGGCCATCGACTTCAATATGTTCGACTCCAAATCGCAAATGACGACACGTGATCTCACGAGAAATTCGGCTGCGTTCTTATGGTTTCAAATTCTGCTCAGCATCTTGAAAGATTTTGGTCAGGATAGTCATGCTCGAACAGAAATGATCAATATGTGCCGTGCGTATTGTGAGAAAAATGATCCAAGCGAGTTGGCGAATATTGAAAGATATCGACGAAATGACGAGAAAAAGACGGCTATCTATTGGTACACATTTGAATCATTTCTTTACAAACTTTTAAACAAGGCGTTGAGGAACGAGGATGTTCACTCATTATGTCGATTTGGATGCTTTATTGTCGAGTTGTCCAATGAAATCGACGATCTACATAGAAAGCGGGAAACGAGCGAACCTAAATCACCATTGCAGCTGTTTCGCGGTCAGGTGATTACTAAGCGTGAGCATGAACAGATATTAAAAAGTAAGGATAAACTGATCTCAACGAATAGTTTCTTCTCTACTTCGCCCGATCAAGACAAAGCTATTGAATTCGTGGAGGGAAATTCGCACCGAGCCGGTCTTATGCCAATTTTATTCAAAATTACTGCTCCGCCAAACTTGAAGCAAACCAAATTCGCCGATGTTCGGCATATAAGTGCACATCCCGAGGAAGAAGAAGTTCTTTTCAATTTAGGTGCCGTTTTCAAGATAACTGGCGTCGAAGAGAAATCAGGATCTAACTCATACGTCTTAGTGCGCATGTCAGCGACCGATGAAGGTTATGAAAATGTGGAAAAATACATCGGAATATCGAAAGATGACTTAGAAAGCGATGACAAAAGAATCATGTTTGGTCGACTGCTAATTGACATGGGACAGTACAAAAGATCCAAAGATTATTACGATGAGTATATTGATGTGATGAAGAATATCTGGAGAGATGACGCACTCCAGTACGCACCATTGTATCATAACCAAGGAAGAGCACATGCTTGTATGGGGGAATTTGATAAAGCCTTTATCCTTATAAAACGCGCGCTCGAAATTCGTCAGAAACACTTGAAGTTCGATGACCCGTTGATAGCTCATACGTTGAACAGTTTAGGCGTTATGGAAGGACAGATGGGTCGTTACACCGACGCCAAAGCCAAATTCAACGAGGCTCTCAGCATTTTTCAACAGAACCAAACGAGCGGCTCCAGTCGTATAGCAAGCCTTCAAATAGCGATCACAAACAGTAATATTGGCTGGGTCGAATATCTGCAAGGCAATTATAATATTTCAGAGCGCCATCATAAAGAAGCTCTCAAAATTCGAGAGAACCTCTTTCCCGAAGATCATCCTTTGATTGCCGACAATCTTAATGCACTCGCTGCTGTGTACCATGCTCGAGGTAAATATCTAGATGCAGACAAAAATTATGAAAAAGCACTGAGCATTCGCGACAAAGCATTGCCTTCTCATCATCCGTCCATTGCCAACAGTTACCAAGCGCTTGGCAGTGTCAAGTTGGAGAACGGAGACTATGCACAAGCATTGAAATATTATGAGAA